ACCCTTTTGGCGGTGCGCAAGTGGCCGTGCGTGGGCGGCAGTCGGGGGCATCGTACAGCCACCCACGCCCGATGATAGCGCCGTGCGGTGTCAAGTCAGTCTGCATGTAACTAGACGTGATCCTGTCATGACGAGGCCCTGTGGGTAATGCATCGCCCGCATGGCATCCTGTCACGGCCATACCGCCCTCGCTCGCTCGCTCGCGCGAAGACGACGACGACGACGCCTCAGGTCGCCCCGCCCGACTGCGTAAGTTAGTTTCGTTATGTCGCTACTCTTGCAGTTTGACGGGCGCCGTCGTTCGTCGTCGTCGGCCCTGCGCCACGCTCCAATCCTAGCCAGGCAAAAAAAAAAAGAAGGAAAAGGAAAAGGAAAAGGAAAACGAGCCGAGACAAGACGCGCAGAGCCATACTGGCTGTTCCACGACGTCGGCGCCCGTTTTCTGGAAGGACAATAATGACGGCGTCGTTGTGCCGCTTGGGCTCTGACCGACATTTCGCCGTATCATCACGTCTGTTGCGCACACCGACTGCGAGCAATCCAGCGGTGTCTCGACCTGCAGGCCCATACGAAGCTGCTGCAGTGCATCCCGCCACCGCGCGCGCGCCCGTAAGGTACAGACATACTCCGTACATACATACATACGCCTGTCCGAGCGTTGAAGCAAGCAATCACCCTCTCACGACCAAGGCCAATGGCCGCAGTGCCCGCCCGATCACCAGGTGGTCAGTCTGCCGGGAAGCAGGCGTCGGCGAGGATGGCCTGATGCTAAGCCCACACTGCGTTGCCAGCGCGCTCGCCGACAAGCCCGCGATGCATCGTTACAACCAATTAGTTACTTAGTTAACTACCCCGGTGGTGCTGATGATGCGCTCTGCCCGCCCCTCTTCCTCCTCCTCCTCCTCCTCCTCCTCTGTCCGCCGTGACGGGTCCAGCAGCCGCGGGACCAAAGCAAAGACGAAGAGCCAGCAGCAGCCAGAAGGCCTGTTGGAAGATCCGCGGACGGGATGTCTGGATGTCGGTTGCTCTGCCCGATCGGTCGGGGGCCTCCCCCAAGCCTGCGGTGGAGAACAGGCGCGTGCGTGTGTTGGTATTGCGTGACGTCGTGCTTGTCCGCCGGCTTGACTGGCCATGGATATGACCAGTCGTCTTGCTACCAAGGCCGCCTCAGGCGGGCGCATCTAGGCGTACGTGCTCGACATGGGCTCGCTCGCTCACTCGCTACTCACTCGCGGAGGAGGGAGCCCGACTGGTTGGCCATGTATGTTGTATTGGTTGACTGCCACCCTGGGGCACGGGAGCCGCCCTCGACGACCAGTCCGACCATGGGACGGTGAGGGGGTGCAGCCGAAGAACGAGAGAGAGAGAGAGAGAGAAGAGAAAGAAGAAAAGTGAGCTGCTTCGTTTTTCCTGGACTGTTGTGGATTGCATGCATGATTTGCATCGCACAAGAACATGCGTCCGCCCGCATACGTGCATTGCATCCCACAACGCATGCTGCTCTGCCTTTTTCCCTTTTTCTCTTGCTTCCCGCGCTGCCCACATCCGAGATGGTTCTTCTCTTCTTCTTCTTCTTCTTCCGCGGGTCGCACAGAATCGCTGCTTGGTCCAATGCCCGTCTGCGGACTGTTATCTGGTGATGTTGCACGGCCGCTCTCCCCGGACGTTAGATCAGAACAACTCCTTTTGGCGGCACACAGCGCTGCCCATCCCGCCGTCTGAGACGTCATTTGTAGGGCTCTTCGCGCGGTGCACAGGCACGTTCTTGTGCCCGGCCTTGCCTGCTTCCGGGCGTGGACAATGGTGCTGTGGCCGCTTTCGCAATGGAGGGGGTGATGCGCCGGCACCGCATGACGGGCGCCCAGCTTGCTTGTATTGCTTATCTATCTACAGGCATACATGGGGGTTACGGCTTTGTTTGCTTACAAGGGAAAATGCTCGAGGTTTTCTGCCGTGGGGAATCCCAGTTGCCTCTGGGCGGGCCAGCAGCACACAGCGCACCAAAACAAAGGAGAGGATTAACTCTCCTATAGCAACTGGAGCCCGGAATGACGCAGCTGGATGACTGCTTGCTGCTCTTCGAGGGCGTTCCGGTCCAATTCCTGGCTGGAAAATGAAAAGTACGTAGCATCCTGGTGGTTCTCCTGCCAGTCTGCCGCTGAGAAGCCGCTTGCAGCGGATGTGAACCTTTTTTTTTTGTTCTCCCCCGCAAATATAGGAGAGAAAACAAGCATCATCTCTGGAGGCATTCGCTGCTGCCCGTCATTCTCGCGAATCATGACGTGCACTGCAGGACCTATCCTGGTCACTGGCGAAGCCGTGACAGATGGCCCGACCAGCACCGCAGCCAGGGGGGTCCAGCCCAGCATAAAATAAGACCTGTTTGCTCAGCACCGTCTACAGGGCATGGGGCGGGCGCTATTGACGACGCTCTGGCCGACCCCCTGCGCTCAACCGTGATGATCGATGTCCGAGAGCCCACATGTTCGCTGCGAAACCGCATGATGGATACGACTATAAAATGGGGGTTTCGCCATGCCGCTACCCTAAAGCCCCGTCCCAATTTTCAGCCTCTCCCGCTAAGCGAGGCGGCACGTTCAGATATCGCCCGGCGTCGACGGCCTTCTCTTTCATCATCGAGCATGGTGCGTTACACTATTCCCCCCTCCGCCCAAGGGGCCTGGTTGGGATCCCAACGCCTGTTACATGAAACTGGTTTTGATCTCACCCCCGCTCTCCAGAGATTTTCAAGGGAGAATTCTATCGCAATGAGCTGTGCGCCGATCGGCGATTATCTGATCTGCCCAAGATGGCAAGTAGTGCATTCCATACATCCAGACATACTTACCGACATGCATCGGAGAATATCCCGGCTGATAAGCTGCATTTCCAGAAAGGCCGGCCGAACGGAAGGTATCGAGGATACATGACACCAGTCAGCATCGAAATCCACGTCCAGCAGCAACATGCATTGCCTGTTTCATGACTTTGCAGGCTGGCCGGTGACCATCCCAGATAAAGAGCTGTTTGATACCGGGGTGACGAGCCGTGCTGCCTACGTTGTATGTATCGAGTATGTATGTACAAAATATGACTCTTACGAAACACTGGGAATATACAGACGGCAATTAAATGATCTACCCTCCATCGTCTTCAAGTGTCGGAGGTTAATTTGACCAAAAAAAGGCTCAAAAAGCTCTGGAGTCAGCAACATCGTATTTCACACACATCCTTCAAGCGCACGGTCGGTCCTGAGTCATGCTAGCGACTCGGGCCAATCCACTCCGGACGCACGGGGCCTTTTTTAATCTACAGCTAGCGAGTAATGGAGCATCGGCGATGCATCATTTTCTCGCCCGCTGCTTAGAATATCCGGATATTTTAAAACATCCTCCCTGTTTTTTCTCTTCAAACATTTGTTGCAAACCCCCTATTCACATGTTGGCCAAGAAGGACAATCAACCCAAGAGGCACCGGGGTTTCAACAGCTGCAGAGCAACAACTAATACACAGCTGACTAGCTAACCGTCCCTCATGCATCATGCACCTAAAGGTTCTGGAAACTTTAGTACGGAGTACAGAAAACATGTAGGCTTCTAGCTGGTCATAATAGCTTTGATCACCAATAATGCCCTCGATAAATGAAAGCTTACCTAACTAAATAACTTGACTACGCCACAGAAACTAACTAGTTAGAATAAGTCTAAGCTCAAATACAAAAAAGATGGACATGCATACGAAGTACCCGCTAAAAAGAAACCAAAAAACCAAAAAAAAAAACCTCGAATCATCAGTTTCACCTCCCAAGTGAAATTTTCTACATATGACAAGAGATAACACAGAAAATCGGAATGTACGGAGTATAGCGATAGCCAAGTGATCTGTGAACAGCGGACGAAAACTTGTTGTGATACATCGTCTTTTACTCTGCCTATGAGGCAACTATAGGGGCTGTCTCGAAATGAGCTCTATTGTAAGGAAGTAGCGAGAAACGGCGTGAAAAGAAACATGAGCCTAGTACGGAGTACAGACTCGAAAAGTCCGCCGAAAATCGTCATTAGAGACGCTGCATTTAAGACTGCAACGTCAGGGATCGAAAGTGCCTTGCTTGCATTTCGATATGGAGGCAGGAGAATCATAAAATTTAGATATGCCTGTTTCCTGCCGCGATATCTAACTAACCCAGGGGGAACACCATCAGGCCTTATCGTATTATCAGGGGTTTTAAGCATGAACGGGGACGGGCGGGATCAGAGCCGGTGCCGTTGAGATCGTAATATGGAGGGTCCATCGGCAAGGGCTGCTTCTGCCGAAAAACGGACTCTATACGAGCCGCAGTAATCATAATTCTTATCCCTGCGCATCCAGATAGTGGATCTGCTATGGCTGTGAAAAGGCAGCAGCAGCTTCACTGGTATCCACGGAGTTTTATGCATGGTGTACGGAGTACAGAATTCTTCGTCGAGACTCACATTTTCCAAAAATACCTGGTTCTGGAGCATCGGAAATGGTATTTTAAATTACCCGTGTACTTCGTATAGTTCATAGTTTCTTTGACATGGACTATCAGTTGGTTTTTCACTCAGGAGGGAGCATTTCGCACTCGAACCAGTCCTTCTGTTCCCAGGTCTTGCATGGGGGCTAAGGGGTGAAGGCCAAAGTAAGAGCCTCAAAGCTAGTAGGCACGGGCCCCAGATAGATTTGTCGCATTAGTCGTTCATAGCTCGCTTCTTGAGTGAAAGTCTTTGGTGCCTTTTTCACCCGTGGTTAGTTCAGAATAGTCGAAGGCACTCCAACCAGAAAGACACCGTCTAACAGGCACAATGAAAAACTGACTCTGATTTGCTAAGGTCCGCCAAACCTACGAATTGGGTTCCCAAGTGCTGTAACAAGCAACAGGGCACAATCCAAGGCCATCGGAGCAGGCTTCAGAATAAAAAGAAGAGCCCTAGACAGATTTGCGCCTGGGTATACCCTAAAAGTCATACATCCTGAAGTTCCTACTTGCTACTTGCAGTCCTTACTTTCTTGAAACAGGCAAACTCTCCGCGTGTTCGTTCTCTCAAGCGTTTGAGCACACCCCGCATCTCCCCGAGCTCGGCTTGAAGTTTTGCTCTAGCTTCATTATTTGTTCTTCGATCTAGCTCAAGATATATTTGGCTTTGAACCAGGCCTGCGGCATCAGTGGCGTATTGAGACATGGTTTGCGCAATAAACTCCGTATCAAGAGTGGCTTGCATCAGAGCGGGAAGGGAGTATTTAGGACGCGACATGAAGCCTTCAAGGAGCGATTTGGATATTTGGGTAAGGAGCTCCGCCAGGATTGTGTGTGTTAGCGTGTGTGTAGGAGACGAAGGGGACATTGGGGACGATGTGGCGGTTGTATGCCCAGGTAAAGTGGTGGAAACCTCTGTGTGCACCATTACAAGGGTGAGCATGGTGGTGTAGACATATGGTCGAAGTTGATCTGGCCGACTTGTTGATGGAACCCAGTCTGGGGACGAAATTCCGTTAATAATCGTCGAGTGTAATGAGTCGACTACGCTGCGAGTGTATGATTGGAATAAACGGTTGTCAATTTGTCCAAGCACGTCCTGAATGGTTTTCGATTCCTCAGTCAGCTTGACGGCAAAAGCACTTTCAAAGCTTGTAACTAGCTGGGGAACATAATCGGTGCGAAGAGCCCGGAGGTTCGAGAGTGTCAAAAGCATGCGCACATTCTATAAATTACGTTAAAAAAACTCGAAAGACTAGATGTCAAGGATAGAGAGCATACCCTGTTCTTGGAATCTATTCCACCGTAGACAAATACCGATGCTGGCATATCAGGGCTGCCTCCTGAAGTTGAGGGCCCGACTAGGACCCATTCGTCATCCCCCTCGACAACCACGGGCCGTTCAGCATTCTCAACAAGCCCACTCAATGCCTTGTACACGCTCGTCACGAACTGCGAACGAACCATCTGTAGAAGTTTGGCTGGGGGGGGAGAAACAACATCCATAGAGCCGGGCTTTGTCATTGCCTCCGAAATATAGAGTATCTTTTGCATTCCAGAAAGAACGGCGCTTTCAAATGATGTGAAATGTCCAGGCATCTTAGTTAACGCCCTCCGCTCCGGGTCTCTCGTCCAGTCCTCAAGATATTTGCAATGCTCAGCGTCACTGTTCCAGGCTGCACACGTAGCCCGCACGCACCGTTCTCTAGCACAGCTGACAAGCAGTTTCAGTTGATCATGCGTAGTACTTCCTCCCGATATTGGGCTCAAGTCAGCCATCTCACTTGCCGCAGTTCCAATGAGAACCAAAAAGTGACTTAGATAATGGGTTCCACTAAGTGAATTTGCATATGGCGGCCAGAATGCGAATTCTTCCCATGCTTCTCCCATTTTTGATACAGGTGGTGGGATATCATTTGGGTCGAGAACGAACCTAGGTCTGGTAGGCGTTAAGCCTCCCATAGGGGTTGTTGGCGAGGGAATGGATAGACTTGATAAGTCTTTTGGTGGTGGCTCAGCAAAAAGTACTATAATATGAGCCCGGATACGATTTACAAGCTCAACTATGCCCTTATTTAGGTCATTGACGCTTTCTGCCGATAGACGATGATGTTTTCGACTCTCTCCTTCAAAACCTGCGGGAAGAAGCTTTTGCTTGCTTCCATTAATAAATGACTGTGCAGTGTCCCAGAACTCGATTGTATCGCCAAGGAGGCCGCCTTGTATTGAGGCCAGTTTTTTAAGAAAGGTATGCACACATTCCCAGAATTCTAGTACTGACTCGCTATCAAGCGGCTCAGAATGATTCACTGCTGCTTCTCGAGTTGGAAGACGTAAATACGGCGCAGCATTCTGGGGACTTGGCTTCTCTTTGCAAGCCAGGCGACGGCGTAATATCTCAATTTCAGCTTTGCTACGTTCGCAAAAGGTGGTTATTCTTGTCTTTAAAAAGTCATACCGACTTAGGAGCCAAACCCAAACAGGGTTGTCGTCGACTCCGAGTTCCAGAAGAGTCGCTATGAAGTCCATATACTCCTCATCATCCCCAGTAGCAGAAAGTGCCGATGCTGTTGATTGAGTGTTACTCAGACGGCGCCACAAGTCACGTTTAAATGATTGTATTTGTCTCTCAACATCCATCCACATTCTACCAGTGACAAGAATGGTGTGGACCTGATCATCAGTCAAGGGTTTCTGGCTCGACATGGTGCGGTCTACGAGAAGCCTCGCATCATTCGCGTATCTTCGAGCAATTGTGTATTTCTCAACAATGGTGTCGTAGTCGCGCTGCTTAATGCAACGTTGTAGGCTAGTGCCAATTTCGTAGATTCCCCACTGCTTTTCAACAGCATCTAGAACCAACTTCAAATCTTCCTCACGCTGCCTGCCATTAAGCGCCTCTCCCCACAATTCTTCTGCAACATCCACGGCCTCGGATAACGGCTCGTGTATCTCTTTAAATCCATATTCATTGTCTTCCGTTATGGCATTAGGACGGCTTGTTCCAAGATCGGTGCCAATGCGTCTTTGAGAAAGAGAACGTTGTGGTGTAGCTTCCCTATCAGCATTATGATCGCCCATTTCTTCGTATACATTATCAATAGCAGCTTTGACTCGCACAAACTTCTCGAAGTTCGATTCCACCAATGCTTTCAGCGACGCTGACTCTCGGTCGATTGAATCCGTAAGGAAATTCAATCCCTGCAGTAAGGATTGTGCAGAAGCCGAGCGCTGTGTTTGAGTGAGGAATAGTGACGGAGAAAAAGAAGTCGAGGATAAGAATAATCGGCCTAGACGGGGGTCTTGTTCGACTGCTAGGCCTTGTTGCCGCAGTAGCTCCCCTGTGCTTTGAGCACTTCCAAGGGGATCTGGCTCGTCACGATAATTCGAGGCCTCTGACCTACCAAACACTGGCCTTTTGCTTTTCCCAAACCCTCTATAATTATCCTGAGAGGCCTCGTCTCCAGACCCATCACTCACATCCAAATGAATAGGCCACTCTTCTGGGTAGGCGCTAGGCAAATTGTAGTGACGGGCAACGTCTTTCGAGGCTTCCATTGCTGGAAAGTTTCACAACGCAATCAGGTCAAGCACCGGGCCATCGCTCTGGAAAGTTGGCCGCTATTGACGCGGGCACTTGTGATGTTGTGCTAGCTATCAAACAAGGCAAACAGCACTGATTCCGCCGAAAGCCAATGGATTACATAATCTCCTTCTTGTCCTCAATCGTAGCTTTTTCTCCAATTTACCCGCCGCTTCGAGGAGGCTACTAAATTCCCGCAATATTATTGCGTACTGCTTGGATTCATATACCTTTTTGTATAGAGGGGGCCGGCAAAATGTTTTCGGGCCGTTATCTCACATCTTCTCTGCGCCAATGCTCACGACGAGCCGCATTTTTTCCTGGAGTGAGCCCAAGTCCTATCCGAAGCTACTTACGGCCTCTAACACAACATCTCAGAACTCACAGATTCGATGTTATGCTGTCCCCGCAGCTGATAAGATTGCCAAGTTCCCCGGCACAAAAGGATCCGATGTATGTGTCCCTCTACGAAACATTGAATTAAATTTCCTCTTTCTTCATGGCTATATGCGGAAGGCGTCGGCGAACGGAGAATTAAGTACAATCTAGGGTAAATACACCGTGACTTTGATTGAAGGAGATGGAATTGGACCGGAGATATCACAATCTGTGAAAGATATCTTCAGCGCTGCGAATGTGAGAGCCCCGTCTATCGAAGCATTCCCAGTACTCACACCCAATAGGTTCCTATTAAGTGGGAGCCCGTCGATGTCACTCCAATTTTGAAAAATGGCAAAACCACTATCCCAGATGAGGCTATTAATAGCGTTAAAAAGAACTATGTTGCCTTGAAAGGACCTCTTGCTGTACGCATCCTTATCCACTTGCTCAAATGCCCGACTCATACTCTCACTAGACACCTATCGGCAAAGGCCATGTCTCTTTGAACCTGACGCTACGAAGAACATTCAACCTTTTCGCGAACGTGCGCCCTTGCCGCTCTATTGCTGGCTTCAAAACTCCGTACGATAATGTGAACACTGTCCTCATCCGTGAGAATACCGAAGGTGAATACTCTGGCATTGAGCACGTTGTTGTGGATGGCGTTGTTCAAAGTATTAAGCTCATTACGAGGGAGGCATCTGAGCGTGTCCTTCGATTTGCTTTTCAATATGCCCAAGAAGTAGGCAAGCCAAAAGTTCGGGCCGTTCACAAGGCTACCATTATGAAAATGTCAGACGGCCTCTTCCTACGGACCGCAAAAGAAATATCAAAGGAGTTTCCAGACATCGAGTTCGATGCCGAACTTCTCGATAACACCTGTTTAAAAATGGTGACGGACCCACTCCCTTACAATGACAAGGTTCTTGTGATGCCCAACCTTTATGGAGATATTTTGTCAGATATGTGTGCAGGTCTTATCGGTGGTCTTGGACTAACACCTTCGGGCAATATTGGAAATGAGTGTTCTATTTTTGAGGCTGTCCACGGATCTGCGCCTGATATCGCTGGCAAGGCATTGGCAAATCCCACTGCTCTGTTACTTAGCAGCATGATGATGCTTCGACATATGGGTCTCAACGAACATGCGAATAAGATAGAAAATGCTATTTTCGCGACCTTGGCAGAAGGAAAGGTAGAGTGCAATGATGCTACACTGGAATTTTGCTTCCTATGCTAACCTGTCTGTGGTAGATGCTTACCGGTGACCTGGGCGGCAAAGCCAAAACCCATGAGTATGCTAATGCAATTATCAAACAATTTTAGATGTTCTTTGCACTGCGCATTTACACCAGACTCCATACTCCAATATCATCCGTCGATTTGCTTTGTGGTTCATTGAAAACAAAAAGATAGACGGTGGCTTTTTTTAACGAAGACTTTCCTGGTTGGCTTTGACCTTCCACACGCCATAATTTATTTGCTGGCGCGATTTGGATTGCACTATTTCGTGTTCAATGTACGATTGTATATAAATAAACTATACGAATTTCTGTGATGTCACATACGACGTGCACGAACGCTTTGCGAGAAAGACTCTTGACTGCGTAGTAATCGTTTCAATATGCGGGACCAAATTCGTTTCGCCAAACGCATTTTGGTAGCGCATGCGGACATTTTATCATTTTCTTCGTCCCCGTCTTGTAGGTGGTCGTCCACGTTTTGCCTTGCCACGGGTAGTTTGTGTTCGAGTCGACTTTGCAACAGGCGAATCGATAGCGACGGAGGGATCACGCTGGCCTGTATCACCTCCGTCGTTATTGTCAATATCACCAGCCATAGTCTCGTCGTTGGTACTCGTTTTATCAATCGTTTCTATTTCGGTTTGTAGTTTTGATGATCGTGTACCGATGGGCCGACCACGACCACGGCCTCTACGTCTGCCACCGCGCGATGGAGCAGGTGATGGTCGTGGTTCTGTAAGGATGAATTCTAGTTTTTAGAAGGCGAAATAAAAGGTAATGAAGCATTGCGATAAAAAAGAAGACGCACCATCAGGGCTGACAATAGTACTTCCTCTTCGAGACGGTGCAGGAAGGCTAGGAGGCGACGGGGAGCCATCCGGTGCCAACCGCCTTTCAAACATCATATCACCATATTCCTCGGCTTCGAGGGAGAATGGGCAGTATGGGTCGCCCTGTGTATCATTTTCTTCAGACCCGTCCGTTGCAAATGGGTCTTCCTAAATCGCAACACACTCAGTAGCTTGCTAATTGGGAGAAGAGGTTCGCAATTTGCACCCACTCTTTCATCAAGCGCAGGGAGATTGTACAAAGCTCCCAATTTCTTCCATATCCCTGGTATTCGAGTGTGGTCATCCGTCGCATATCCTTGGCTCTTCATGTGTTCGGAAATAGCTAGCATACGGAAGTGCTTATGCATTCCTGATAATAATGAGAAGTCAAATACATAAAAATGGCAGCATTCTCTTTATAGACGAACCTACTGGCTTCCATCGAATTATTCCTTTTAGCAAAGACGTTTCCTGATCGTCAGTCCATGGATCAGTAACAATCAAGTCGAGGTCTGTTTCCGCTGCCTTCGAGGCTGTCGGGGTTATCTCCGATTGAGATGTTATGGAGGGGGCTTGGGATGAGAGCTTTGCCTTCTTCCTTGGAGGCATGGTGCTTGATGGTATTCAGGGTGCGGATTAATCCTGAGCTTGATGTCTAGGTATTTCGTCAGCGAACATCTGGGTCCCCACAAATGGGTCTGTGCATAAGCTAATCTTTATGCGGACTAGTCCCAGAAACGCGACTTAGCCTTCAACGCGGCTTGATTGTACAGAGTACCATGCATCAGATGGTGCCGATGTCAAAGAAGCTTGCTGTATACGGAGTGGCTGTTTTGGTATCTAGAATGGCAACAGTTGAGTTTTGTGCTGTAACTGGCCCTGCGTTTGCCGATTTGCTCACTAGGAACGAGGCGGAGGCATGGATGTTCGGCAAACAGACGACCCCTTTACAGTCGAAATCCCCAGGGAGTCGGCGTTCTTCAAAATCCAGCCCTTGAAGCCACTGGAACAATTCTCTTGGAACGATAATTTTCCAGGTAACGTTATAATTAACCATTGACCTTTGCACCATGCTAATAATCATATCTCCGACTCAGACCTAGCTCATGGCGTTTTTAGAGAACAGTCCCGCATTTTTATCCAAGATGAAACCAACATATTTCCCTTGAATATTTTTGGTGTAGAATCGCCATATACTTTGGGCTCGACTCCGGATCCGTCTTCACCGACTCGAGCCAACGAGGGCCAAGACGACTGTGTGGACAAGTCGAGTGAGACCGATGACATCTGGGAACTAAATAGGATCTCTAAAGCTGCCACGGACTCTCGGTTTCTCAGGTCTTGGGATACCTTTCCCCACCATAAGCCTCATACACTTTACCCAACCTACCTCAGTGAAGCTGGATCAGCTGGCTTCGATGCCGCCTTGGTCTTCCAGGCTAGCCAAACTGGCCTTGAAGACTCAGGACGAGCAGTTCAGACTGACATCTTCATACTTTCCCTCTTCCAACTAGGCTTGGGGTGGAGCACTGTATTTTTCCAATTTAATGAACAAGCGCGAAAATTCGAGAAGTCAATGAAAGATGTACGAATATCCGGAATAAGCCTGACATCCTTAGATGCATTCATCGAAGAACTTTTAGTCTGTGGGTCTCAAGTGCGTCACATTAGAAAGTTCCTGGCGTCAACACCTGAACGAGCCGGCCTATCCCCCGCTCTGGCTAATTTTTCACACGTTGTTTATGTCCTGCTATATGGTCTTGAAAATCACCTTTTCGAACGGTGGCAATGCGGCCCGTCATTACTTGAAACGCAAATACTTTTTAGGCGCTCACAATGCTTAATCAGATGCCTTACTGATATAATCGAAACCGTGAAAGACTCGGTGGTGGAGAGCGATGTGATTTCGGCCGTTCTCCTGAGATGTGAGCATCTCTCGCATGAATTTCTCTGGTTGACAGATATTTTACACGAAATTCTCGTTGTCACTGCTGGAACTTGGCTTTCTAGGACTGCAAAGTTAATTGGCTTGCCTACACCAGGAGTGACCTGCTCTGATAGAACACATTCCCAAGATTCCCCATTCCACATTGAGAGCGGAGCCGCCTTGATGGAGGCGGGGACTGTTTCTAATTTGACATCTGGAGTTGTTAGCTACGAGCAGACTGAAATTATTTCAGAATGCGCTAAAAGTCTTTGTTTTCTCAGAACCTTCCACCCCGATCATCCACTTGCAAGAAAAATGGGCCTGCAAAGTTCTACTCGTATATCACTAGAATGTGCCTTTACGTGGGACGATATGGATCGGATTCAGGATAAGGCCAATGCCTATGAGGCGAGCCTCCGTGTGGACATATTGAAGTATAGCCATGGGAGGGAATACTCCACTCAAAATTTACCGGACCTAGTCAGACCCCCTCGCAAGGATGAGGCGAAAGACTCAACGATCAATAAGATCTTTCAATTAAGCGATTTAAAGTTTGGGGCTTGTGAATCCAAGCTCGACGGCAAAGACTCGGCCTCTTCCTGCAAGCTGTACCATCTCGTTTCAAATAGTCCGTGCGTTGATGCCAGGAAAGGGTTGGGTGTCGAACTGCCATTAGGGCCGCCTCTTCTATCAGCCCTAGGCCTATCCTTCATACCCATTCTATCCGCACAAACCAGACTTATCAATTTTTCCTGCCTTCATCTGCTTTTCAAAAAACACAAACTCAAAATGCATCTACGACTACTGTGGCGCTTTCAGCTAGTTGGGGATGGTGCGTTTCTATCCAGACTATCCACAACCCTGTTCGACCCTAATATGCAAAGTGGTGAGCGAAAAGCTGGTGTTGCGCGTGGCGGAACGAATACTGGCCTTCGTCTTGGTAACAGAGATACTTGGCCTCCAGCTAGCTCAGAGCTCCGTTTGGTACTAATGGGGATGCTGGCTGAATGCCATGCTGAGTATTTGGGCACTAATTCAGAAAGGTCCGAGACGCTTAAAGTAAATAAAGATTTACCAGGTGGGCTCAGCTTTTCGATTCGCGATCTCTCCGATGACGAGCTCGTCAAATGCAAGGATCCAAATTCTCTCGAGGCACTCGATTTCCTTTGCCTTCAGTATACTACACCCCCTGCACTAAAAGATGCCATCACGCTACGAAGCTTAAGAAAATATGATCGCATATTTAAGCATCTACTAAGGCTAGTACGACTCTTAGCAACAGTACGTAGTCTTATACGAAGCTCTCGAGGCCGCCCCTTAAGAAGCGCAATGCCCCATGAGCAAAAGTTTTCCTACGAGGCATTTCATTTTGTCCAAGCTGTTAGCGAATATTGTTTCCACATTTGCGTTAGCGAAGCCTGGCATAGGTTCGAAAAGACGCTTTCAAAAATTGACAAGTGCATTGATGACGGGGATATTGATGGAACGATTGATCATGCAAAAAGTGTTCACAGACTTAGAGACTACCATGAAGATGTTCTGGAACAGATTCTGTTTGCAATGTTGCTGAGCAAGAAGCATGAACAGGCAAATGCTTCGTTGGAGGGAATTTTCGGCACAATACTCTCCTTCGCACAGCACTTGAAACCAGATAATGACAATGCAAGGCTACTCCGTTCATCTGGCCGGTCAACCCAGGAATTATTTGTCCTATTCAGAAGACAGGTAAAAGGATTTGTTCGATTTTTAAAAAGTATCGGGCGTGTCCAGTCAATCCGAAGAAAAGCAAGATACGACGATTTGGAAACATGGGGAGCTGGTCAGACTGATGCTAGTACGAATAGCATTTTTGATCATTTGTTGCTGAAACTTGATATGACTGAATTCTACTAGCATGGGCATATGAGAACTGAATTTATAATTATAAGAGGGACAGAAATATAAAATTTGCTCTCAGTGGGCTGAATAAAGCAATATTTGGGCTACTCTTTTCTAGGCTAATGGTTCTGTACCATAAAGCATATCGGCCAGCATCACTCAGCCTATGGTCGTAGCTGCGATTCGAACGTACCGCCTATCGATCTGCTGGAAAATGAACAAATTACGACGGAGGATTAAGGAGTATTGAGTTAAATAGCCGGCAGTCGCCCATAATGGTTCTTGACTGTTATTCTGACCTTAGAGCATCGAATTTCAGAGATGTGAGAAGAATATGCAATGCGATGTAAATGTGCTATTAGTTGTCCGTAACTATCCTTTTCACTTTCTCAAGAAGAACTTTGCTCTGGCGACCGAGTCTCTGCTTTCCGAACTGATCAGGCCTCTTTGCTTTTATCATTGCGTGGCGTTCTTTTTCCTTTGCTTCTCGTAATCGTCTCTTAGCCTCAAGTTCCTTTTTTCTGAGCTCAGCGACTCTCATTTCCTTGGTAAAGGGCATGGGCTTAGGCCTACGTTCCCTTCGTCGTGGCCTTTCTCGCAAGGTCCTTTGGTCCTTTTGCAGGACAGCAGATTTGTCTTCTTCGGGTGAGTCTAGCATTGCCTGGCGATCAGGATGCAGTTCTAACGACGCTTCTGGAGCTGGCACTTCGCGCAACATTTTTTGACTCGCCTCAAGCGTAGGTTCGGCATCATATACTGATTTTGTTTGCGGAGTAAGGTTCTCTTGAGCTTTTATTTTCGCATAGGACTTTTTTACTTTTGCTTTATGGATGAGATCCGCTTTGATCTTCTGCACTGTAGATTTGTCAGAGATCGTTAGTCAATGTTGCACATTTTGATGGTAGTCGGCCTACCTTTTCTCCTATATGTCCCGTCAGGCAGGTTTGCGGGGCCAACGGAGAACCCTTTTCTCTTCTTTTGTAGACTCTTCTCCACGTCATCGGCGTCGTCGCGCGGCCTTTTCGGCGCCATCTTGCCAAACTCTGATCTCGGCAGTAAAATGGTTTTCGTGAATCGGATTGCGCGGCTATATTTCGCTCACGCCAGCAAGGATGCGATTGGTGATCAAAACCGTTAGAGATGACGAGGAAGGGTAAAAAGGCGTTTCGGGCGCCGCTAGGGATCCTGGGTTGGTTCGACGTCTCTACGTTGAAAACCGGATGCAACGGACGATGGGCCGATGCGGGCAGTGCCGAGAGATTAAACCACTGGCAGCCCTGGAATGTCGGATGCGACAGCTTCTTTGCGTACTTATGTAGCTTCGGCTGGGGGGATGAAAACCTTCGAGGCTCGCCGTAGCTCGTAATAAGTTAGTAACTAACTACGGAGGAGTGGGCGGGATCATGCTTGTCACTCCACTTGCATCCCCGCCACTGTGCCACTTCACTCTCCACCGGCTCGATGAGCTGCCACGTCTGGTCCTGCTGGAAGTGCCTCTTATCTACGACCAGATGGACTGCTTTATTTCGCCATCATGCCCATTTTCAAAGACCCAGATCGCCAGTCGCCCTATGTCTTCCCGCCCCGGTCCCATGACCAAAGTCATCCCGACGTCTTGCCCTCTCTGGCTGCCCCGGCGAAAGAAATAGACAGCTTCCAGGACCAAATCATGACCGACGCCATACCTGACGGACCGAGCACGGAGTCCCAGAATCGCCCCACGTTGCAGACCAGCGATCGAGATGAGCTGATCCGAAGTATCAAAAGAGGAGAGAGCCCGACGTGGGTGCCGAGCCCTTCTGTGAGTAATACTGGACTTTCGAGGAATACGCCCCATTATTGTCTGGAAATCTTTGTCTTCCGTCGTGAGCTGGTTCACTATAGGTTTCAGTATGTATGATATCTTGTGGAAATGTGCTAACTTGATGGGTTTGTGAAGCTGGAGAAGTATTTTGCGGCTCACGGAGATGCTCCGCAAACCAGGCTGGAAGAGTTGCAAAAGAGAACAAAACTATCTCTTTCACCGGACGAGGATATACTGCTACCGTTGGAGCAATCTCCGAGCAGTGAAGGCCGGAGTTCAAGCAACCTATCATTAGACCTGGCATCCGAGATCGAACGTCCAAGGTCGGCTTTACATTCGGGCGATTTTCACGAGCGTTCTCCTCATGCCCCAACAGAGTCTGAAAAATGCTGTTTTGTTCCACAATCCAATCTTGGCATGCCAGCTGCCTCACCTACAATCCCTTGGGCCTCGCAGGAGAATCAACCGTATTCATTTCAAGAGCCACCGTCATCGCCACAGCTGGAACGTATAGGTTTCCTTGACTCCTTTAGTCAATTACGAGCCTCTTCGTTTGGCTCCAATGCAACCAACTATGTTCTCAAACCAGCTACGAGCCCCCTTGTCCAACAGGCTAATAACCCGGACCTTGATCTGCCTCCCGGAATTGAGTCGCTTGAGTTAGCTCCGTCCTCCGCTAAGGCTAATCGCCGACGAACACTACCGCCAGATGCGTTCCAAGCATCGTCGCAAAATCAACAATGGAATCACACCAACAGAGCGTCATCAGTGTTCCCCCACAGAGAAGGGCTGTTTTCCTATCAGGGACACCGGCCACGAAAGTCCTTAACATCCGGGTTTTCACTACAGCCCACCTCATCTCCTCAAAATTCATTTATTTCCCGCAGCCGGCGTATGTCCCATTCATCTGAGGCGACACTCTCATACCATGCCTCCATGGTTGGCTCCTTCGAAGAATCTATTCTTCGTGGTAGAATGTCGATGTCTCCATCAAGGCCCTTAGATTTCACCGCCCAAATTGGAGTACTGGGAAAAGGCGATTGTAAACCTGGCTTGAAATGCCCTCTTCATGTGACTGTGTCGTTTCCAGCCGTCTTTTACAGCTATCCCGCTTCGGGCGGCGGAAGAACTATATCAGATGACAACCCAAGCCCATATGTGGGCTATATTGATGTCGAAAATTCTTTTCCAAAAGAAAACCGCCGGAGTAGGAAAGGTTCCGAGCAGATATCAATACCTCCAAAGTGTCCTTGTCCTCATAATATAAACGAGGAGCGTATTGCTAAATTTCAGACGCGAGGAAAAAGATCAGGGCGAAGATCTCAGTCTCCGAAGTCTCCACCTGGAGGTTGCTACAGAATTCCACAGCAGGGACAACTACAAATCGTAATCAAGAACCCCAACAAGACAGCAGTCAAGCTATTTCTTGTTCCTTATGATCTTGAGGGGATGGAACCGGGAACAAAGACATTTATTAGACAGAGATCCTATTCCGTCAGCACTATGTCTGACATGACCGTATCAGCACAGGAGAATAACTCCCAGACACAATATGAAACAACCAACGATAAGCCCATACTCCGGTATCTTGTCCATTTTAACATATGTTGTCCATCTAAAGGCCGCTTCTATCTATACTCTGGAATTCGAGTTGTGTTTGCCAATAGGGTTCCAGACGGCAAGGAGAAACTAAAAAATGAGTTACACTACCCTGAACCTCGTTACTCTCCTTACAGGCCCACAAAAGGAGTCAATAGCTGTGTGATTAAAACCTACTCAGACGCCGCTTCGAAAGGCCCAAATCCTGAGGTCGGATTTGAATTAGGTTCTCAAGGGTTTTTGAATCTGGTTGATTTTGGTCCCAGCAAAATGACGCCCCTGGCATCTTCAGCGAAGTCTTCAGCCTTGCCTATTTATCATCAACCGAGCAACAATTCTATACCAATGGAAATGAATATAAACCCGATTCATAGGCCATTAAACACATATCAATTGGACTCACTCGATTTTCCCTATTTGGATGATGAGTCTTTACGGTCACAGGCTTCAAATACGTTAACCGACTCAAGACCATGTGAGGAAATTCGGAGTAAATTTAGGAGGGAAAAGGATTTCGACAGTGGAAGATATATTCCTACTCCTACCTTGAATAATATAGGCTCCGGAAGTCTGTTGGCACAGAAGCTGCGCGGTTTTCAAGATCGTCATTTTCATAACAAGTGAGATAGTGTTGCGAAGCTGCGTTGCATAAGAAGCAACATGTTTGAATCCTTTCTTTTATCCCGGAGTATAAGGATGATATATGCACCTATTGGAATATTTTGGAGACACCTCTTATTTTTCTTTTTTTTGCATTCCCCTTTGCCATCTCCGTCGCGTTATATACCCACTCATTTGATTAGTAGAAACATTGGGGACTTTCGTTGTGTTCTTTCTCCTGTTGGTGATCTAGTATGCTTTCTGCAACGGTAATGATACTCTTTACTTGATGAGTTCGTCGGCGTCCTCTGTAGTATGTTTCACTCTTTCTCAAGCATGCTAGGTGCTGTGATGACTTTGTACCTACCAAACCTGGTAGTCACAGTACTACTAGAATTCCTAGCCCACTCTGCTAAAATCTCTTACGCATTTTACCTAAATTTGCTATGAAAATTTTGGTGGAAGCTGCGAAAACATTTGATATCATCAAACGAGCGATGGCTATAAGCTACAAGGTTGGACTGGATGAGATGCATAGCCAGGGCTCTGCTCATTGGTCATGTGCCTAGCTCTGCATATGTACCTAAGGAACGGTACCTCACCAACTGAGGTGTCAGAATATTAGTTAAACGTCATACAAATGTACGTCCTCTCTCTGTTTAACTGATCACTATCGACAACGAAAATACTGGTTTTCATATTTTTTTCGAATGTTTTCTACCAGGTCATTCCTTCCAGTAACTAGGAATGCCCGAAGGCTCCAGCACATCATGTCTATGAACATTCAAGTTCCGTGTGGCTCAATCGTGGAAGAGGATCAAAACCCTGATTATAACCCAAAGAACTTTTATCCTACGCGAGTTGGAGAGACAATACAAGGGAAGTATCGAATTATCTCGAAGCTAGGTTTCGGCACAAGCTCAACGATCTGGCTTGCAAAAGACACTTCGCGATAAGCAAAATTGTCTTTATTTCTGACTCAAGCATTAACTGCCAGAAGATGGCGCTGGCAAAGCAATAAATATGTGGCCCTAAAGATTACAAACTCCAAGATCGAAGACCAGAAAGCGGCCCGAGAAGAAGTGCAATTCTTCAAACACATATCCAATCTTTATTCCACCCATGCTGGTAGTGGTCTGATACGGCGGTTTGAGGAGTCGTTTGAGATACAAGGCCCATTTGGTACTCATGTCTGTTTGGTGTTTGAACCAATGAGAGAACCGATATGGTTTGTAGGAAAGCGTCTTGGATGTACCAGTCTTCCCTCAGCGGTTGCCAAAGCATTCGTTAAAGTGATTGTGACAAGTCTTGATTTTTTACACTCTGAATGCCACATCATCCACACAGGTGAGAATATTCCCAACCCATATCTAAATTTTTCTAATCAATTGTCAATAAGACCTAAAATCCGATAACTTCCTTTTGGCATTTGAAGATTCAGCTATTATCGAAGAATATGTGCGTCAGCAGGAGAAGAGCCCAGCTCCATTTAAGGATGGTGATGGACACCCCGTATATCAATCACGTCCGGATTTCGGGCCTTTGAAAAAAGGCATTTGGAAAAATTAGACTTAGTGATTTCGGAGCTGCCGTATTCGGCAATGTTTCAACCCCACATAGCCATGATATCCAGCCTTTTGAATTTACTGCGCCAGAGGTGCTACTGAGAGGAACATGGACCTATAGCGCTGATATTTGGAATTTGGGAATGATGGTAAGCTATATTTGTCGAATGGTTTGTGCATGAAAAGCTGAAGCTGATATACCCTATAATAGCTATGGGAGCTGTTAGCAGATACTTCCTTGCTCAATGGCATTGGCCCTGGGTGTACGTCTTATTCTCATGAAGCACATCTTGGACAGATGATACGACTTCTCGGACCTCTGCCGTTGGAGTTATTAAACAGGGCCGATAAAAATGTAGTTTCAACACTATTTTCGGATCAAGGTACGCAAATGCAATAGTTCTACATCGATTTTTATTTTTCTAATTGTCTAAATAATATCAGGTGATTTCAAATATCCTCATTTGGTACCTTCGGAAGACTTCAATTTCTCGACTCTTACCCCCTTCTTTGAAGGCGAAGATAAATGACTCTTTCTTAACTTTGCAAAGAGAATGTTGACATGGATGCCAGAGGAGCGGGCTACTGCAAAAGAGTTGCTTGATGACCCCTGGCTTGATTTACGGCGGTAATCTGTGCCTCCTCCTGCCCTCAGTACTGGCTGAGTGGGCGAAATAGCCTCATTTTTAGGATACTCTTGTGTTTATGATCATTGAATAGATGACAAACGAAACTTGATTGCTTCACTTGATGCTGATGGGATAACTTCAACTGGATTCTTATATTATCATAGTATATACTGGGGAAAGCACGTACTTACCATCCAGTGAATCTTCTTACAACATATATACGAAACCCTAGATAGAAATATTTTCGCCCATTTAGCCTTTACCTGCCAAAATATAATGGTACTATAAAGGAAAACATTCGAGTTAATCATTCATGTAAGGCTAGGCTCAGAGCTATAAGAGATCCAGGGGACTAGAATAAACCAACAGAGATATGTTCTATACAAGACAATCTAATTATACCAGTAGAGATTCAGTATATATTTACCCACCGATCACTATCCAGCATGCTCCACAATTTCACTGACAAGAGCCCCATCCTTTACATAACTTCTGATTTGCTCTGGTACGGGACATTCTTTATCATCCATATCTTCAGATCCCCCCTTAGGTGGTAGGACGATATTCACACTGGTGCATTTACTTGTCAGTATATCTGTCCCCAGACTAGCTTGACTAAGATATATTGTCGCGCTATCTACTTGGTCAAGCATCACGGTAGGAACTACCCCGTCGATCTGGAGTGCAAATTTGGGGGACTTGATGACTTCCAGGCTGCTGACCAATGAATCGATGATGATTGACACTTCACTGCAGTTATCGATCGAAATTGCATTTGCTTTGTTGCTGACTTTGACAATGGTTTTGTGGCAGCGAGATACAAGAATCGACTGGGTGAGGGAAGCAGAAATATCGATCACGTCGCCAGGGTTATCAAAATGTTCGATGAACCATTTATTGCCATCTAGTTGTTTTCGGGATGGCTTCTTCGCCCGCATACTCTCGGGTTTAGGCTTTTTACTAGGTGCAGGAGACTTGCCACGAGCCACAGGTATCTGAGAAGAAGCCTTGTCAGAAACTAAAGAGCTGGCACGAAGACTCGGATTCTTGTGTGTCATTTCGGATTTGTCGACTTTGCGGAGATTGGAGGTGATTGCGGAACCCTGGTTTAATTGCTCGAAAACGGCGGACATGTCACTATTCGAGGCAGCCTGGGGTACAGGAGCGCCACCAGGCGGCGGCGGTACACCCAAAAGCTCAAGATTGGGTAATGGTGGAGGCGGAGGAGGAGGGGGGGCACCATCCGCAACCGGCGCTTCTGAGGATACTTCCTTGAGTGCCTCCATAACATCAACGCCATCTTTGTTCCATAATATACCCCGGGGGAAATATTCCGTAATATAGGCTATTAAAGATCGAAATATAACATAGTAGGCTTGGATATATTCCACGTGGGTTTTGTCCCTGTAAGTCACTGTCGTTAGTAAAAACAATACACCACTAGAATATGGACAGCGTACTTTTCTTTGTATTCATTCAGGACTCTATTACCATAGAATTGAGCACCGCCCAAGACATCTGTCACAAATTCAGCGGGTCTGATCTCGAAGAACCATCCCATCGACATAACACCTTCTGAAATAGCGCTGAGGTGATTGAATAACGGCGAGGGTCTGTTGCTTTCTCGAATATTGTTTATCTCATCGGATGCTCTGTGAAGCTCCGTCAAGAGCTCTGGCGGTTGTGGGTCAGGTTTTTTGGATTTGGTTGAGACAAGAAGGTATTTCCTTTCGGCTTCAAAAGCTTCTAGAACGGCTTGAGCCTGCCGGAAACTGTTGAGCAAAAGCTATTCCATGGGCATGATAGCAAACTTACTTGCTGAGCAACAGCGCCACCGATCTTTTGAGCAATCCCCACGAACGGCTTTACTTTGGTGTTTATCAGCTCGTCAAACGCCTCGATCGATTTGGGCAAGCTCACTGCCGCCGGTGGCGGAGGTGGAGGTAGTACTGCAACAGCAGTCCTTGGGGGGGCTTGGTGCGTAGCTAGGGCGCCCTTTGCGGCCTCTGGTGCTGGAGAAGCCGAAGGGCTTGGCACCTCGAGTGCGGATGCCATGTCTTCAAGCCGGGATGTTGCTGCCTCCAGCCTAGGACATGTCAGACACCAATAAATGAAGGCAATAAATCCCTATCGGATCGGAGGCAGCATACCGCTTGATAAGGGTGGTAAAGCTATTCATGTGGCTTGTATTTGACGCCATGATTGCGAATGTCCTGCTGGAAGCTGCGGCACTAGCAGGTACGAGGTGTGTGGGAAGTGTGGGTTCGAGGAGTCGTTTAATATGATCGAGTTGCCCTCGGGTTTCTTAAGAATTATCGACCCAGCATACAGCAATGGGCTCTGGGCGAATGAGAAACTGATGGAGTTGGTTGTTCAGGAGTTCAAAGCTCGAGAAACTTAAACTCAGACGACATCGTCATACGATGGTAATATTACCCGCCCTCGCGATAATACAACGTATTCCACCGTTTAATTACCAATCTCCCACTGCTGGATGAGCTTCATCCCGTTTCGTGTCTCTTCGAAGCAGAATCCAGCCTTCACTTGGATGGCCTCTTTGCCTGATCGCAACGCTACGGCGTGGGGCTCGAACGTTGACTTCTGTACCCTGGGGATGTTTATTGTCGGCCAGTCAAGACCCATGGCTTGTTATGGACTAGCTAGTGTAGCTGACAAGATCGAAGTGCAGATGACATCGAATTCGAAGCACCAACTCCTCCGGTAACAGGGGTTATTGGAGGAGCTGGATCATACGCAGCCGTTGGAGCGCGAATGGTCGCTGGACAAGAGCATTCAAACACGGTGGGCTGGATTGTTGACTGCGGGTCCGACTTCCCAGGGACTATAAAAGAAACCATTCTATCCTGGAATACCCATTGTATTTTTAGGGAAGATCACAGTCGGCTTACTACAAGAGGATGGAACGGATATGGGCCAGATGAGAAAAGAGGTTAGTAATAATAAGTATGCGACTTATGCATGTACTCATGTATAAGCGTATGGCAAGATAATGCTGATCAGCATTTAGATTTTAGATACTTGACACCAAAATTACGTTTGGACGAGGAATCCCTGACAAATTCTCTCCTGCTTTCAAAAACGTTCCATATAATTTGTTCCTCGCTTCGGTGCTGTGAACTGGTTGACGGCATTTTGAAAAGGAGGTCTGAGGTGCTCAAAGAAACAAACATTGACAGTTCTCAACTTAGGGCACGACCTATTTTCGTATGGGAACCTGTTCCTGACAGGTGTTTCCCAGAAGAACTGGAAAATTTCTACAAAGCTATACGCTACGTTGACGTAGTCAGCCCCAATGAAAATGAGCTAGCACGATTTTTCGGCGGAACGGTATGGACTGCAGCCAATCCGCAAGATCAAAGAATTGCTGCAAAGATCACTCAGTTTGGTATTGGCCCTAAGGGCGACGGTATGCTCGTCATCCGGGCTGGGAAGGATGGATGCTATGCTTTTTCAAGAAATGGCACGTTGAAATTGCCAGCGTACAAATTTGTTGACGTGGTGGACCCAACTGGAGCAGGAAATACATTTCTCGGAGCCTTAGCACAAGGCTTAGTGAGCTCCGGGCGTGCACCTTTTAATGTAATACAGGGAATATGTGGGTCCTCAGTATGGTGGCCTGGCATTAAATGTAACTGGGGAAACGACGAAGAAACTCCTACTGCATTGATCTGCGCTATCATTGCAGCTAGTTTTGCGATCGAACAAATAGGTTTACCCAAGATCTCATTCTCGAATGAAGGATTCGAGTGCTGGAACGGGAGTCGTTATACGGAACGAATCCGTCTGTACATGACGCAGCTCAGGGATTTGTATGATACATTTTCGAAAGGTAATAAATAGCTCAGCCGTTTGAGCAAAATGTGGCGTCTCTAATGCAACCGTAACACCTCCACAAGAATATAGAATCGCAGAACATATATTCAATTTCCATAGCCTCACGACTTCTCCTTTGCGGCCTGTTCTCTTTCATGTTCTAAAATTTGTTTGCTCCACCTAAAAATATCCATACATCAGCGTGGGTCTGGTGTCTGTAAACTCAAAGAGAACATACCACCGGCTAGGAAAGAACATGCCCGGCTCTGGGAACTTCGTCCGTCTTTCTCGCTCGGCACTAAAATTAAATGCCAGAGCTCCTATTCCCAAAACTACCACGCCCATGATCGCCGTATTTGCTTTCCAATTTGCAGGCTGGCAGTACCAACCGCCAGCCGGAGACCAGACATGCTTCGGGTAACTAGCGTAATATTGTCGATTAGCACGGGTGTTGATGGCCTTGGCTGGACGCGAATAGTTGCAGCAGAGCATTGGCTTACCGAACTCTAGGTCCTCCTCCCATTTTGAACTAAAGTCGACGATAAGGCACAGTAATAGGCTCCGAAGCACTCCAGATCGGCTTTTTGATATGTGAAGTCGTTGGTTGTCGTAACCTTTGCGCTAAGCCCCATTTGGGCCTAGCGTGGCCTCACCTGACCCAGACAAAATCCATGAAGCTTTCTCGCGTCCAAAAAGATTTCGATCGCGATAGAAACTCGAGAACCGCTGCCCCGAGTCCGCATGCCTTCAATTGCAGAACTATAAAGCTTTGAATTACCATAAAGCAGGTCTTTAACAGCTGGGATCCAATGAAAAGATTACAGCTCCTCAGGTGGAGCGGCTCGGTCCTTTCGCCGCGATTATCGAATTCTAGCAGCACACGACAGTTTTTCCTGACCGTTATACGACAGCAATCTTCTGCTTCTGCCCCTCTCCTCTCAGAATCGGAACAAAATATTGATAATGATTTCTCCAATATACAGGGTTCCTCACAGAACCCATCCATGCCGTCCCCCCCACAAGAAGCGGCCTTAAGATCCGCCAAACTATCAGCTCTACACTCCCGACTCTCTCTACCTGAGCGATTGCCGCTTCAAACTCTTGCTAGAACACTAGTTGATCATTCGGCGGACCCCTCTTTACAGTTCAACAACCACTCCTTATCCGTACTAGGCACTCACCTTCTCTCTTACTATACCTCCGAACACATCATCTCCACCTATCCGCGGCTCCCGATGGGCGTGATCTGGGCATCTATGTGGGCATACATTGGACCAAAAGCGCTGGCAACTATAAGTAAAGAATGGGGTATTGAGCATGCTGCTGAGCCTGGCAGTGAAGTTGACCCCGGTCTTCTCCAATTCAAGAGGTTGCCTCCGGGGTCGAAACCTTCCGATTCAGAACGGGGTGGACGCCCTATGAAACGCGGTATAAGTGGGCGAATCGTGTATGACAACATGTTCGGCGAAGCTCGACAGTTGGATCCAAAATTCAGTTCTGAAGGAGTCACAATGACGCACGCTACCGCCACATTCGTCCAAGCCCTTATCGGCGCAATATATCTACATTGCGGCCGACCGGTAGTAAAGGAATTTTTCAAAGAACACTTTATGAGTCGCCAGCTTCCTATAGCTGATCTATTTAGTTTCTCTCAGCCCACGAGAGATCTAAGCAAATTATGTGCCCGAGAAGCCTTCGAACCTCCCGTCGCAAAAATTATTAGTGAAACAGGTCGACACAGCAGACATCCAGTTTTCGTCGTGGGAATATATTCAGGGAATGATCAGCTGGGCGAGGGATCCGGTGCGAGTTTAAGCGAGGCTCGTTTTAGAGCGGCAGCTGCAGCTCTCAAGGGTTGGTATTTATACAGCCCCCTAAATGTCAGAGTACCGAGTTCGACAGAAGAAATAGACGCCACACCATGGGAACCGGCAATGGTGGATCCCGGAGAAATTATTGTATAAAAGAGAGCACGTCGTACAACCAGGAATATGGGAGAATTTTGACATCTTTCTCTGTCGGTCTTTTGTGTACAATATATGGCGTTGCCTGATGCTTCTTTTCTAATTTATATGGCTCCCTATGTTCTTGGTTTCACGTGTTGGGTCTGATATCTATAGCAAGATATTTCTCTCCAATCTGGTGCTTCTGGGTATCCATCTGTTCAAAAGAGATGGAAATGGCGGACTCGTCCCATCCAATCTTTCTTATACATAGATTTAGCATACATACCAAGGTCGTGGCACTGCATGCCAAACCAAAATTCGCCTGAATAAACCTATCTTATGTCAAGTTCAGCGCTGCGGGCGTTCTCTGAGATCGAGTACTGATATTTTTGGCTAGGCGATCGCGACAAAAGTTGTAGCTAGTTAAGTTTTGGTGAAGCTCTTGACAGTACGGAGCACGGAGTATGTAGTAAACTATTTCACATGCTTGCGGTTCCCACGCCCAGGCAAAAGCCCGACGACAAGCACAAAGTTTTGCGCATTCCACGGAATCGAGCTGCGAGTCTTCTGGGAATAAGCAGGAACTGATTCTCTAGCCCGAAAGCCTGATCGCTTTGTTCTTACCAACACGCACTGACATGTTACCCAAACCGAAGCGGCTTTGAACCTCGGCCAAACACTATACAAAGCGTTTGGCTGTGCTGGACACTTTTGGATCTTAGACATTTCTTCTTCCTTTACTTTCAATATATACGTGTTATTTTTTTTCAAGGCGTTGTTCACTTTCTGCCGATTTCCAACATGTCGCTCTTCACTGTACCCATCAGTACTGGTGGATCTTTTGAGTGCACTTCCCCAGCCGAGAGAGTGTACCTCCTTACATTCAACTCCCCACCGGACAATCGACAAACTACCGCATTTTTGGACGCATTTAGCCTTGCCCTTGACATTGTGGAAACTAAATTGGCCCCTGGGGTTCTTATAACGACCAGCAAGATCTCCAAGTTTTACAGCAATGGATTGGACCTGGAGCATACAATGGGAACCGAAGGGTTTTTCCCGAATGTCTATTGGCGCTTTTGGAAGAGATTACTTACGTATGTTCCCATATCTGATTCCGTTCTTTATACGAGCTTTGGCGTTTATGTCTTGGTCACGATCTGGGTTGGAACATGAAGCTGTCCGCAGAAACCATTAGCTCTGACCATTCGCAAGTCCTCGATAATCAAGCTTAAGAAAACATATAATTAACGTGACAACAGCTTCCCTTGGCCCACCATCGCCCTAATTAACGGACATGCGTACGCAGGAGGTCTTTTTGTCGCGCTACTCCACGACTATCGCATCCAGAGCCCAACAAAAGGGTATCTCTGTTTGAATGAAGTTCATTTTGGAGCCTGGCTCCCCGCACCCATGGCTAGTATTGTGAAATACAAAGTTGGAAGACCCGCCACTGTGCGAGATTTGATCACGGAGGGTAGGCGGTTTGACTCGAAAGAAGCATTGTCAGCGGGGATAATCGATGCCACGGGAGGGTTAGAAGAGGCTCTCAAGCTAATCAAAGATCGTTCGTTGATTAAGCTTAGCCAGACGGGATCATATGCGATGTTAAAAGAGGAAGTATATAATGAGACGCTGAAGGTACTTGAATCCCATGAAGAAAATGAAAAAATAAGAGTAGACCGTATACAAGAGAGGGAAGACTCCGAGCCGGGCCGTATTGAAAGAGTGGGCGCTTGGGAGAAACGCCAGGGTGGGTCGAAACTATGAATATGCGTTGAACAAATTTCTCAAGATTGTTCTAGATACAATATTTAGATACATATACCCGAACATCGATAGTTTTGAATCTTTGATGCATTCAAGGCCAGGCAGGCAGCCGGTTCAGATGGGCACCTCTAATCCCGTTTTCCTCCTTGTCCATCAATATATTTCCTATATTCAACCCAAAGTTCTTGTACTGAAGCGCCGAACAAGCCTCGCCAAAAGCTCTTCGTTGAAGCGGTGCAAGAGGCGTCGGTGTCATTATTTTCACCAACATACCCTGTTCGCAAAAGCCTATCATTGATCAGACCTACTGCGCCGGTACCGACTTTCACATCTTCGAGCCACTCGAGAAAGAAGGCAGTGTCCTGGTAGCCGCGGTCCCATGAATCAGGAAGGTCCGCGCAGCTAAGGGGTCGATGCCAGTGGGGTGGAGATAAGCCAGCCTTCAGGCGTACAAAGTCTGCTATGCCTTCTATAAGGCCTGAAGGCGGAGACGGCACGGATTTACTACCAGGCGGGCATGTGTGCTGGTAGCAGTGCACCATTTCATGCGTCAGAACGCCAACAAGCTCGTGTATTGGGTCCTTTAGAGTAGCGCTATGAGCAATATATGCGAGGGACAGGTGGATTTCTTTGTGGTCAACATCCAAGTCGATGGATGTGGTATGTGCCACTCCGGAAAAGTCGCGTAGAATGAGGGTCACAGATCGCGTTGGAGGTAAAGATGGAGTGAAGCAGATATGCTGGGACCGGCATGATTTTGGGCTCGCGTATAGATACATGACAATATAGGATAGCGCAGCATGGAGCACACCCTCTGGGTCCGGAAAGCAGCGGAAAAAGGTCGTTGCTGACCTGTGAGTGATATCTTGCACATGGAGACGAAGCTTTGGCGATGGGACTTCTAGCCGTGATGTCGCGCTTTCATTAGAACCGTCGCTAGCGTTCGGATCCTCTGTTGCGGCAGGCGTCTCTCCTTGTACGATTCTGTGAGGAATCGGAGATGGAGTTGGCTCAGCTGAGGAAGTTTCGCGAGGCATTTTGGTGTCCAGTGTTGGTAGTGAGGACTGAGGTGGCGATGGTTAATACTGGCCACGTCTGGCTGCGGCTGGACGATGCGCTAGGTGCTCGGGGAAGGTAGCAAGCCCATCTGGACAAGGCACGGTGCTCATCGAAGGAGCAGCTTCGCCATCGCTGAAGATTTGTTACACGATTCGATCCTTCACGGGGACAGCGTACATCGCCTAGCACCACGGACATCAACTACCTGGTACTCCGTAGATATTTTGCATGGCTGAGAGTTCCTTTCGTCCAGACGGTGCTTTTATTGGTACAACTTTGGGCATCAAAGGTTTGTGGATCGGGCAGACGGCGTTCCATGGAACACGCCTGCGCGTCCCTGGAGCCTGTTGTTTATCCCACGCCGCACAGCGTGTTTAACTAGCCCTGATCAACACGCCCCGGCACGCTGCGACGCCATCGCCATCGCGAGACGCCGGCGTGGGCGTTGTTTGGCGGCGCTGACTCAGCGGGCCAAGGCTGATCGACTCGGCAACGAGCGACAGGATGTTTGGGCGACGACAACATCCCGTCTGGCCAGTGTCTGAGCGCTTGAAACGCGGGGCCTCACCACGTCTGCTCGTGTTCTCGACTTTGTGTTATCTTGCCGACTCTTTGTATCCGCTGGAACTTCTCGGTGCAGTAACAACGGCTCTCCAAGACTGACAAGGTACGACTGCAATCCCATTGTCCCCTGATGCATGCGCCCTTTGAACGCCAACGAAATGCAGCCCTTAAAATAAACAACCCCCAGCATCAGCAGGCTAATTCGTGTGGCATGAAGATTTCTTATCACTGTTCGAGTCTATATTATTTAATCAGCCCCGCGCGACCCTTGTGCGCAGCCCACCAAGTGTTGCCGCCCAATTTCGTCGGTCATCCCTGTACTGGTCGCATTTTCCCAATGAGATTCAACGACCCTTCTCTTGACAATGGATGCCAAAGCAACGGAGCTATTGGCTGCGCTGCGAAATAGCAATCTTTCACTAGACGCAAAAACCACGCTCCTTACGAAGCTCAAATCGGATATCAAACAGAAGATTGTTCCCGATGTCGCTATCTCCTCCTTATTCGAATGTTTTCGTCTGTCAATCGCTTCACAACACGCTTCGCTATCATCAGCAGGATTTTCGGCCCTGGGACATCTATTGAAGCGCCTTATGCTGCAGGAACAGTACCAAGCTATCGTGCTCCAGGGCCGTGCCACTTATCCGCTGCTGCTAGAGAAACTTGGGGAACATAAGGAACGAATAAGGGCCCAAGCGGCCCAGATATTTACGGAATTCTGGCTGGCTTCTCCAGCAGACGTGGAACATCATGTTCTCCAAGTCGCCCTTATCGGCAAAAACCCTAGGGCAAAGGAAACAAGCATGACTTGGCTTGCGAAGGTATAAATTTCACTTTACTCCCCCATCCCCGCGCTCTTGGTGGAGACCATGGTATTGACTTTAATTTCAACATTAGATGACGCGCGAACATGGCCTACTGTTTCGTAACTATGTTTCGTCACTCGTCAACTGCCTCGAAGACGCAGACGGTACGGTAAGGGAGACGGCCAAATCAACCGTGATCGAAGTGTTCCAGTACGAAGACCTCTCCCCTCATTATGGCATCGAAATTAACAATGTTGTCATTAGGAATGCTCCTCCTCGAGCTATATCTGATTTGAAAAAGCAACTTGTATCACATAACGTGAGGAAGTCAATTACCACTTCAATTCTTTCTAGCCTGGGAGTGAACATTTCTACAGATGCAGAAATGGCTACATCGTTTCAATCGCAAAGGTCGGAGATGCTTAGATCTGCCAGCAGTTTTTCCCATCGCCGCCCCGATGAGTCTTCACGTCCCCTTTCTGTGCTTTCAGTAAGATCGCATTCGAACAATGATGTGCAAAGTAAGTGCATTTTTATACCAAGTTTTAGTACATTTTCCTTACCTGGATTCAGATATGCCGAACATCGATAGTAGCTTCGACTCCGCCCCAAAACATCAGAGTGATCCTCCTGGCAAAGAACCCCACTTACTCCATACGACAAGTACTGAATCTCTTCCAACGGCAAACCCGGTCACTGCAGACGGAGAGTTTGTTGAACCTATATACGTTAACTCGCATCGAGAATTCGAAGATATGATTCGCGAGATGCTTCCTCACTTCGAAGGGAGAGAATCGGAACAAAACTGGCTACTGCGAGAAAAGAGCGCTGTTACACTGCGTAGGCTGACCAAAGGCAATGCTCCTCATGACTACGAGCAATATTATATACCGGCTATTAAAAGTTTACTGGATGGAATATTAAAAATCGCCAACTCATTGCGCACAACTCTTTCGGCAATTGGCTGTTATTTGCTTCAAGATATTGCCCGGACTTGTGGCCCTGCAATCGACCCTATGGTTGAAATTCTCCTGCAGAACTTAATTAAATTGACTGCTGCTCTAAAAAAAATCACAGCTCAACATGGCAATACGACAGTGGATGCTGTCATTGGGAACGTATCATTTACGTCTCGGATCGTACAGCATATTTGGGCTGCGTGCCAGGATAAAAATGTCCAGCCTCGCCAATTTGCAGCAGGCTGGATTCGAACTATTCTTGCGCGACACGGCAAACATAAAGGGTTGATAGAACACAGTGGGGGGCTGGAATTGATTGAAAAATGTATTAAGAGGGGGTTGGGTGACCCCAATCCTGGTGTAAGAGAAGGAATGCGTGGGACCTTTTGGGCATTCTTCAAAGTCTGGCCTAGCAGAGCCGATGCGTGAGTGCATACTTCCCCATTCAAACCTGGAAAATATACTGATATACAACTAATAGAATAATGTCCACCTTGGAATTAAAATCAAAAGCACTTTTGGAAAGGGATCCTAATAATCCTAACTCCAGCTCAGGGGCTCAAACCTCAGACCATTCCCGAGCTGCTCTATCGTATGCTACACCTGGAAGGCCATCCCTCAAAGAAACGATCAATGCACAGAAAAGGGCTCGCCTTGCCGCATCAAAAAGTCACCCTCCTAGGCCAGAATCTGCTCAGTCTTGCTTCTCTGACCCAAAGCCGAATAAATCATCTGTCCGCCGACCACCCATCACTTCAAGCTCCACCGTTCGTGTGCCAACAGGGGAAAAACTTTTTCAGAATACGTCTCTGTCTTCAGCTCCCATGAGGCCTACTTCTCGTCCCCGCCGGCCTGAGCTAGCTAGGCCCGCTACCGCTGATCCATATTCCTCTCGAAGGTCTGCACATCCGGACTCTCAATCAAAGCCGTCAAGCCCATCTGGAAGCCCGCAAAAATCAAAACCCAAATCAACGGCAACGACAACTCCCCGTTCCAGAAATGTGCCCTCCCGGCCTAAATCAAGGCTGGGCGATGCACCGACAAATGCTACGAGAGAGAGACAGAAGCCGGATCGGAGTGCAATTTCTCCGAAAACTCCTCGGAGAGGACAGTCTGATGCCAATGTTCTTTCCACCATTTCTAGAACAAGAGGCAAGACCATTAGCCCCCCAAAAACAGAATTGGGTTATACTACTGCTTCGCATAATGACGACGAATTTATTGAACCCCCGAAACGTGTCATATCTGACTCAACTGGAAGATCGACGCCTAGACCGATAACCCCTGTTCGGACCCCTCTGAAGGCGGGATTTTGTACGCCTTCTCGTAGCCAACCAAGACGCAATGAAACTCCCGGCTCGCGAGCATCAGCTTCGCCTTTACAGTTTGACAAGGACAACGCGGAGGTGATACGCCTTAAGAGTCCATTTCATATTTCCAATGGTAATAACGAAAGTACATCATCACATTCTCCGGGTGTTCTGAAGGTTTACGAAGACCCTCGGTCCCCAGATTCAAGTGATTCCGTGGCTCAAGCCGGAGCGGCACCAACAAATGCTAGAAGCCCCGGGTTTCAGACCAAAGCGATGCCACTTGAAGAGTTACCGATCAATGAGCCTACAACAGTTCCTAATCGTAAACATAATCAGTTACCCGATAACGCTTCGAAACTTGAACCTAGTCCTATTCTGTCGCCAGCAAATGAGAACCTACATCGCCGATGGAAAAAGATCGAAAACTCGGAAAGGCGGAGAAGCCTTAGCCCCCGGTCGAAGGATCCTGTGAAGGCGCAAGATATGGTCACTCGTGGTTTGACTCGAATTCGAGCCGGAACTCTTGATGTCCATGGGTATAGAAAATTTCAAACTCTTCTCAAATATCACGACGTAATACTCAAGGACGAAAGTAAGTATGAAGAGATATTGATCGCGCTGTTTGATGCTCTGGAAATGCCCGATAGTGAAAAAGGCGCTGCGTCAAGTCGATCACTCGATCTCAAGACACAGATTCTAGTGACGATTCGTCTTATGCTGTATTTAAATCGTGAGGGATTTGCGGCTTTTTACCCGAGAGCGACGACTGCCATCATCACCGCCCGCAAACACTATGAATTAACCAATCATATTGTAAGTGGTTTGGAAGAAACAGCGGAAGACATAGTCGGTGCCTGTGATCCTCAAGAGGTCATTGATGCAATTTTGGACCTCCTCGAGACCGAAGAACAATCTCATGAATGTTCCCGGATGATCACCATGGGCAGCTATATTCTCAGTGGGCTGCTACGTCGCCTGAACCAAAAGCGATTTTATCTTCCACAGCCGGATCTAGAGAGGCTTGGAAAGTTCGCCAACCAGAACTTGAGAAGCACCCAGCCTGATGTTCGCCGCGCGATTATTGAATTTTGTCCTGAGCTCTATGACATGGTGCAATCAGAGGATGTTTTTTGGCCGATGGTGAATACTCCTGTCGAAGATGTTCGGCCGTTGTTGACCTATTATATCATGCGGAGACACGGTAGAACTACATGATGCCCCCGTTCTTGCCCATTTTCAAGCCACTTGGCTCCTTTTATTCATTCAGCCTAATTTACTTTCTTTGCCCACGCTACGCCTTTTGATAAACGTGTACAGTGAGTACTTTTTTGTTTTGGAGTGCATTGAATTTCTCAGACTCGGAGTTGGTTAGTGATGGCTAGGTTCTTGGACAAAAGATGTAGCGCTCGGGTGCTGAGAACTTGTGCATACTTACTTACATACATTATTAGTTTATTGGCTTTTCCTGACCAGTATCTGCTAGTCTCGACATATATCACGTTATAATGTACATTCATATCCAATCACTCGCTGGATATCTTGCTAGTAGTGACGGGTAATAGGCGCCCTGTTATGAAGAAAGGTATTAGAGAGTGCCTCACGATCTCCTTGCTCTGCAGGCTGGCACAGTGCTGTTCCCACATGGTGCTAGGCAGATATGAGATGTCTCTTCTACCCGCGCCACGCGCCCGCTCACTCGCTGACTTCCGGTGTTTGCCAAAACTCTTAAATGGCATGTGGCCATTCTGGTAACTATGCCGTAACTACCCGGCGGGCCTTTCTATAGATGTCCAATAATGACAAGGCAGGGCCCCAATCACTGGCCATACGTTAGAAAACCAGACAAGGCATGGGTCTTGCAAGTACTAGCTGATTAAATCTTCTTTACAGGGTTATGGCTATCATGAAAGATGGAAGACCTGATTGAGCCATAAAAATCTTTCTGTTTAAGCTGAAACAAAACGCCAAAGGCCTCATTATGAATCCTAGAAGTGACAGCAAGCCTCAAAACAAAGAGATTAATTCGTTTCCCATAACCTCTGGGGACCTTTTCCTCCAGGGCAGACAACACCAATATGGTGAGGAACCATTCGGAGGGGTTCTGCCCACCAGATTCCCAAAACATCCCTCACTATTGTGGGAGGCTTGAGCTGTCTGAGAATAGACGGGAATGGGGGTTTCCATTGACCATCAAGCTCAAACTATTCTAATATTAGTGGTGAAGAGTGAAATTATCAAGACAGATGTAAAATAAATACCTGAATGAATAATTACTGAAACGTGTGGTCTAAAAGTGATACGCCGCAGAGAATAAATTTCACTGCTGTGGGAAGATTTGTAAGATGAATATTATAATTGCTCTGATTTGACGCTGCATTGATCCGTATATTAATGATCCCAAGACGCAGCGGCTCAAGATCAAAACTGATGCTCTTGGTATCCACTTTGGCCGACCCCGAGTCTTTTCAAAAGCAATATCCACCACCCCTATCCCATCAGTCTTGACTACAAGATATTTACTTTCACCAAGTCCATGTCTTCTGTGAGAATTCAGTGTATTAGTTGAGGCAAGGGGCTTTGCGCAGGCGATGTCACCAATGTAGGTTCTATCACCAATATCAACTGTGTGAATCTCAATCACATTCGTATGTACTATCAAGGTTTTTTCTGAAAATCGATGGTCAGAAATGCTGCCTTCAATCTTGTTCTGAATTTGCAACGCCGTCCGTACAACGAAGAGCAAGCGCGCAATGTCATGCTTGAATATGTTTGCCTGTATTTCGATTGGTAACTGAGCCACCTGCTGTCCTATAATGCATTTTTTGTCTGTTTCGGTGGGCTGTAAGAAGAAGGCGCCATGAGTTTGGAGTGCGCAAAATATCTCCGTAAATGGTGTTAAAGGTCGGCTCAACGACATCAATCAAAATGCAGAGCTGGGAGTAGGAGAGACCCTCGACCAAGTTATGACACCGTTTATGAATTAGAAGAGCTCTTGACTTGTATTCTAGTGAAGGATAGCTTCGAATCCTTTCTAGGCGAACATCCTTAACAGTGATCACATGAATCGCGCTGATGTGCCAATCTTCTTGAGAGAAAAGGCGTTCGTGGAGTGGCTCCAGGGGGAGAAGGAGGAGGCGGAAAGAATCCTGCTGCTCTATGTTGATATCGAGCTGACATAGCGGACAGGTAAGGGAATAATATCCTACGCATTCTGTTGCTTAAAGAGGATTGTAGGTGACCAGTCTTGAAAAGGAAGCTAATAGTTTTGAATACGAAGTGTTTTCACCTGCCAAAGAAATTCCAGAGTATTTCATGATCGGCATACATATACTTATGGGGGTAACTGACGTTTTGTATTCGCTGCATATGTATATGTAGTGGTTGGGGTTGACTGTGCATCTAGCTATGAGATTGCACCACGTCTAAATAATGTTGAGCCCAAGTCTACTCAATCGCACGACCCATCCTTTAATACAGACTAACCACTGCGTAGATCTGGGAGCTCGAGCGCTTGGTAGCACAGTATCCGTCAAATGTGTAACCATACTCTCTTGCCTCTACCCAGCTGCCCCCATGCACCCATATTAGCGGTGGCTTGGGTGCGAAAAAGATAAGAGGCTTCCGATAGCAAGTCGCATAATCTTCTTCTTCAATTTTTAACATAACGTCTGGCATAGGTAGCTGCATTTTTCACAAATAATCGCTCTGACATCTTGTTGGGGCTTCTGACTTGAGCCTACGAACCAATTCTTTAGGTGCCATGATAGGCTTGGTAACTAAAGGGAAATGGAAAGAGGTAAAGGTTGATGTCATGGAGCTCTTGAAAATTCAACTTCATGGCCAGTGGACAGCCCTTAAGAAGAGCCAGGCAAGCGGAAAAGTAATTTGAAGCCACATTCATTCAAATAGGGAGGTCTGCCTAGGCGAATTAGCTGGTGTTCATTCCATACACACTTCAGACTCATATCTGTCTTCCATGGATTGACACTGCAAAGTGGCGGTCTAGCCATACTTTGCGTTAGTACTCCATACTGTATCTGGGCTACTTTCGGCGTATGGAGCGCATTCGGTGCGACAAGTGGTTTTCGGCGTCAAGTTTCGTATCTTTTTCGATATGACAGGGCGATGCCACGCCCATTTTCTTCTTGCTGCGACGCTCCATATGCGGCCAATTCCTATTTCAATGAACTCTCAAAACTTATTGTAGAGTAGCAAGCTCTTCAATGTGGTCTGGAGCCTCTCGGAATTTGTTTAACGAAGACCGGTGTCTGGTGTTGCCTCAGAGGGGATAGTGGAAGGATCTGAGATGTCTGTGGGCAAGGGACTGGCATGTCTGAGCTCCCGTGGCTGTCTCAGAACGTCGCTACATGGCGAGCCAGAGCCCGGTGGTGTGAACGTTGATTATTGTTTTTGTTTGGTCTAGTTAAGTCGCAGCCAATTCACCTAGAATCATTAAGGGCAGTGTTAGCAGCATGTACGGGTCATCAGAGCTCGTCGGTTGAGAATATCGCGATCACTGCGGGCCGTACGCTTTTCTCGCCCGTTCGAGGCCCTGCCCTCAGGATCTTGGTAGATCCTGCACGCGACAGACGCCAGCGAGCGCGCGCCCCATGGGATGAAGCGTCTTTGATTGACGGATCCGGTCTTGCAAAATCGACAAATAATGATAAAAATGGCGCGGCCAAAGCGCCCCTCTCCGATTTGCCATGCATGATCGGCGTGTCGAATCGGCGCTTGAAAACTTTCTGGGAATTTGCAGATGAACTGTAAAACTGACCACCGAACACCGAAACGTGTCCACGAACAGTTGGCGATGTGGGTGCGGAGTATTTAGTCCCACAAGGTTCCTAAGATAAACTACTACTCCATACCCCGAGATCGAAAATGCAGATCTCGGTCTAGCTATTGGCGCGGTGAGAGACGGAAGTCTCCCTGTCAAACCGGCGCAAGCAGGACGGTACAATGCTAGATAATCGAATTCTGACGGTATCTACACTCACTCAACAAGGAGCGTAAGACGCTGCTATATACATTGGTTGCATAGTCAACCAATAGTCTGCATCTATGGCGCCCTTTTGCTCCTTTTCATCTTTAATGACTTTTCTTCCCGCGAATCTATTTCGTCAGTCAACTCTCAAGACCATCTACATAGCGGAACGCTCGTATTCAAAGGGACACAACTGGAAGAACCTCTCACGGGAGCATTTGACCAATGCAGCACGTTTATGAGGTAGGTCAATCCATTTGTCAATAGAATATCCATTTGCTTTATCGTACCCAAGAACCTTGGCTCCAGACGCCCTGGGCTCGCCAACTACCAGAGTGGTTCGAGGCTCATCAAGGAACATGTAGTGGGTTAAGCTGGCGTGCCATGCTTTAACTCGATGTGGCCCACGGAACCTTTCATCTCCCACTAGGAAATGACGGCCTCTATCGTAGTCGGCAGCATCGTAATATGTGCCGACATGGTCCTCCTGAAGGCAGGTTAGCATCGATGTTCTAAAATGAAGAAAGGATCCCATGCGACATACCTTTGCCCAGTATATTTCAAAGTACGCAAAGAAATTATCATTAAATTTTCCCAAGACGGGAAATTGGTGATCGTCTTCGTGCATTTTGCGAAGGTACTCGCGATGCTCCTCAAGAGTTCCCGTTTCATTCCAGCTCTGGGCCACTCGCGGCTCATTTTGCCAGGTATGGAAGTAATTGACGTGTTCTTCATTCTGCCAATCCAGGGCAACCATGGAGAAAGTCTCCCTAAGATGAGGGATATACCGGCTGTAAATCGTTGTTCCTCGCGCGGGCTTGGGGGGCCTGATTGGATGACGTGTGTGCACCCGTGCCGCCGGAAACTTTGTCGTGACGGTATATTCCAGGGGTCGAGGCGGGAACGCAGAGTCTGGAGAACCATGGGCGCCAGATCCTGCCGCCCACACCGGCCTTGGTCCGAATGGAGACCCGGCACCCTGCCAAAATGAGCTTCTGGGCACCACCAGCATCCCTTCATGACCATGCGATACTGGTATCGGCTGGCCGGGCGGCGCGGACGGGCCTGGGTGCCGCACGGCCAAGCCCACAGCTTGGAGGCAATGTGCTATCTTTAGTTCATTTGTTCCTGAGAGCTTGATCCTGAAAGCCTCAACGTTGGGATGAATCGAAAAGGTAGCGTAGACAACAATCCATATTTGCGCTACGGTAGGCTCCTCGGGGCCATGCCACTGAATCACTGACCGTGGGCTGCGCTGGGCTCGTGCCCAGGGAGAGTTGTTGCCCTTCGGAATCGAAGTCGTGTCCTCGCAAGCTAGCTCTGAGAATTGGAGAGTAGGGTGATGAAGGGCTTGCGGCAATCGTTCCTGGTTCACAGCTGCAGGCAGCTGAAGCTGGTATACTTTAACCAAGGGTCCGTCACCGGGGAATTCAAGAAGTTCATAAACGGTATTGTATGGCTCTGGCAAACGAATCGCTGGCAACTGTGTATATGGAGGCATGCTTATTTTCAAGCCGTGAATCTCGGTTGCTGTATGTATAGATAGGGGGAGAGGGACGCGGCCTCAGGTATCGTTAGCCACGCGAGTAGTTTTTACTGTCCCCAAAAAGCTTCAGACTCACTGGATTTGTTTTACTTTCCCACCAGGCCTGCCATCCAAGGGATTTAGAGGGGTTGCAAGTTGGCGTTAGTTAAGCTGTTTGCTCGCAGGCCTGATTTGATCGCCGGCGGGTGCCTCTCGGCCAACCACCTCCAACAGCCTGACGACCCGGGTAATTGTCGGGAAGCCCGTGGATTCGCTGGTCGACACCGCCTTGGCTGGTTTGGAAACCGGACAAGTAGTGATTGTGCGATCAGGATATTCACACGCGCTGCGTCGCTAGCTTCTCAGCACGGTTGCGGTGGCCTGGGGGGAGGACAAGTGCTGGAAACCAGCAAGCGGGGTGAAAATGGATCTCCACCATCCTGCACTCTGACGACGCTCCCCAGGAAGGGCAGCGATTATCTCCGAGGCAGGGTTATACAGTGCGCACGGAGTACATACCCTCCGGCGGTGGCTCGAGCCTTTTTGACTACTCTCTAGAGCAATTCCAGCCGACATCCAACAATAATAATCTATATCTAACCAGCCGGCAATCAGAAACGCTCAACCTCCCTGAAACCCGGCCAGTTGCAGCGATTCTGGGGCCAGCCAATCCAAACGACGCCCGCAGATTCTGACAGGGCTTCCGGAATTACGGGGTATTCGAGAAACAAGGGGGGGAAGAGATTCACCGGGATTGGGTTTCCGAGTCGCATGCCCTCGCTACACAAGGCTGCTGTGGTATAGCCGCACAAAGCAACGGATTCTACACGCTCTTCTATCGCTGCCTGTTCCTTGCCCAGTTCCTCGCGCGCTTCTCGTCGGCGATATATTATTGGTGGAAGGCATAATGAGCTTGGGAGATATTCCGCTCTGGTGTCGGTCGTGAGTGTGGAAGTACTCCGTACTTCGCACTGGCTAGGGATACCAGACGAGTGAAAACGGCTGTGTTTCTGTGTGACATCGGAGAGACGCACTGGTTGAAACGGCGATATCACTGAGACGAGTTCCATTTCCTTCTTCTTGGGAGGATTGCATCCCCAACCCGCTACGAGCATTGTGGTCGCGTTCATTTGTCGCCTTGTTTTCCCAATAACTATTCGATACGGCACGGACTTGCTCTAGACCGCAAAGCCGAGTGTACTCCGTACTCCGCACTCCCTTTAAAAATCTGCAAATACCATATGCTCCGCGTACCTAGTCCACAGGGATAGTCATGCCTTCTCTTGAGGTCGTTGGGGTTTCTCAGGTCCTATTACATCCTGCCAATGGATGCTGGGGTTTCCTGCTCATGGTGGGAAGTCTCTTAAAAAACGCTCAGTTCACCAGTGACACGCACCTGTGCTGGGCAACATGGCGCAGGCTTATGCGTTACAATATATTGCAGGGTTCATCAGTTCACTAGTTAGCCACCAGTTTGTTCAGCGAGAGGTCGTGGATCGACCGCGCAGCCCATATCCTTCGATAGTCGGCAAGCTAGTGGAAGCAAGACATGCTCGGTCCACCACGATTGAGATCGTCAAAGATAGACATCGTGTCTGATATCACGTCGTTTGCGCTATTTAAATACATACGAATAATAGAGGAGTTCGCGCACATATAGTGCGGAAGCGGCAGCAATTGAAAGGGCAAGGTGGCTTCGTAGAAAAGGGGGTTCGAACGGCCTGGATACCGCGCTGAGGACCCGGAGCTCAGGAGGCAGGATCCGGGCTGCATGGGCGACGAGCAGGGGAGATCGCAGAGCACACACTCATCCTTGCACGCGCGAGTGTGTTCACTACTACTACTGTTCCGCCAGAGTGCTCTTCCGGGTCCCGCCAGGCGCAGCGCAGACAGGCGACGGCTGCACGGAGCAGAGGGAAGTACTATAACCATATTTACCTAGGTAAGTGCTCCGCAGTCGTAGAGCCCGCGGCCACGGCAGCAGACGACGGGCTGCCAAGGGCATCGGGTCTTCGCAGGGCCCTTTTTCTTTGCAGCTGTTTCGTTGGGACGGGCGGCGGGTCGCATCGCCCTGGCCTCGGGGGCACGGGGGCCCAGGCACCCGGCCGCGCGCGCGTTCTCGCTGCGGATTGAGTTTGTGTGCCCTGTGCCAGGGATGCGCAGCCCAGGACTGAGGATGTTTCACAGTTTCAAAGAGAATTATAATGTCCCTGGCTGGGGCGGGCTGCAGGGGCGGGCATCGCGATCGCTGGCGATTCTGGAAGCGTGGAGAGAGAGATGCTAGGCACGCACTGTGTAGTTAGTTACTTCGTTCACTTAGTCGACGATGTCCTGTCGTCTCTGCCTCAGCCTCAGCCTGCTGCCTGGCAGCGCGTCTGCTGCGTCTCTGCGTCTCTGCGTCTCTGCTGGTCCCGCCATCCCGCCGTCTCATCTGCACCGCCAGCCGGTGAAACAAGATCCCCTTCAGCTGGGCCGGCCAATAACGGCGGGCGTGCGCGCTGTTCGAATCTACCGCCGCCACGAATCCGCAGCACCACCCACCCAGTCGCCTAGTTCACTTACTAGTCGCCTGGTCAACCTTGTCTCAAGTCTGCTCTGCTCTGCTCTGCTCTCCTCTCCTTTGCCGGCTTGCTGCTGCTGCGCTCGCTCGACCTGCCTGCCTGCCCGCCCTGCCTCTGGCTAGCGCTAGGAAGCGTTGATCGCACAGAGAACCGCCTGGCCCCCCCCCGTCGTGCTCCTCCAGCGTCCTGTGCATGCCTGCAGCCACTGCGTTGCCCCCCCTCTGCTGCTCCTGACGGTGGATCTGGACGGCCCTGGTGCGTTCTTGTGTTCTGTCTGGGGAGATCCCGCCCCTCTCTGCTGGCCTGGCTGGCGTCTGCCGTGAGCGTGGCTGTTGCCGCCGAGAGCCACTGGTGTTGCGCTTTGCACCTCACGCTCTCGCACGCCACATTTCTCCTCTGCTCTGCGCTGCTGCTGCTCTGCTGCCATCCTCTGTCGCGGCTGTGGCCTGCGTTGTGCCTGGCTGTCCCTGTTGTCGTGCTGACTGCTACAATCCTTCACAGTGAGCCCTGAGTATACGATACTTGCCTGTCAACCTTCACTCCACCCCCCATTCCCCCTGTCTGTCGCGAAGCCTGCGGGCCTTTCCGGAATCCGTCTCGTACCCAGCTGGACCGCGACCGTGAAGTCGACCCCTTAGGCCTTGCGGAGCATTCGAATGGGAAACCTCACCCTTTTCATGATCGATCCCGGCGACGCTTCGATTCGTGGGGTTTAGATTGCAACTGATTGGCGCTCTTTTCTTTTCCTCACTCCTTGTTTCGTGGAACAATTCTCGCCGCCCGGACGACACGGTGAACCGCGACCAAAATGATAGATAAAGGCCAGGCGGAGTCGCCTACGGCCGTCGACTACCCCGATGATCAGGATGACATAGCGATCCCCTGCAAGGGGTGTGGCGAGGTACGTTGTGAGATGTCCTTCCGCGTCCCTGGCCGGTCCCGCTGACGCTTCTTCTCTTTTCTAAGATCCTCGAAGAGGGAAAAGCCTTTGAGCTAGGTAGGTGCTTCTCGCGTACGTGTTTCCGCTTGTTTCTGACGCGGCCTTTCCAGCTGGTAACCGATGGCACATCGACTGCTTCCGCTGCCATACCTGCGGGACCTATCTCGATTCCGACGCGAATCTCCTCCTCCTCGGCGACGGATCCCTCATCTGCAGCAACTGCACCTACAGCTGCAGCTCCTGTGGCAGTAAAATCGAAGACCTTGCCATTCTGACTGGGGAGCAGGCTTTCTGTGCAAACTGCTTCAAGTGCCGCAATTGCAAGCGCAAAATCGAGAACCTGCGTTATGCGCGTACATCACAAGGCATTTTCTGTATGGATTGTCACGAATCGCTGATGGCGCGACGCCGAAAGCGCTCTGCAAGGAACGCCGCCCAGCGCCATAAGGTTCCCAACCCTTCAATGCATCTCGACAAATCTCTACCCTCCCTTCCACCAGAGCACGATACTTCTACGCCAACCACGGATCCATATTCTGATGCCTCCATTGAAGCGCCGTTACGACAACGGATCGAGGAGGATCGTGGTATTTCGAAGCAGGATGGCATGCCCTGGTCCCGTCCCCAAGGTGCGAGAAATACTGCTAGACCTGCTCAGGCAAATACTGATGTGACGCCTGCTCTAGATACTCTTATCTTGCCTGCTAGCACTTACAATGGCAAACGCCACTCGGTACTCTCGCAAAAGTCGGATGGCTCTGCTGGAGAAGAGTTCCTCATTCCAGTGGCCTTTGATCCTACGCCCTCTGAACATGCTTCGCCCGCAATCAACTCCGCCGACATCATGAAATCCGTGGAGGACAGAGCTGGTGATTATTTTAGCACCACGTCGTCCGATTCGTCGGTCAAGTCTCCATACGACTCGCAAGCTCCTGTGGCGCGACCAGCCCGTTCCCAATCGTCGACTGATCGCCAGCTTCAGCCAACTGTACATCTGGAAGGCCGCCCGACTGAGAACGGGGCTAGGCCGCAACGCCAGGAAGATGATAGAACCCCAGCTAGACCTCCCATCTCTGACCCTCGTCAGCGACCGAAGCACGCGCAGCAAAGTAGTGACTCACAAAGCGAAGCTGAAAAGTTCCAGCTCAGTGAAGCTCCAAAGCCAAAGAAATCTAGTGAATCAAGCGTTTCTCATACCAACATTGAAGCTCGCGAACAACAAAAATACAATAACCAACAGACCACAAAAGAACCTGAATCTGCGCAGCCGAAACGTAGAGAAAGAAAATCCAGCGACCTTTTAAATTCGAAAAATCCCACTTCTCCAGCACAGTTGCAATATCTGCCGAAAAGAGGCGACTCTCTTGAAAGCAAGCTCCATACTATCCCTCGGAAGGAAGTCGAGAGTGCCAAAAACAATCAGAGTCAGACACAATCGAAGCCAGAGACGACTCAAACTACAGGGGCTCTCAGCGCAAAAACCGCTCCGAAGAGCAGCGGAAAATCAGACTATCGGCAATCCCTGGAAGACGCCACACCACTTCCCTCACCTCGCCCTCACACTACTAGCATCGCTGCTATGAATAACCAGACTCCTCGCTCTATGGATAGCCCTGCCAGCCATAAGCGAAATACTTCTTCAAATGCTTCACACTCAGAATCAAAACGTATGGATTCTTCTCCGTCCCTTCCTCGCTATACTTCTGGCGGCGAGCTTTCTTTTGAAGAAGATATGACTCGAATCATCGATGAAAGTCAAAACCAAGAATCATTCCTTCGTCGCGTGTCAAATTCGGTTCGGCACGGAAGAAGCTTTAGTGACAAGGGCTCGCGCCTCTCAAAAGAACTCAAGTGGCCTAAATCTCCGTCGAGTGGTAGTACATATGCCCATGATATCAGTAGCCCAAGCACTAGTCTAGCGGATGTTCGGGATGATCTTAGCTGGTTGAAGAATGAGCTTCGAAGAGAACGACAGAAATTGATCGAAAAAGACCAGAAGATTGCAGAGCTGGAGAACGCTCTCAATGCTACGGTCAGCATTAAACAAGTCAATACGGAGCTACGGGAAAAAAGATCTACGATGGTGGTTTTAGATGCGCAGAAAGAGATTGTTCTACGAGAGCTTGAGGTTTTGAAAGAGCACATTGCAACTGAAAAACAAAGCAATGCACCATTAGATTTGGGGAAAATGAGCAATGCAGTGCTTCGGGATTTTGCCGAAGCTCTCCAGCGCTTAAAAGAATCCTTCGCGCCCCAAATCGAAGAATTGATCCAAAAGAGAAATGATCTGGTTGATGAACTGGGAAATCTTGGACGCATGAAGGACAAGAGCTTCAAAGAATTTGAACAACTTTCACTAAAGAACGCCCAACTAGCCGAGTTGAACAATCAGCTTGTACACCAAATCCAGGAACTCTACAAGGCTAATTCCAATTCCGCTGATCGTCAAACAACCAACGGTCTAGGCATTTACCACCAGAAGGATAAGTCCACTCCGTCGGTCGAACGAGATCCGCGCATCGGCAGCGAGCCTTCTCCAGGACTTCTTCAGCCAGAAGAAGCCGAACCTGCGACTGTGATCCAAGGCCCCCAGGTTGTCAACATACGCAAAGGCCAGCCAAAGAAATTCAATTGGAAAAGGGGCGGCCAGAACGTTGCAAAAGGGGTTACTAAAGGCCTAAAGGGTGCATTCCTCTATGGGGAAGGCAGAACACAACGCGACGGCCAGTTCACAGAGACCGCGTCATACGGAAGCATGACTTCAACCGGCGGCGACAGCAACATCTCGGGCCCTCAACGTCTCCAGCCACAACAAGATATGTCTCGTCAGGGATTTGGATTCTTTGGGAATCAGAAGAAACAACAACCTGCCAACTGGAAGTCCCAGGCCAATGGCAGCTCATCCGCGCTACTTGATGCCTCAATTGGTGTGTCAACACTCTTTACTGTAATATCCTGTTTGTTCTATACTAATTAATATCTTTTTAGGTTTGTTTGGCGCAGACCTGGAGCAGAGACTTGAAGTGGAAAAGGGGGTTATTCCTAGCATTGTTACTCGGTGCATAGAAGAAGTCGAATTACGCGGTAAGCTATTAAATTACCTGTTTTATTTCTATGGTCGATACTAACGCACCAATGTAGGAATGGATGTGGAAGGAATCTATCGCAAATCCGGAGGCAGTTCGCAAGTCCAGATGGTCCGCGAAGGATTCGAACGAAGCCGGGACTTTGACATTTCCGACCCTGATCTCGACATTCATGCCGTCACATCTGCACTGAAACAGTACTTCCGAAACCTCCCCACACCCCTCATCACCTTCGATGTTTACGACTTGCTTCTTGATGCCAGCAACGTCACACCAGTCGCCTCACGTATCGATGTCATGCAGCGCGGACTTCACGAACTTCCCCGCGTCCACCGGGACGTGCTAGAATTCCTTGTCTTCCACCTCAAACGCGTTGTGGATCGAGAACGAGAAAATCTAATGACTAGTCTCAATATTGCTGTCGTCTTCGCCCCGACAATCATGCGCCCTGAGAGCCTGAGTCGCGAGATGACCGATGTTCAGAAGAAAAATGAAACTCTCCAGTTTTTAGTCGATAATTGCCAGGAAATATTTATGGGCATGCCAGAGTAGGCTACCCCCAGTTTTGGGCCGCTAGCATTTGATGTCGACTATCACTGCAATATGCTTGTTTATTGTAATGTTTTTATTTTTTTTCTTAATGTTCTTCTTGTGGTATTTCCTTGTTACGACCTCTTCCTTTTATTGCTACCTCGATTTTCTTAATATGCTTTGTTGGCAACCTCCAGGGAAAGCGTAACAATAGCGCTGCCGGCCAGATACCCTTCTGTTTTATGTAGTTTTGTTTTTCTTTCTATACCATGCCTTTGCCGTTGATGCCCTACGGATTTGCTGAACTTGAGAAGGCATTAGTCAACGCATGGATTCCCCTCCCCAATAAGTTGTTTTGAGTGGCATATTGCATTCATGGAATCAGCACAGAATGCTACATTGTTATTTGTTTTTGTTTAGGAGGATTTGCGTTTTTAACCCCAAGAGTCTACTTTGTCTATAGGCTTGTCGAGTTCCTGTATGTATGCGTGAACTGTATGGCGTATCTTGTCCTCGCACTCTTTGAATGATGTATCAAAGTGTTGGCGTACCCCTCCCCTCACCATGCCTTCCTTTTTGTTTGAACTTAGCATGTCTTTGCTGTAGGCCCCGAAATACATGCGAACGAGATATTTATTTGGCGTACTCTATACTTGTGCAGGTTTAGCTTGGATATCAGTGCGCTTGGGGTTGTGTCAGGGGGTCATTGTTAAGGTGTTTCAGCCAAAGCACCAGTCTGGGTGTCTGGCATGACAAAAAAACAAGTGTTTCAAGAGGATAAGGTGTCAAAGGGTATGGCGATTTTCAGGGTGATGTGTGTTTCATAATTTGGACTGGCAAAGCATCAACAGAATGTATGATGGATATCAAAACTTTTGAACACAATCATTGTCTTGGTATCGACTAGCAATAACTAACATGCTTTCCCACCGATATTAGTCACTATTCCATCTAACATTTTTTGTCTTTGCGGGAATTATCAATGTCCATCTAGATAACAATTATTTCGGTGTCGCAGGTGATGGTTTAAAAGGTATCATCTTCCAATCCTTCAGCACGACGAACAACACTAGGGCTATATTCAAATTCGTCAAAGTCCGATGTAGTGTCGCCGGCGCCAGCAGTGTGTAGGAGATCCGACACGATACGCTTCGATGCTTCCTTGGCTGTAACAAATTAGCTTAGAACCACGCATCACCCGCGACAAAGAAAAGTCAATGCGCAGACGTACCGGGCGTTTTGAGCAGTTTACTCTGCGGAATATGAAACTGCATTGTTTTTGGTGGGCTTCCAAACAGCGCCGTGGGGTCACCATTCTTCTCGAAGTCATCGTCTAAATCATCGTCACTGTTCCAGAGGCTGTGGCGGTGTGTTTTTGGTTTAGCGGGAGTGAGAACACTAATTCCTGGTTTCGGAATACGTGGTTTCTTTGGTCGACCGGAGCTTTTTATGGATTTTGGGACTACTGGAGAAGAGAATATTTCAGAATGGAGCTTCGGGGCTTCGAGCTCTGGACTTGACATGGGTGAGGATTCGAATTTGTAGCGTGATACTGGAGTCGTAGTTTCGGGACGCACTCTAGAAAAGGATGATTTCCCCAGGGGGGTTGCTTGAACTCGATATGTCTTGTCTAGAACACGGTGAAGCACTGGATCTTCTGGCTTTCCTGATTTGGCCTTGTCTGGTAGTAGCGAGGTGGGTGGTGGAAACACAACAGAGCCAGGAGTTGTTGGGAAAGTTCTGCCGTACAAGTTCTGGCTCCTGTTGGGTGTAAATGGACCCGACTTGTTACACTGTGATGGCGTATCGATCGAGGAAATCCCATCGTCGTCTCTCTCAGAGTTCAACGTATAGTTGATAGACTCGTCTTCTTCTACTCTCACGTTATGGAGAGCGCGAGGAGTAGTATGCGAATCTACAATAGACAGGGATGACATATCGTGCTCCACGTCCCGGCTGGAAGCAACTGGGAGGTCTGAGGTTGTGGTATCGTATGATTCCAATGTTTCGTCCAAAGAGGCCTGAGTCATGTTCGTTGAATCTTCCGTTACCGTCATCTCATGGCTACTCTCGTCCAGCGGCTGTTCCTCATAGCCCGATAGAGAAACATTGGCGCTTGATTCAAAGAATTGTTTCCAGAACTGAAGCAGAAATGGTCATTAGCTATGGATCCAACCTAAAGGTGTACCCGGTGGGTGCTGACCTTGGATGCCTCCCACACATCTCGCGACTGTTCTGCATATTGTTCAACAACAGGCAAGATACCTGTCGTCACAATTCGATGGGCTTTGCTAAAGTTGTGGTCGATTTCTAGTGAGGAAGTAGGCATATTAGCATTGAACTGATTGGAGTAGAGGAGTGCGTTTGCTTACCTTGAAGCGTTAGAGTAATCTGCTGCTCAAGTCTCTCCAGCTCTTCCGTCAGAGAGAGGCTTCGTTGAGCAGCAACAGCAGGGCGCGACATGGCCGATATTCTTGGTTGACGTTATCCCACGCGGGTCTCGAACGTTCATCCCAACGCGCCGCTTAGTCAGCACACCGGCTCCGATAAGATAAGACGAGGCAGCAACAATCCGCCCGCACTTCCGACCAGTAGGCGAAGCGCACTCGGACGTCCGGTCTCCATCTGTTTGCCAGTTCCCTCATAGCCAGCCCTAGCTGGTTGATATCCTGTGTACCTCTACAACAGCAAAATGCCGGCTCCGTTAGCTAAAGGTTGGTTATGCTTCCCCTCCAATTGACCCCTCTCACACTAATGTCGGTACTTTCAATGGGTGTGCGGGCTTCGCCCTCATCGGATTCCATAGACCCAGTCAGTCTAGTAATATGTTAGAGCTAACCTGTTTTTTACGTCAGGTATTGTTATTACTATTTCCGTTCTTGTTGCCGCCGGTATTGCGGTCTATGAAAACCCCCAGATACAAGAATGGCTCGAAACATCTCGACGAAAAATAGCGATGGCGATAAGTAGCTGGGGAGAGGAGCTGAACCCTTACCACTCTGAAAGCAGAGAGGATATCTCTATGACGGAAGAGTTAGGGGATGAAGCCGAGCTGAGACGTCGCAGAATTCGAGAAGATATACAGCGTCGTCGTGAGATCCTAGAGTCGTCTAAGCGCCGTAAAAGCACTGCCAGCTGTGCTAGCTTCAGCACACTTGTTGATAGCGAGGGCCGGTTAAAGTCTTTGAAAGAAAGTGATAACTCAAATAGCCCCGTTTCCAGATCTACTGGAGTCGACATAACCGCCGTTGAAACTGTGAATCGAATTTTGGACAGAAGTTCCGTTGCTTCCCCGTCGTCATCATCTAAAATTCAGCTGAGAATTAACAGTCAACAGGAACTTGAAGTACTTGAAGATATAGTTAGACATAGACTACCGATACCTCCAATGTCAGAAGTGTCATCAGACCACCCGTCCGAATCACTGGTGGGCCTCACCCCAACTTCTGAATTTCTGGGGTCAGAGATGCCCTTGTCTCTAGAAAGTCTGCCAGAGCAAATATGGGATCGTTTTCTACCACCCATCAATAATCTTACCGCTTCCTCAGTTTCAAGTCATACAGAAGATGACTTTGTTTACACCCATCCGGACCTCCTGAATGGAGGGTCGATCAGTCCTCCTCCCACTGATTTTGAAAATGTCTGGCATCATGATGTTTCATCCACACCATCTATAGCATCTAGCGCTAGCCATATTCAAAACGAAACGTTTGAAATTATGTCAGAAGGGACATTGAGCGACCTGGGCGGTGACCTTGGAAATTCGTTCACTCCAACTAGCTGGTCTGAGGTGGGGAGTGTCATAAGCAGTAATGATGAGAATCATCAGTGATCTGTTGATCATATTTTGGCTATTTATTGTATCATCATTACCGCCGATTGCTGGAGTGTTTCGGTTTGATTGAAGGATGCCTTTTATCACTAGTTTCATAAGGCGTTGGAAGGCAAGGTTGTTAATCACGGTTGGGCGGGAAATGTTTTGAGCTCTTTTGAAGATTTTTATTTCTATGTCAATCTTTTACAAATTCAAGTATGGCTTCGCTAATGATATTTCTGGAAGCTGGGTAAAAATCAAATCTCGTCACTATAATCCGTACTGAACTCACATGCCCGTCATTTTCCGATGTCAAAACGAAAAGAGCAAGCAAGCCCTACTGTAATGAATAATACCTAACATCTTGCCCGTAGTAGACCGACATCTAGGCTTCGTCCGGGTTGGTAATTCGATATTTTAAGACCCGGATCGACGACTTAGCAATATCACCTAGCTGTCGGCGCCAAACTAATGGTATTGAATTGATCAAGAACATTCGCATCTCAAACAGGGCTAATGTATCTATGCGACTCGGTGACAGTGGTAACTTGCTCTCTATACATCAAACAGCATCCACAGTTGGTGGTGCAATGGGAATAAAATAGCTCGCCATTTTCATGGATCAACCGAGGTCTGAGGCAACATCCGCATCCTACAGCTGCCAGACAAGCGACCACTATCCGCTCGGTGTTGCTATGACAAGTATTTGACAGGATCTTGCCTGAGAAGTTTGGCTTAACGTGAGGTGGGCATCTCGTATTCTCACACTCTTGGACATCCGTCGGGCGTCTTGATGGGAGAGATTAGCAATAAAACATCAAGGCGGCATAAGGGGAAGCCTTGGGAATAGTTGGGCGTGCAGATGGGCAGCAGTGAAATGGAAGAGAGCTGATCACGAGCCTTCCCAAAAGAGAAAGGGGGCCATGGGTGCATCGGCGAGTCATCAACAACAACTCTTCTCGCGCCGTCTCTTTTCTCTGCCAACATAAAATAAAAGTAATACCATTACTACTCTCATTATGGGGCTAGTGAACGCCTCTCCCAGCCCCTTCACCGACCTCCATCATGTCTCTCCCATCATGTTGCTCGACGGGCCCAGCTCCCGGAAGCTCTGACGTTCCCCGAGATACCTGGCGATACCCCTACCCGGGCCCTTTTCGGGGGCACCCCCACCCTCAGCGACGCGCTAGATCGTGTCCGCCAACGTTTAGGGCGTATTCTCCACTCGAAGAGTAACAGAATGGTCCAGTAAGCATAGTTACCCATAGCAAGAATGGAGATTCAAACCAGTGAGTAGGAATTGGCGATGGCTTTTTTTCCGCTGCTAATGTATTTTGTTTTAAATTTTTATATGTACCTTCTTTCGTCTTTTCTATTTTAGCTCGTATTTTTAATATGTTAAAGTGAAGCCCAGTGGCCATAAAAATTAACCCAAAGAGCATAAATGCCCATTTCTTCTGAAGTACTACTAAGCACCTTCATAGGCTCTCAGCATAGCAGTTTCAGCATATATATCAGAGCAGCAGAAGGTATATCGGTATTAAGTGAGCCTAGAATATTAGGAGCTATGCAAACTTGAAGAATAGAAACTTCTGAGCCTAGAGGGAAACATATGAGCACATGAATAGCCGCAACAATGTGTTGCCAGAAAACTTCAAGTCATGGCGCATACATCCATCTGGCAATTGGGAATCAAAACAAACATAATTACTCCGTAAGCTGTGTCGAGACATTAAAGAGGTGATGTTGAAACATGCTGCCAGTGTCCAGGTTTCAGCCCGGGTGTGGATCATCTATTGTCCTGGATAAAGCCCGTCATTGTACTCCGTACAGACCTGTTTATTCAGGTATTCCTCGGCCTTGCAAACTTTTGACTCATTCTTCTACTAAGCGAATCGCATGATCTATGTATTGCTGGTGAATATTTATCTGGGTTAACTACAGAGTAGCTATATTTCCAAAAACAAAAACGCATTGGCGATGTACATACGGGGTAGTAGGCCACGAATGATAATCAAATACAGAGTGCTCCGCGTACAGTCGCTAGCGCTGACCAAACGTTTTTTGAAGCAAGCAGGCCTCGTTTATTGCGTACAATGTCTAGTACTCAGCTCTTCTCTTGCGAAACGGATAGCTCAGACCAGGCAAAAAGTCAAGATGAAATATTGTTTCTTGGCACAAGAACTTGATATTGCCCAGCTCTCCAAATTGGTTTGTTCTTGTTATCTACGGTGTTGGTCGAATAGTAATTCTTGTCAGGACTCTTGTGTCTTGTCATTCTCTTGGTCTGCGCTCATTGCCAGTGAACGTGCCCGGTAATTCTCGTTATTAAGCAGAATTTAACTACAAGACACTCGTTCAGACGCCTCATACCAACAACTCATGAGAAATGACCGACAATACTGAAATATAGAATTCCTTAAGATCTTCATGTATCGAATTTGGGCAGTACCTTTTCTCGTCAGTCGCCTTATCGAATCAGGCATCGCGCAGTTAAACCTAACCAGACAGCTCTCGCCATCAAACAGTACCATCTATCCAGAGGTAGGCAAATATTTCCATGAACCGGGTAGTGATGATATCCTCGGTCATTATGATATTCGATATTTCAACGGCGTGGTCAGCTATCAAGAACGAACACACACTTTGACCCATATGATCGGGGCATATTTGCAGTTCTTCAGAGAGAATAAATTGGATACATGGATTGCCCATGGAACGCTATTAGGCTGGTGGTGGAATGAAAAGGTAAGGCTAAAGCACAATGCCTCGCCTAATGAATATGAACAGCTAATCTCCAAAAGATTCTACCCTGGGATTGGGATATAGACGCGCAAGTTACTGGAATGACGTTAGAATATATGAGCAGAAATCTCAATCGAACGATATATACGTACAGCCCCAACGAGAAAACAATACGAAAATACCTCCTGGATGTCAACCCAAGGTCTGAGGAGCGGGGATATGGCGATGGCCTTAATATAATCGATGCGCGATGGATCGACGTTCGAAATGGTCTCTATATTGACATCACGGCCCTGAGTGAGCTAGATCCCGCCCTAGAACACGGAATTGTATCATGCAAAAACTTTCATAAATATAATATTTCAGATCTGTTTCCAATGCGCCAAGGCACTTTTGAGGGTGTTCCAGCCAATATTCCATTCAAATATAATGGGATTTTAACTGAGGAGTATGGGGAAAAGGCGTTAATCGAAAGAGAATATCAAAAGTGAGTATTTTCAAACACCCTGTTATCATGTTATCACGGCCAACACCTATCTATCACTTAGCCATACCTGGAACTCGACGTCAAAGGAATGGATTCCGGACCGAAGAGCAAGTTTTCAATCTAGATGAAAAGTTCAGTTGGAAATAATACAGGTAGAGCTTAACAGTCCGGTACACATTTCGTGGATTTGAGTATTTCGTTCATCCAGGGTAGGCGTCACAAAATTTGGGTTTTTTCAGCCTGTCTTTCTTCCAAGGGCTTCGTGTCTGGGAAGGTATGGCTAAAAGAGAGCCTCGGAAGTTATTAACTTTTCTGTTATGAGCAAATAAGAATCGCGCTGGTCCTTAAGGGAGCCCGTGATACTGTTTCGGCAGTCAATTGTCAATTGGCTATAACTTTCGTAAAAGTTTGGTGCATCTCATTGCATAAAATACTTTGTTTCCCATATTGCATCCAATACTGAAACCCAATAGCCATGAAAATTCGTCAATTTGTGAACTGAAAAGCGAACATTGGTCGTTGAGACAACAGCAGCCTGGTAAAATCCGGATCAATGATGATCCGAGATAAGATAAGATAAGGTTTAGGCATCTGCCTCCCTGACATTAGTAATGCGGCAAGAAGATTCTCCCCGATTCCGTCATCCCAGCTCGATATAAAACGCGCCCTCGAAAGCCATTGCTGCTCGAACTCCGTAAAAATTGATATCGAAGTCTACTTGGCCCAGATAACTTGATAATGGATGAGACTATAGAAAACCCCAGAGAAATAGAAACTGCAACGATATCACTTGCAATCTACCATCATGGCAAAGCTCACACTCTGGCTTTACCTACAGACGCAACGCTTCAAGATCTCTCCACCTTGATTTACTCCACGTTTACCATATCTGTCGAAAATCAGAAGCTCTTAATCTCCCCTAAGCCTGGGCTTCAGAAGCCTCCTTTTTTCCCGATTCCACTCTCAACACTCCCAATTACCTCCCCGCGATTTAAAATCACCCTTCTTGGGAGTACAAATTCGGAAATCGACTCTTTAAACAAATCTTTATCTGACATTCAAGCGGAACAGAAGAAACGTCGCAACCCACCCATCAAACCTGCAAAGCCCCTATCCAATACACGCACCCAAGCTCCCTCCTCACAATATACCTTCCACAGACTGCTTCCATTACCCTATCTCCCCAACCCAGACCGCAGTCTCACATATCTTGCACGTCTCCGTGACGACCCTGGAATCCGCTCTGCAATGGCGAAGCACAGGTTTTCTGTTCCCCTTCTCACAGAAATGAATCCAGTTGAACATACCACCCTCTCGTCGCGAACGCTCGGCCTCAACCGCAATAAGGGTCAAGTTATTGAACTACGTCTACGTACCGACGCGTACGATGGATATAGGGACTACCGTACTATTCGAAAGACCCTGTGCCATGAACTAGCGCACTGCGTGCATAGTGAGCATGATCGTGACTTCTGGAATTTGACGGCGCAAATTGAACAGGAGGTTGAAGGTGCAGACTATTGGGGAAAAGGTGGTAAGAGGTTGACAGAAGATGATTTTTATAATCCGGCTGATTGGGAAGAGACGAAAAGTGGCGAGGACGTGATGGACCATGGAGGCTGGACGGGTGGGGAGTTTGTGCTGGGAGGGTTAAATAACGGAGGTGGAGCGGAGTCTGGGTTAAGTCGACGGGAGGTTCTAGCGAAAGCTGCTGAGTTACGGATGTCCAAAGCTAAGGAGAAACCTAGTGGGAAGGACGAGAGTCCTGAAAGCTGATCCGTTTCTAAAGGAAACATTCATGAATCAAATTACTGCAATGAAAAATTATTGATGACAAGCACCAGGCTCAGGCCCTATTAGCCCTAAAGACAATAGATATCTGTAACTGTAGAACATGAAATGTATTCAAAAGAGTTTCTAAATTCTAAATATAATCATCATTTCAGTTCACTTAGTTTTGCTCATTAATAAACAAACCGGCCATTCCTTGGCCAGTTCCAATGCACATACTAGTCACAAGGACCTTTGCCTTCGTTCTTTTGGCCTCGCTCAAGATAGTGACGAGCTGTCTAGCACCCGTGCATCCGAGAGGGTGACCTAGTGCAATGGCACCGCCACGAGGATTGACTTTGGAATGATCAAGGCCAAGGCGGTCAACACAGTAAACAGCCATGGAGGCGAATGCCTCATTAATCTCAAAGATATCAATATCTTCTTTCCGAAGATTGAACTTGGAGAGGAGTTTGGGAATGGCGGCTGTGGGGCCAATACCCATAACTCTTGGGGGTACACCGGCGACAGTGGCACCAACGAATTTAGCAAGGATAGGCTGACCAAGCTCAATGGCCTTAGAACGCTTCATGAGCAAAACAGCAGCAACTGTTAACGTTAGTGGAGAGTTCCAATTAAATAAAAGAAAAATCAATACGGTGAGTTATGTAACGAACCTCCGTCACTGATCTGGCTGGCATTTCCGCCAGTGGTCTTATTTCCAAACTGTGGGAAGGCAGGGCGAATCTTGCTCAAACTTTCGTATGTAGTGCCATAACGAGGACCCTCATCTCGAGAAATCACAACTTCTTTCACTTGGCCAGTCTTTGGGTCCTTGACTGTTGTTTTAATTGGAACAATTTCATCGTCAAACCAGCCTGACTTCTGCGCTACCTCTGCTCGTCTGAATGATTCTACAGAGTAGCGATCTTGCATCTCACGAGTGATGCCAAATTCGTCACCGACATTTTCCGATGTTTGACCCATGGGCTGTGTGCAGTCGCGTGCTTCCTGGCACTGCATAATCTCATTTTCGGGGGGCTCGAATCCCCGGTCGGGCGAAAGGGACATGGATTCTCCGCCAAGGGCAATGCCAATATCAATGGATCCTTCAGCGATTTGGTAAGCAACATCTTGGATGGCCTTCAAGCCAGAAGAGCAGAAGCGGCTGACGGCGGCGGCACCAGCTGTGTGGGGGATGCCCGCGGCGAGTGCAGCAGTACGGGCGACGTAGGAAGCTTTAGAATGGAGAGCCTGTTGAAAGAAAGTATCAGCCAAGTAGCCGGAAATGAGGCTCGCAGAAGGTATACCCACATTTCCCAAGCAAACATCCTCAATCAAAGACGGATCAATCTTAGAGCGAGCGAGGACCTCCTTCAGAAGCGCGAGCACAATCATGTCAAGCTCAGTATCCTTGAAACCGCCCCTGAAGCCCTTCGTCATGGCACTTCGAACGGCGACCGTAATGACAACATCATCTGCGTTCTTCTCACAACTGTATCGCATTGGGTCAGTTCGGATATGGCATTACATCAGAAAGCCAGCCTTACAGCTTATTAACAACACTGCTTCCACCGGTACCCGGCTTCAGCTGTTGTAGAACAGCGTTCAATCTCTCAAGAGCCATTGTGATATGGGAAAAAGTTCTTGTTCCACAGTAAGCTGTCCTGCCTCGCGACGAAAGCGATCCGAGGAACTCACCAGCGATGCTAATGCCGAGCGTAAACGAGCAGATCAAAAGAGCGGAGAAGAGTAGAAGAGACAGACGAGGCGCGAGCGTTGTCGCTATAAAGCCGTCGTCCTGCCAGCCGAGCAGCCTTCCGAGCGCGACTTGCCGAGGCAATTCCTTTGGGATTGGACCGCCATCGCCGGCCAGACGCGACCCTTAGAGCGGATCAAAACTGAACGGTTAGGGCATAGCCGACGAGCTCGTCTGGGGACGGGATTAAGCCCTCCCCTTCGGCACTCTGCGAATTGCGGAGGCCACGAGACGCCAGCCTTGCACTTAACCCGGAACACACTGTATTGTTCGCCAAGTCTAGAACACTCTACAGAGTACGGAGTACGGAGCCGATTTTCAGTGCTGCAACGGAAAAATCGACTGCTTATTACATGTAACTAACTAACCGTCTCTTCCAGGATTTAGATGGACAGACACCTCTCCCAGATTTTGGGGCTTTTAGTGGAAGGGTGTTCGAATTAACCCATTACATGATGCTGTAGTAAAGTGGCAGATGAAAATTAAACAGCTGAAAGGCGCGATGGTGCTTTTCATTCTCCTGCTTATCGACCAGTGGCAACCATGACCGTTGCAGGTGCAACTCCTAAGGCCTATTCAATCTGGCTTAAGAAGCAGTTAAAAGATAACCCACTGGAACACCTTGCCTCGTTATTTCTCCCCGACTACTCCGTCCAGCTGCATGTCAACTGAAGCTCCTGCAGTATCAATGTCCTAGAATGCCACTGGACCTAGCATACTGCACATAAGACAAGGAAAACGGGTTTCGATCAGGCGCATATCAAGCATACATCCATACATCCCCACTTACAGGGAGTAACCTCCAGAGTTCCAGTTAAGAAATTCCTGATATGTAACGCAAACATTTCGGGACACAGATTATTCTTAGTGGACAACTACATAACTGTGGGACCGCATGAAAGATCTTAGTATTTTATGAAGTCGCTAAGACGCTTTATAAACCCTTTCTCCAAACAACGCTTGAGCTGCAAAAACCCGCAATATTGCTGAGAGCACCGTGGAATATTTTTTTTCCCTCCAATCTTCGCGTTGACCCGGAATTATTTTGTCATAAATATAGTTGACCAACCTAAGGAAGTCGCTGATGTTGACAAACGAATCTGCGAGCGACTTGGCTCCCATCCACCTACTCTATACTGTATTGGAGAGTGCAATTTGGTATCTGGAAGACGCCTTGAGTTTGAATATCTACTCGCCAGTACGGAATACAATGACTAGGAAGTTTATTGGGGAAGCTTCCTCTCCAGAGATTGGAATATGAGAATTTATAGCGTTTCACGGCCCGATCTCCCTTGTATAACTTAACCAACTCCCAGCGCTCTACTTGGCAAACACAGGTCGTGGAGGCTATACATTTTACCCATTCTAGAACCATTGCGATATCAGTGCTAACAACGTCCTAATTCAAATTGACGGCTCTCTTACATTAGCGCACTATTATGGACCTATTCTGAATGGCTCAATGGTCATAGTATCTACGGAGTACATCAACAAATACTCAAGGCGACCCGTATCGCCAGCAGAGCGATCGCTGAATTTCACAGTACAGAATGATATTTTCGCTATGGATACTGTCCCAAATGAGACCAGTGTGAGGCATACACTATATCCAGAGAAGATAAAGGTGGAAATATACTCCCTTTTACAGAAGCGAGAGTTTCCCTTAAGTGGCCTTGGAAACTTACACTTAAGAATTGACAAGTGCTGGATGTATCAGTATACCGAGGAGATTAATAAGCTCGATCCAGGTGTCCATCTCATTAAGATCTGCACCAAGCAATATTAACCCTACTGACTATTATTCTCATATTTTTTCAATCCACCCGAAATTGGCCGTGATATTTCAGAGACACTTTCCCCTCGTGACGGTTGCGCTGAACTATGAGTAATGAATTCGAGGTAAGGAGCATACAGACCGGTGTCTTAAGAGTATGCTTAACAGATACTTTCTTTAGTGGTGAGATTAGAGCCGGTTGCGGCCTACTTTAGGATACAGATTGAAAGGTAGTCGACCAAAGATCCAATTAAGTTTACTCCTGAAAGTCAAAGAAAGTGAATTTCGCACTTGTTTCCCGGTATATTCAACCGCCGACCTGCCCCTTCTTTACATACATAAGGCCTTCCTGATGGTTTACTCGAAAATCTGACGTCGTCGATACAAAAGGTACCCAGCAAAAAGAGACACGCACCCCAGCGCCGCCCCCAGGACAATCGCGGCGATTTTTGGAGGACGGCAGTCGTTTGTTGGACATTCCTGAGGTTTGGATGTAGGGGTTGGGCTGAGTGTAACCGTCGCTGAAGGCAGCATTGCTGCGCCTGCAATAACGTTCACCGTCCCATTATCCGTGTTACAGCAGTTGCGCGCCGCTTGGTTCTGTCCGCAGCAAAACGTGGTATAACGGTCGCAAGGGGTGAGGACAACGTCCGACGATTTGAATGCCTCCCCTAGTCCGAAGTACGATTAGCGAAAGCCATCACTTGAACGAATGCTGCTACCTATAGTGCACTGTCGCGGGCACTCTGTGCTATTCCACGTCTTATCCGTACATCCTCGCCTCACGATCGCATTCAACCCGAAAGAGAAGCAGAAGCCATTTGTAATACAGACATCGCCGTTTCGGCAGCAGTGGGAGGCAGCTGCGGTGGTATTACACGGGAACAAGCCGTCGCTTTGTTTCCCATCAGGATAATAGCATTGTGCAATCGCAGAGGTGCTGAATACCGCAAACAGAATGATGAGAAAAAGCATCGCCGGCGAACACAGCCACGGGTGGAAGCTGCAATACTAAACCTGTACGGAGTAAAGCTGAGCGATCCTGAACTCCGGGGCCTGCGACATGCAGCTGTCTGCGCTATACGAGGAACGGCACAGTATATACATAGCCCGCACGAGGCGCACGAGGCCTCGTTCTTAGAGTTCGGCGGGCCGGTGATGGCTTGCTCGCGTCGACTCGTCGGAAGCGCCACTGGCTGACTTCACAGCGTATCGTCCCGCCGAGATGCATCGTCGGCACAAGGATGCGAGCGCCCTTCCCCGCCGGACTAACAGAGCTCCTGTGACTTGTGGCCAGTAGCCTTTCCCTTGTTTTATACGGGATCTTCGAAGCTTCATCAGGCTGGGCCCGCCCCGTCCAATCTCCTTGCGAAACATGCAACAACCACCATCACCAAAAGGAAGTATAGACGCATCGTCTTTTCCATCAAGTACCCTAATTCTGGTGTGAGCTCCATCCCCACAGCTTCCACCGATGGCGGGTATTGGATCCCTCTTTGCGGGGTTCAAGTCTCTAGCCAAACCGCTTGCGAAAGATAGAAAACGATCAGAAAGCTATGGTGATCTCGGCGACGATCTTTCTGCGTTTGAGAGAGCTCTTGAAGACGCTAAGCCAGCCTTATTAGAACGTGGAAAGTTGAGAACGTTCAATGAATGCTCCAAGTTCATCCTCGATACAAAAGAGCTCATTCGCAGAAATCCCGACTCAAACAGCAAGACAAATCAAGATCTACAAGAAAGACGCTCATCAGCGCTTGTTTCACGACTGCATGGCTACATTTTATTGCTCAACATGTATGACTCGCCTTCCATATGAGAAGGGAATATTCTCGACGCGTGCTAATTTCGGCTGCCTATACCAGTGCAGTCAATTCACCTCCACCAGGACCACAGGCCTGTGACTCGGTTCATGAATTGGATGCCGTGCCTATTTCCGAGTCACCGGGCGTTCCGATCTATGAGCTAGATGCCAGAGAAATCCATGAGCTCGAGGCACATCATGTTCGTGGACAGCCAGTATCAAGAGGCCCACTGGACGGAGCATTTGAAACAACAGAGCCCCCTTTGCCGCTTATTTTACAAGAATCAATCGCAACGGACATCATAGAACCCCAGACAGGTTTCCAAGGTCGAGCCTCTTCACTTTTGCGATTAGAAGACTCTTCCCCCTACTCATACCCTCCTTCTTTCAGCAATTCAAACAATCGCAGCTCGACTAGCTTAACCACCCTATCCAGCAGTCTAATTTTCCCATCCCTTAGAGATAGGACACCTTCTATTACTTATAAAGAAAATATCGAGTTTGCTAAGGCACTTAAAGAAGACCGTATCGATGTTGCTACCGTTTTGAAGTGTATCAAAGACGGCAACAAAAGGTCACAGCTGAACCAAGAGTCCGTCAATAATGCCTTAGCCTTTGTAGCCAAGCATCAAAAGAGGAAAGCTGGTCAAATCGAGGCCATCAATGTTCTTGTGGATCAGTGTGCCGCCGACATTGAGTATCGAGATGAAAAATACGGCAGAACTCCCCTTATCTGGGCGATTAACGTTGGCCGGGAAGACGTAGTGAGTCTTCTCCTAGACCATAACGCTTTCATCGAGGGCAGGGATAGCATCAAGAGTTGCACGCCCTTAATTTGGGCCGTATGTTTGGGTAATGAAACAATCACTCGGCTTCTTGTCAGCAGAGGAGCTAGTTTAAGAGCAGCTGATGCTGAATTTCAACGGACACCACTACTGTGGGCTACAAAAAGAGGTGCTTTCAAGGTGGCCCAAGTACTGTTGGAGTTTATCCAGGACCCAAATATTCTTGATATCAAAGATAGAGATGGAAAAACTGCACTTGCTCTTGCATATACAGAAAAACATCCTATAACTGCAACGGCACTCCTTGATTGCGGCTCTGATCCAAACTTTACTTTCAAATCCGGTCGACCGCTTATCATCTCAGCGATTATGGCAAAAGATGTACGGTTTGTCCGTCTGCTTTTAAGCAAAGGGGCGAGTAAACATGCTACGGATAAAGACGGCCTAACAGCCCAGGATTGGGCTCTGCGGATGAGGGATAAGAAAATGATTGGTCTTGTTTGTTCAGACGGATGATCTGGTGGATCTTGAACTAGTTTTCTCCCAGTATTAAGCTTTCTTATACCGATCTACTCAGAAATCTTGCTACAAGGTACCAGAGTACCCTGGGCTCCCAGCCTCTTGCAAGCCCCCACAATACAACGCAGGGTTCTGGTCGCAATAACTCCCCCATTGGCTGCCAATTGAGACACTCAACTGTTACCATTATTGCCCGGTTACTTTCTTATTGCAGAAGACGGTTATACATAAAAAGAACGTGCCAATTCCCAGGGTAGGCATGTGTGTCTGAAAGGCACAACCGTTTCTTCGGCTTAGAATAGAGATGGAAATAAAGTTGAGCATAGCCACAAAGACAGCCTCGTGTCTTCTGCTCCCATAGCTGTGAAACTACTTCTCCCGAATGTTATGTCCACCATTTCGAAGTCGATTTTTAAAAAGTGACTCTGGTTGTCCCAAAAAAACAATTGCCGGGGCAAAAATTTTAAGGTTTCTCATCAATGTCTAGTGGTAAATGGGTTATAATTATAAGCCTTGAGTTTATGAAGACAGCTATAAGATGTTATCTATAGACACACGTCTTCCTGCACTGCACTTGCACCGTGCACATACATATGACAAGTCGATTAAATTTTCATTTCTCTAAGACCTTCCTCTCTAGAACACCCTCTGGAACAAACGGAAAGCCTGTGTCCGCATGTCTGCCAAAATAATAATTCCGTGGTAAGATCAAATGGAGTTCTAGCTCGAAACAAGACTTTTTTTCCGTAAACAATCTTCGTGGGGGCAGTTCCGGGGCGGGGCATGACAACAAATAAAACATAAGAAAGGCATAATAGAGACCCATGCAAACATCTACTCAACTTCCTCCATATTAGCATCGTTGCCAGCTTTCTGGGCCTCGGCATCAGCGTCTTTCATTTCCAGATCAGCAGTATCCTTCTTCTTGGCATCTTCTTCCGCTTTCCTTTTTGCAGCAGCTTCTTCCTGAACCTTCATCTGAGCTTCTCGCTCCGCTTCTTGTTTATCATGGTAGCGCTGGACAATGGGTCCGACAAGGAAGCGGATTTCTTCCATTTTAGCGGTATAGACGGCCTTGGTGGTATCTTCGCCCTCCTCGTATAGCCAGTCCTACATAAGGGTCAGTGGTGCTCTAGTAAAATATGTATATGTAAACTTTCGGCAACGTACCTCTGCGAGATCGAGCTTAGCTTTAACCTTCTGCTTCTCGTCGTCATTTGAAAATTCAGCATAAACACCATCGATTTTATCTCTAAGTTCATAAATCATTGATTCAAGTTCATTCTTCTTGTCCTCGGTATCTGCAACAAGCTTATCTTCCATGTGCATGGCTTCTTCTTTCTCGGTGTACTCGTTGAGTTTTGTCTTGTCGAGAGAGGCAGTGCCATTGACAACAGGAAGATCGCCTTTGCGCACCTGCTTCTTTACTTTGCGCATCTTTGGCTTTTCAGCTTCTCCGTTGGCACCGTCGGTATCCATAGCCTGTTTAAAAAGGTTCTTCAGGTTAGAAAATACCTTGCTCTTAATGTCAAACAAGTCATGAGTCAGTAGACATCATAAAGGGTGATCAAATACTTACATCACCTTCCTTCTTCTCTTCAGGAATAGGCTCTTCAACCTCCACATCTTCGACGTAATAGCCGGATTCAATGTTGAGAACACCGTGCAGGTTGAGTCTTGCCTTTAACTTGCAAACCATGAACTCGTCGTTTGGATCCGCAGCTACATTCTTGACGGAAAAGCGGCCAATCCAAGGGTTGGGCTTACCAGGGATCAATTCAGGTTTAGCATATCGAGCTTCCAAATCGAATGGTTGTCTGCGATAGAAGGTAAGGATCTTAGTAGAAGGCAGAACGTTACCCTTGTTGAACACGGTCAAGGATGTAGCTTCATCGGGGATCTCTGGTGATTTCTCCCATGTAAATTCGATAGGATAGTTGATGATATCATGAACAGAGAAATCACGAACACGGAAGACGGGAGAGAGGATAGCGCAGCTAAAAGCGCAGCCACGTGCAACAGCTTCGTCCTGGTTAAGAGTAAAAGAAAGCGGCTTTCCAAAGAAGTCGCTGATTTTTTCTTTGATAATTGGGACACGTGTGCAGCCGCCGACCATTTCGATACTGTCAATGTCATCGGGTTTCAGTTTGGCGTCGGCGAGAGCTTGTTCGAGAGGAATTGTTATGCGATCCAGGAGGGGTCGGACCATTTCTTCCATCTCTTCACGCTTCACCAATGTGCGCACATCGACATCATCCATTAACGACTCAATATTCAAAGGTGCAGAGACATTGGCAGAGAGAATCTTCTTCATTTTCTCGGCAGCAGCAAGGGTTCGGGAGTACGCCTTTTGGTTCGTCTTGATATCAATCTTAAACTTTTCTTTGAATTCTTTGGCAAAATGGTCCACAAGCGCTTTGTCGAAATATCTGCCACCAAAATGACGGTCATAGGCAACGGACTTGACATTCAACTCGCCTTTTCGGAATTCAACGATGGCACAGGCGTAGTTGCAGTGGCCAATGTCGACAAAAGCAACGCGTCTTGGCTTCTCCTCTGGGCCGGGAAGATCAAGTTTGGTGATACCGTAGCCAAGAGCAATGGCAGTGGTATCGTTGATGAGGCGAAGGCACTTCAACCCGGCGATTTCTGCAGCATCCAGCAAGCTCCGTCGCTGAGCATCAATGAACCATGGCGGAACACTGATGACGACATCGGATACGGGGAGTCTTAACTCGTTGGATGCGGTGGCTTTGATTTTTCTCAGGTACATAGCAATAAGCTGGGTCGCGGTGAACTGGTCCTTTTTGCCCAGATAAGATACTTCCACGCCGGCTTCGCCATTAACGTCAATCAACTTCGCTGTGTTGTATTCCTGCTCCAATTGGACATCGGGATCCTTAAACGATCGGCCCGCAAGAAGCTTCAGGGAGCCGATAGTATTCTTTAGGTTGGAGATCTCTTGGGTCTTCGCGGCCTCACCAAGAAATCTGCTCTTGTGACCGAAAGCCACTAAAGAGCTATAGAACAGAAAAAAAGGTCAGTATGGTGCGAGGGGAGGTACAATGGAGTTCAGTTTATGGTGGACTTACGGAGTAGATCGGTTGGAAACTTCGTTTGTGATCTAAGTCGCTCCTCGAGGAGAGTGCTTGGTCAGTGAGACAAGAACACTAGCATCAAAAAATTGCAAAGAAAGGGTGCAAGAAAGAATAGAAAGCTGTATTTTAGGCTAGTGAGATGCCATCGACTTTGGAGCAGAAAGCTCAGCATCCAGGATGCACGACAAGGGGGAAGGGTGGCCAGGCCATGGCTGTCCAGGCATACGAGAAAAAAAACCAGACAAGGGGAGTACCCACAATATCAATGCCCTTATTCCTTGCAACACCGATCTTGGTGCTCATCGAGCCGAGATCTATGCCGACGACACTCATGGTGGCAGAAGGCGGGCTGTTCTCACAGACTTATGTGTATTCGTTATCTGGTCGAGTGAAGGTGGGGGTGGAGAGAGGGGGAGAGGCAACGATGAAAGGCGCGATTGTGGCCGACGTGGCAGACGATCGAGGTTAAAATTCTGGCAGTAGGATAGATTAGTAGGGAGCAGACGAGCGAACAGAGACAGAAAGCTGGCGATATAAAAGAGCAGAGATGGATGGGGGCTGCGAGTGACTGTTGAAGGGCCAAGCGGGCGTTGACGGGTGGACGTGCAGAGCGAGCAGGGAAGAGGAAAATCCAACGGCGAGGCGAGCAGCACAGCCGTCTTTAATAGCGTTTTCCTCCTCTCTCTCTCTCTCTCTCTTTCTCTCGATTAGCCGCTCTCCGGCCGGGCAGACAGCTCGAGCAGAGCGCGACGCAAGGCCAATGAGAACCGCTGGGGCGCGGGGTTTGGGCGCGAAGAGAAACAGGCGAGTCTGGCAGTGGGCGGCACACACACACAGAGGGGAGCGGGCAGGGCAGGCAGAGACGCGCAGACAAACACAGATACTCACACACGACAGGCAGACAGACAGACATCAGAGCTGGACTCACCTCAGGCGTGCTCGCGGGTCGGCGGCGGATGTTTTTTCACTTGGTTTCTGGCGAATTTTCCGCTTTTGCGTTCGATTTTGTCTTGGCATCGAACCTTCTGGCGGCGTCGCGAAACGGCGGGCAAAACCCAGCAGCGATGGGCATCTATTGTTCTAGTTATGTACTTGACTCTTCTACGGAGCATGCAGCGTCTACCTAACCCGCGATCTCTCTATTCGCTCTCTGCCTTTCTCTGCGAAATGCTTTTGAAACGCCGTGCCAATCCAGGCTGCTACCCATGCAACTCATACAGTCATTAAACAGAACCATTGGGCAAAAAAAGGACATAAAAACAAACACCGCCATCCATCTACATTTATCCATGCTTCCATCCTACCCAGGTCATCGCAATCATACCATATCCGGACCCCGCCGCGGCTGCTTGGCCAGTCGTTTGCGACCCGTGCGCCGGCGGGAGGACTCGCGCTCGCTGTCAGACGTCGACTCGTTGGCCCACGACTCTCCAGTTCGGGCTGGTTCCGACACCGATGAGACCGCCAATCCGATGTCGTCGCCCTCTGTGTCTGCCGCGCTGCTGGTGCGGAGCGGACTCTGGCCAGCGCGGGGCCGACGGGCGGGATCAAAAGCAGAGCGGCCGTAGGGGTTGCTGGGTGGCTGCAACTCCTGCATCGTTGCCCGTCTCTCAAAATGCTGAGCATTCTGTGCTCGCGACATCGAGTCCTTTTCTAGGTCCGACACGGAGTCAAACGGCACTTTGTCGACAGCAACGGTTGAGACTCGAGCCTGTCGCGCCAGCTGCATCTTCTGCTGGTCTTCTGAGGTCATGTATACCTGGTCTGTAGTTTCGTCCTGCTCTTCTTCCGCCATGATGCTCTCCAGCCGGCGCGGCCAGCAGATGGAATTCACTGCAGATCCGTTGGTGAGCTCTGACTCAAACGACCCTCGCGGACGCACAGAAAGCTGGGGCATCCCGGGTTGGCGAGCAAAGTGCGTAGGTAGTGAGAGCCCGGATATGTTCGTATTGTCGTAGTAGCCAGCTGCGTTCTGCTCGGGAGGGGCAAACCGACCTTCCACTCCCTGCGACGGATGCACAGGCACAGGCGCCCGTTCCTCATGGGCTACCTGGAACGACTCGAGGTTGACATTGAGATCATCGCCTTGCTCCTTTGCTTGTTGGGCTGCCAGCGCAGGCGTTGTGCTGGAGTCTGCTTCTGCTGCATCGGCACGAGGCCCTCCCCAAGTGCGCTGGCCCGCCGTGAAGATTCCATAGACCATATAGATCCAGTTAAAGAATGGATTTAGAATAAACATAATCGGATAGAGCCAGGCTTTGAATCGACGTAGCTTGAGGCCAAAGTAAAACATTAGGAGATAATTCAGACCCAGCGAGACCGCGATAAAACCCACGGGCAAGTTCTGGATCCGATTTGACGTTGTGATAATAGATATTACCATTATGAAAAAAAGAAGCGCAGTTGTTCGAATGGTATTTTGCATGAAGCGAACAACACACAGAATTGGATAGCGATACCAAAGGCGAGCATCTGTGAGCATGCACACTTCATTTGTAATGAAACCGAGAAACCAACGCCGTCTTTGCTTGAGAAGACTGCGAAACGTCTGCACAGCTTCCGTTTTGCAAAAAGCACTGGTACACATCTGAATCTGGTACCGCTCCCGGGCTCCAATCATGAAGAGATGGGTGAGCCAACGGTCTTCTCCAAGATGACATTTGCCAAAATCAAAGAGATCTGCGCATTGTCCTGCTTTGTCTGCAAAGTAATATTTGGCCATCTTTCGAAAAGCAGAGAATCGTAGGATAGTGAGGGCTCCTGGAAGGCAGGTTACAGCGCCGCAGCCCGATTCGACGGAACGCTCGAACAGTTGGCCATGGATATACTCCATGTCTTGTAACAGAGTTATTAATGACGTTTTTTGTGTTGTCGAGGTAATGACCCCGGTCATAGCTAGCATGTTCCGTTTGCTTCCCGGTTTTAATTCCATATCATACATAAAATTTTGTAAACACACCCGATCAAGGATGCAGTCTGAGTCAATGAATAGAACGAACAAATCATCGTGTCGGAGGAGATATTCTGCGTAGACTTTGTCGATTAAGCGGAATGTTTGTTTCTGGCAGTTTCGCTTTCCGCCATGCACGAATCGAGATATCGTGATTCTGGAGCCTTTATAAGCCACATCGATACTTTGTGGATACGTCTTCAGGGTTATTGGAACCCCCAGGTGCTCGACAACCTTCAGATATAATTCATCCACCTGGTCACCGTCGAACGAGAGAAAGACGTGGATGCATTCAGGGGGGTAATCACAATCCACGACGGAGTCAATCGCTTTGATCAACACGGGGGGTTCTTCCTTGTACACAGGCATCACAATAACGGTCTTTGGGGCAGTTCGAATGTCCAAGACTTCTTTTATACGCTTTGTTCGTCCAAGAGAGTTTGTTACCAATCGATAGACGCAGAAAAGCCAAGGCACAATGAGAAGAACTGCAAATGTCCAAAAAGCAAACCACTGCAGAAAAGAAACCAATTTGGGGGGGAAAGTTCGCGTAATATTGGAGGGTAGAGGCAGAGTTACTACCATGACAGGAAGAAAAATGCCTCTGGAGCGCGAGTCATTAGCGCAGAGACGATAGATTCATTTCGAGCGTACATACCGGAGGGCGGTAAATAGAATCGCTATCACAACAGCTAAAATTCGTACACTCCAATGATCTGCTTTGACGAATACTTTATATAGGCAATATAGAAAGGCGGCAATCCACAGAAACCACTCGAGCAGGGCAGCCAACATGACCGGGCCTATGATGGAAACATACACGATCTATAGAAAGGCCGCGGTTAGGTTAAGCAAGCTAGCAATCCATGCGAGGTGCCCGGACAGGAGGAGCTCCAACTTACATCCTGCACGCGCCAGGCTGGCTGTGCGTCGGCTCTGCCCAGGAGCTCCATTGCTTGTCTTGCTAACATGGAGACCCGAGAGGCCAGCACCCAGTGGCACTCGCGTAGGTAAATATGAATGCTGGAGTCCACAGGTCAGTACGCGCCAGGCTGTGAATGAAGGACACCGGAGGAGGCTCACTGAGATAATCGTTACGCGTCAGAGAAAGCGCAGACAGGGTATCATGGCCCACGCCGCCTCCAGATTGAGAAGAAGAGAAGGATGGCGTTTGGCGATGAGCCAGTCCGGCGGCTGGTGAAAAAGCAACTAAGGAGGGAAGGATGCCCCGGATAAGCAAAGCAGCGCGCCAGCAACAAAGCGGGAAGACGAAATGAAGCCGAAGCGCGGCACAAGCGACGCCACCGCAGGACTGAGTGCTGCTGCCAGCCCGGACAGCAGAGCGCAGGGAAGGAGAAACAGCGGCGAGGCCGGCGCGCACAAACGAGGCCCAGCAAGCGAGCGGACGACGAGCAAATGATAATAATCAAAACCAAAATTCTTTGTGGCGAGCGGTGTCTTCACGACTGGGCCGCCGGGATGAGCCTGGCCGCGGTGCGACGACGAGACGAGACGACTGGAAATTAGTTAGTTATGTACTGGCCATCGTGGCGTGCGCGCGGGTTGCCGGCGCTTCAGCGACGTCGCGATGCATTTTTATTATCCTTCTTGGCTGCCTTGTCTTTGTCTGTGCCGCCGGCGGCGCTTTGCCCAGCGCCAGGCCCCACGGCCGTGTCGATGCTCTCGTTGCATCCGCCGGCCTCGAGCGCAGAGGCCCGCGGTGGAGCAGGCGTGCGGTGGCACCACAGACGTGATGTCTCACAACCGATCCTCCGATGCGGCCGATGATGCCCTACGCGAACCCTGCAGGGCGCGCCCGTACTGCCACAGCCGGGCTGCCCCAGATCGCCCGCGATGCTCCGCGCGGTGGTGGCAGTAAGCGCAACGGCCGGTGGCGGACGGCGTCAGGCCAAAAATATCTGGCTAGCGCAGATCGCCGCCATCGGTTCCACCAGCTCGGACGTTGCTATTTTTATGTAACGGCAGAGGACACGCTATGGCGCTGGCCACGCTGCAGCAGAGCGGTGACCAGGCGAGATGAAACAGCAGCCAATCTGGGTATTGTTATTAGTGTGCTTGACAGACGCCTTATAGACGGCCTACAGCCGCCGTGGCTCTCGTCGCTTGAAACGAAACACTGCACTGTCGATCGCCGCCCTGAGGCCTCCACGGCCCGGGGCTGCTGTACGGAGTAGTAGCTAGCTAGCTAACTCCTCTGTGCCTGTGCCCCCATGCCCGCCATCCCGCTGCTCCAGGTCCCTTGCGCCCGCGTCATCCCCAGGGCTGGCTTGCCAAAATTACATGTGTTTTGGGGCTGTCACGCCGGCCCGCGCATCACCGTGGCTTGGCGTAAAATACGTCACGCGTTACCATACATGAAAAACTCTCCTCACGGGCGACGACACGCTCAGTAACACGCGAAAACACGCTCGAGATATCACGATGACGCTTTGATCGGGCACAGCAGATGCCATTGACATCCAGGTATCAGCCCTATTGTTGGATTGTGCTTGTTCCTGCGGTTTTCGGGCGCATGGACTTTTTTTCCCACAGCTGCCCACTCTCAAAACTCAAAGAAACATCATTTCTTGCTTCATCCATATACTGATACCTCAACCTTTTTTAGATCACCATCTTCCACATATCCTTATACTACATCCTTCTAAATAGAACCTCCTTATCTCTATTGATCGGACCCATCTCGTCTCACTCATATTTCCTCGCTGCAACGCCTGTGCGTGGCCCAACATGTCGGACACACAGAAGCCCACGGAAGTGGGAGAAAACCCGAATGCCGCGGCGGAGAAGGACGTAAAGGATATCCTCGCGGAGCTCCAGGCTGAGGACACCAATGCAGACGGCAAGGAGGAGCCGACTCCCACTGAGCCAGAAAAGAAAGATTCCACCGCCAACCGCGCGCAGCCCGATGCTGAGGCCGAAGAGGAAGCTAGAATCATCGCGGCTGCCAACAAGTTAGGCCAGGACTCAGTATCAGACGACAAGCCCAAGCGCGACCGGGGTAACAGAGCCGGTAACCGTGGTGGCCGCGGTGGGCGTGGAGGAGACAAGAAGCGAGTGAATTATCGAGACAACATCAAGTCTGATGTTACAACCTTGGAGGAAACCAGCGATCCAGAGGAGATTCGCAAACAGGTTTGCTCTCCCTTCTCTGCATGTTGAATCCCGGCATGGACTAATCCGCCCGTGTGCTCCCCTAGGTTGAATTCTACTTCTCTGATTCGAACCTTCCAATGGATAAATTCTTGCTAGGCAAAGTGGGCGGGAGCAAAAACCGTGCAGTCGAGCTTTCTTTGCTCCACTCATTCAAGAGAATGCGACGCTTCCAACCCTTTAGCGCAATCGTAGACGCTTTGAAGGAGTCTGAAACCCTCGAGCTCACTGATGATAATACCAGCATTCGACGAAAGGTCCCGCTCCCCGATACTGTGACGGAAAATACAAACTCTTCTACTGCTAGAGTGTTTGATGATAAAGCCTTACACCGTAGCATCTACGTCAAAGGCTTTGGCACGGAGGAACCCAGCACACAGTTCGATATCGAAGCCTTCTTTGCTCCTTTTGGCCCTACCAATGCCGTCCGGCTGCGACGCACGGATGAAAAGATATTCAAAGGCAGTGTATTTGTCGAATTTGACTCGGAAGAGACACAGAAAAAGTTCCTTGCTGTGGACCCGAAGCCCAAGTGGAAAGGAACCACTGAGCTATTGATCAAGAGTAAGAAAGAGTACTGCGACGAAAAGGTCAAGGAGATAGAGGCTGGACGCCTTAAGCCCAAGAGAGGACGCGGAGGCTTCAGAGGCGGCAGCCGTGGTGATAATAACCGCGATTGGAAAGATCGCAGGGCCGATGATCAGAAGCGCGGATTCGGCAGAGGCAGAGGCCGCGGCCGTGGAAATGGTAGAAGAGACGGTGGACGTCGAGAAGGCTTGAAGGATTCTCGGTACGTTTACTTTACCCCATACTTTGACTACTTCTAATCTGGTTCTTTATAGGGGAGTACCAATCGTCCAGGTGGAGGGCGACAAGCCTACTGAACCCGCTGCAGGGCAGAAGCGCGCCCGAGAAGAGGATGCCGGTGCCAACGAAAACGGCACAACCTCGAGCAACGTCGAAAATGGCGATAGACCTGCCAAAAAAGTGGATGTCAAGGAAGGCTAGGAGCAATATACAAAGAATCTACTAAAAAGTATAACCATGTAGGATGGAATCGGATCTCGGCGCAAAGGGCATCAGTGAATTTTTTATCTAATTGTCTAACTTGTCCAGAGCCTTGTGGCGCCTACATCTGCTGTCCTGATTTTTGGCAGATGTATGAGCAGACTATGCATGTGTACAAAATAACCACTTAGGAAATGCATTTATTACTGAATTGTGATACTTTCTGCAAATGATCATACACATTCGCTGTCCTAACCACAGTCTTCCAGTTAAATATCTGTACTAGGTGCTGTTGCTGAATGGCTGATCTCTCCGTTTACCTTTAGCTGGAGTCGCTCGGGGGTCACTTTGTAGGCTTTGGGAAGCCAGGTATAAATCGACTTCTCGTCATCACCAAATATCATCGAAGTGAAGGCCTGAGCACAGAGAAAGCAAAGGGCCATGCCTATCAAGTACGATCCTCGTTAGCGGGTGCTCAATAATCACAAAATATGGCCATAAGGAGCCGACACCTACCGTGGCCTTGGAACGAAGCGCAAATATACAGACCAGGATCACCTGGCATCTCGCCGATCAGTGGGTGTCCATCAGCGCTATACCCCATAATTCCTGTCCACTTAGACCTGATTCGACCCGCAGGGTCGTCTTCGCCCCAGTTTTTCCCGAAAAAGCGTTCGGTTGTCGCGGTGAGATAGTCCATGATTACCGGATCGCATACCGTGTCGTCCACGGTTCCGCACTCATGAAGACCTTCATCTTTCCCAGTGATGAAGCCGCCTCCAATGACGATATCCCCGGCATGCTTCGAGCCCTGCGGTCGAGGTATCATGAAATCGAAGCCACCCTTGTAGACAAACGAATATGTCGTTTTCAACCCATCCTTTGGCATATTCGTACCGGGCCGATGGGCAGTCATTTGGCCACGGAGAGGCATGATTACCCCCTGGAGCTTTGGATAGATGGCAGCGGTGTACCCGTTTGTGGCCATAATGATTTTGGGAGCACGAATGGTTCCTCGACTGGTTTCAGCGACCCAGCCATCGTCTTGCCGAGATAGCCGTGTGACCAGCGTGTTTGTTTGAAGATTCAGACCCTTTTTCAAGCACATCTTCAGGATTCCGATGACGAGTTTATAGCCACTCATGCTTCCAGCCGCGTAGGTAATTGCACCAAGGGCGCCGGGGCAGAGAAACTTCTCTTCGGCATCTTTGCCACTCCAGATGGTATAATCGCTGTAGGGTTCCCCAGGCAGGTGCTTTTTCATGAATTCAATTGAACTCAGAGAGTTTTCCCATGCCGTCTGGTCGTAAACGATATCGACTGTATCGACTTCTTCGCTGTCGCAGGGAATATTATGCTGCCTAGCAAACGAGTGAACCCCTCTAAGAGTATTGTACTCCAACTTGACAATTTTAATCGCTTCTTCCAGACCAAGTTTCTGAACGTTGGCCGGAAAGCTCGTATACGAAGCGGGTTTGGTATGGCCACCTGCAAATCAAAGCGCGCTATCAGTGGGAGGTCGCGACCAATCCATAATAGGAAGTGCTAGGACGAAATAACACCGCGTGTGACAGGACACGGAATGCAAGGCATGGCAACCGCACCATTTCTGCCAGTAGCGCCACTACATGCTTGTCTCGCTTCTAGCATCACAATCTTTGTTTCTGGTGCTCTAGAAAGGACATTGAAAGCCGTCGAAGCGCCGGTGATGCCGGATCCAATGATAACAAGATCTGCCGTCTCCGGTATCTGGGGCGTGGAGCGGAGGTTAGCTATCTCGTCTGGCGGAGTTTGCCAGTACGAAAAAGTGGGATTGTCCCGAGGGGTAGTAACAGGAATCGAAGCTCTCTGGTCCATGATGTCTATGATTGAGAAATAGTGACGAGTTGGTCAATGTATTCGTGTCTTATCTGATGAGCAACTGGGAGTAACAGCTCTTATATACGGGCACATCCGTCCGGATCCCAAACAAAACCTCAGAATGCCAGGCTTGACACTGCACAGCGGGCTCCTCGGAATCCAGCACATCAAACCGCCAAGCCTGGGTGACGCCTGGGCTTCCAAGGTCTCAGCTTGCCCGCTTCAGCAAAGATGCCGCTTCCGAACGGTGGGCTACACGACGCTCTAGCGAGCAAGGTGGCCTTGGTCAGGGCGTATGTACTGTCCCGGAGCTGGGTGCTGCGCCTGGACGCTGAGCTAGCTGCTCCGGCCTCGCACGCTTTGGGAGTTCTGTGTCTCCGCGGGTTCGCAACGACAAGATGCTGTGGGCGGGGACGCGGCAGCCGGCACGTGAACCGCTTACCTAACTGGCTTCCGCTTATTGGGTTTCCGACGCGAGGGCAAACAAGCTTAACGAGACACGCCGCGCCAAGCCGCCTAACTAGCCGCGCGGTTTGACTTTTCTCCGCAACTTCGTCCACCCGGCCCGTCGGCCGAAGCAGGCGACCCCGTCGGCTTCAACGTCCGCTGCACTGGACTCGGTACCATGCCTGACCCGATACTGATCCCGCACAGTCTCTCTTGGTGCTGAAACGGTCTGTCTGGAAGTAGGAATTGCGCACAAGCTTATCCCCCCAACAAAGCATAAAGCCCAATTCTTTTGAAAGTACGGAGTATTGAGTACGTACCTGCGCAACCGCTAATTAGTATCTGACCCTGCCAATCAACATTCCGCCACTGGACTCTGTTTTTATGGGTCGGACCCCTGCCTTCGGGGTTTGCTCAAGCCAGCAGGCCCACCGCACTGACAGCAGTCTTTAGCATTTGGAGCCTCGAAGCAGATCTTCTTCGCCAGGTGCAAGCTCTCGATAACTCTGTAGGCGGTCAAAATATCTCTGCGTTTAGTTTGATTCCCTTAAGTCCCGGTCCTTTGGGAATAACTGAGTACACAGGCTGAAACATTTACCACCCCCTCAAGACTCCCTTTTCTCCAATAAGATGGCATTCAAATGGATTTTTTCCCTTCATCTACTGAATATGGTTCCAGTACGAAGGACTGCGATATCTAAGCTTTGCTTTTTCCAATCATGGACTAGCCCCCATGCTAGGCTTTCCCGTTTTCTGAACTTTACTTGAGACAAGGAGGCAGGCGCCCGGCCGCCGCGTTGCCTAGGCCTCGGTGGTCGGCACTCAAACCCAGCTACTCTCTCCATTAATCCGTTCTTCGTTAAACATTTCCACTGCGGCCTGTGGGTCTGCATGGACTTCCCTATTCAGGAATAGTTGGTCCGCGCCAAAGATATGATTTCCAGACGACATACAGCGTCAAAAATGCATCCTTATTGTTTCCCCGCAAAACCTGGGGTAAGATCCACCAGTGGATGTCCGTCTTCAGCGGAGTACTGGCTTGGCCGACACGGTAAGCATGAAGCACCAGAATGTCTATTCCACCCAAATATACATATATATATCCAAAGTCATCGCCGTGGAGTGCAATCTCTTTGATCCAAGTCTCTTGTTTACTTGATTATTGCATTGCGACAGCACAGAAAAACTGTTGCAATGGAATTTCCCACTGTTGAAGGGATCCAGATGGTCCCAGGTACCATCCACATAGTTGATTGTGAGTATCTGGACTCCATTTTCAGCGTTGAATCCTACCACATTCCTAACAACCCTACCAGTGGAGGGGACGATGAACGTAAAGCATCAGAAAGGTGGTCAGAAAGATATCATCTTAGTTCCACAACCAACCAATGACCCCAATGACCCTCTCAATTGGAGTAGATTTCGCAAGGAATACCATTTCTGGCTGCTATGGATTTGGGGCTTTATTGCTGCGGTCTCTGTCAATTGGATAGGGCCTGTTTGGGTGAGTGTGGACTAGTTTTCTCCGGCTTCAAAAATGTCTGCTTACACGGCTGCAAGACGCAATTTACGATCGATCTCAAGACAAACTTCGTTCAGCTTAACATTGCGGCTGCCCTATGCTTTCTCTTCCTAGGCATCGGCTGCGTCGTGATGCAGCCGATTGCGATGAAAATTGGCCGGCGGCCTGTTTACATCACTGGGACCTTGTTCAACCTTAGCGGGTGCATTCTCGGAAGTTTTCAGCGGTCTGTTGAAACCTTCTGGGTGGTCAGCATCCTAGGTGGTGTGGCTGGCGCTCCTGTGGATTCTCTCGTTCAGGTCACTACCACTGACATTTTCTTTGCCCATGAGAAGGGTACACGGTTGAGTTTGTACATTTTTACCATGTATGCAGGCTCCTATCTCGGGCCTGTCGCCGCAGGATACATTGCGGACTCTCAAGGCTGGCGATGGTGCTTCCGGTATCTTGCCATCTTCTTCGGTGTCCTCCTTGTTCTTCAAATCTTTACTATGGAAGAATCCATCTTCCGGAGACCCCCTACCCCATCAGAGATTGCCGATGAGAGTGTCTTAGAGGACAAGATGCAGGCTGTTGAGAAGGGGCCAGATACCCTCCACGTCACAGAATCTGCGAGCAGTGCGCCGCCTCCTCCGAAATCGTACTGGCAGCGCATGGGTCTATGGAACACCACTTACAGTGATCCTCGTCCCCTATGGTTGGTAGCACTGAGCCCGTTTTTCCTGCTCACATATCCTGCCGTGATGTGGGGAGGCCTTGTTTACGGCATCCAGATTATGTGGCTTTCCCTTATCACGGTGACACAGTCCGCTACCTTCAGTGCGCCGCCGTACAACTTCAGCATCACCAACGTCGGTAACACCAATTTCGCAGCCTTCATCGGTGGTATCCTTGGCATGTTTTGGGGTGGTTCTGTCTCCGATTGGTGCATTCTTCGCCTTTCACGCCGGAACAAGGGCATAATGGAGCCAGAATTCCGCCTGTGGACGATGCTTATCCCTGCCATTCTTAACACGGGCGGCCTTCTCATGTACGGTCTAGGGTCTCTCTATGGTGTCCATTGGATCCTTCCAGCTGGTTTTGGAATGGCTCTCATTGGCTTTGGCATTGGAAGTGGTGCAGCTATTGCCATGACATATGCTGTCGATTGCTATCCGCGAGCCACGTCAGAGGCTCTCGTTTTGATGCTCTTCATTCGCAATTTGATTGGCACTGGGTTCACTTTTGCTATTGAGTAAGTCATACATATTTCAAACTAGGCCATATACAGCTGACTGACGATCCCTTCAAGACCCTGGCTTGAGCACAATGGCCTGCAGAATACAACAATAATAATGGCTATTTTGTGTTTTGTTGCAAATATGTCATTCCTACTTATGGTTTGGAAGGGTAAAAGTATGCGAGTATGGACTGCTAAAAGGTATTTCCGGCTGATGCAACAAAAGGCTAAATATGCTGTTGGATCTTGAGCGCTGCCTTTTTAAAATTCATATATCCTCTAGAGTCGTGTAGGACTGGTATTTCATGGTTATAATTATTCGTTATGTCCTTAATGAAGAATAAGTCTTTTTTTCAAAACTCTATCACTGGGTCCTAGTATAATAGAGTGTGCTTCTTAAACATTGGAAATGACAATAAAACAAAGTAACACTAAGTAGTGATGCACGATGGCACATATAGGGTATGATTACGTTGACTGTAATCGAATCAATTGCATGTTCGGTAACATATATTCTTTTCATCAACAAGCACGCTAGCGGTATTCTTAACAGCTGGAACGTCCAGAGCAGGGTTGCGATCAAAGAAGTCGGATGGACGGAATTGCAGTTCAATTTTTTCGACCGGCATGACCGGCCAGTCCTCCACACGAGGATTATGCGTGAATCCAAATACCGACCAGAGTACAACATCAGAGTCCGTTGTATCATCGTTACGAGATACCGCATCCGCCAGTCCTCCTCGCTCTTCTTGAGATTGATTGGTGAAATTTCCTGCTGCATAGAATTCTCCATCTTTGTATGAAGTGACCCAAAGATGATGACTGGCAAACTTGGCACGGCGTGCCATAGTAGATCGGGGATCTGCTAAGAGCAGCTGGGATGGAGGGGGGGTGAATTTGTAAGAAACGGGTTTTCCAGAGATTGGGTTTCGAACGTTTGTGTTCGACATTTTGACAACTAGGTTAGTGAATGGTGAGGCATCAAAACCGCTAGATTTCTCAATAGGTTTTGTAACAACATTGTAGGCATTCCCATAAGGGTTTGTTGCTGGTTCGAGGGGAATTGGTAAGGATTCTTCACAGAATATGGTATTGTTATGTCCATCGATGGCAGGGTCAACACGGAAACAGAATATGTGCTGGTGATTCTGACCAAGAACGCCAGGTGAAACAACATTTCCCCATGGTGAAGTCTTTCCAGGGTCAATATTAACAACTGAAATAATACCAGTTGGTCTCACTTCAAGGCTCACGGCTCCGGCTTGATCGAACTTGTATGAAAAAACATACTCATAGTTGCCGAGGGTAATAATATATTGGATGATTAATTCGCGGTACCTTGTCACTACCGGTTGGTCGGTACGAAAATTGGTATGCTTCCATCCAATACCATTGTCTTGCTCGTGTATACACACCACATTCGGAGCTGGAATTGGCTGACCAGAGAAGTCGATATTGAAGGTGTCTAAGTACTGTATCGCGCCCACGCAATCGCACCCCAAAGACAGGTTATTTGCGGAACGACCCGCGCCGCCATCACCAAAGTCGAACGCTTGCTTTCGATGGAAAGGTGGGCGGGGATCACCATAAGGAACAGTCATTTCGGATAAACTGAGTCGATAAAAGACACTCCGACCGTCATAGTGAATGTCATGAAGAGTGACACCTTCACGAGGATTAAACCCTATACGAAACCGCCATTTCTGCCACTCAACCAAACTCTTGTTGGTTACTTTAAAGGAAGGTCCTTCGGGTTGTATAATATTGAGGGGTTTGATATCAGCGCGGTATTCAACGTCAGCAAGCTCTGGCACGTATTCCGATGCGCGGCAGTGATCAATAGCATTAGGCTGATGCGTATCATAAGCGAAGCCATCTGCGATTCCACCAGAAGCTAGCTTTTCTATTCTCACGATTTCTTGTTTATAGACATCCATAACGGCAATTATGGGGATCGGGTGGGAATAATGGTTCGAGTCGGGATTTCCGTTACGATGGTCTCTCGCAAAGCATAGCCCAATAATATGACGCGGCGGGGTGACTCCAGGATCCGAATAGCCATACGGCCAGGGTTCAAGCTCCACTTCATATCCTTCCGGAAGTTTGAATTTTGATATGGCTTCTTGGAACAAGGGAGAGGAGAGACAAATGTCAAAGAAGCCTTTCATTTCTTCCCTAGAGGACAAAGTATGCTATTAACAGGGTGGCTTTCCATAAGTTCCAGGGAACTTACATTGTGAGGTGTGGCTGGCATGTGGTATCGAACTCTTCCCTCTTGACTTCCTTCCTCGAGTCAAGATCCACAACGGACTCTGAATACCCGTGGGCTTTTCCTGTGTGAATCACATCGTATTGGACTCGAGCTAGCCTCGCAGGGCGAGGGGTGGTGCTGCTCAAAGTCCCATCATGCTCCTCCTTGAGAAAAGGCAGCAGACTCGCCTTAGCAGGTTCTTCTAGGAATATGGATCGGAACTGGAGTAGTGCTCCGGGCCATGCCTGTACAACGACATTTCGAGCATTGGTGATTTCCTCCGCATACAGCTGATCTAGGGGGTGAGATTGGGCCATGTGGACTAGGGAAAGAAGCGGCGTGGTCTGGCGATCAAGCAGCTAAACTACTCCGTAAATAGAGGAGCTCAACTGCGGCAGAAGCCAGTAGTAGGATAAGGATCAAAGAGAGTAAAAAAGAAATTCGGGAGGCTTGAGCACCAAGCTTACGCTAGTTAGCTTCCCGTCTTCCAAGCCTAAAATGCGGGCAGCGGCGGGCTAATATACACCTTGAGAGCCGGCTTCAGCAAGGGTAAGGCTGATAGCTACCCCGCCATAGCCCGTTGGAAGCAACTTGTCCGCAAGCGTCAGATCCTTCGATTGCGGGCAAATTCGGACTAGAAAGGCATGTCCACGCCACTAAGACAAATCATCGACGATCAGGCGAAAGGTGGTTGGGTCTCAGCTGTAGTGAGAGGTAGGGTTGGAAGAACCAAGGCGTACGGCATCAGTTGCCAGCACGGACAGGTCACGGCTGGTTACCGCAGACAATGTGATACCGGACCCTGGGCGCCATGCCCAACACGCTGCCGTAGCAGGGTTTCACAACCCAGAATGTAACACTGAGGGGTCGACCGACTCTCCGTTCTCAATGGTTCTGATAGGAATATGCCCGTATCCGGCTGGCAAAGCTCCAGGATATGGCGATGTTCCAGGCAGAGACGGCATGCCGGCCAAGTCAGCAGATAGAACGAACAAGAACACAGCCAGAAGGTTCAGGACTTGGCGAATTGTAGTCTGCGTGTCGCGGAGCAGTGAGAGCGCGTTTGACAGTGATTTTCGATTTTGTCGTCGCGATCGCCAGAACGGGCAGAAGAGCTCCACATCGCAGTCTTGTCGCCTCTTACATAACTAACTAGTTACGCTACGGAGTACATATCAACTGCACTCAACGCGTACAGCCCTCCCTGCACTACCAGAACAGAGCTGCCCGTGGAGGGAGATGTCGCTTGAGTTCTTTTCTCCCCTTTCAATTGCCTGCTACGCGACATGCCCGTCGCCGGCCACATATGGACTTGCTGACCACCCTCCCCGATTTCCCCGTTGAGCCGTATGCCCATATTCTCTCGAACCTAGAAAATGCCGGGCTTTCCGTCAAGGCTCTGCTGCTTCTGGATGCCCTCGAAGTCGCGAAGCGAACCGGCATACCTGTTGCTGAGGTGCGAAGACTCACCAGCAATATCCTTCATGAGCTCCATCACGACGTAGGCCTGGCCCAGACGACGCGAGCTCGCCATGAAAAAACAGCCAGCGGACAGAAAGATGTGAGTGTCAAGAGCAGCCTGGAACCTTGCAGAACGCATCGACCCCCATCCCTGTCCTTCATTAGCACCTTAGACCCCACGCTGGATGATCTGTTGGCGGGTGGAATATCAACTGGCTATCTTACAGAAATAGCAGGCGAAAGGTCCGTTTGCTGAGCACCCACGCTATTGACTTCTCGCTGACGGTACCTGGATGTTCTATAGTAGTAGTGGGAAGACGCAGGTACTGCTGCAGCTTCTCCTTGCAGTGCAACTACCACCACCGCATGGCCTCGGGAGGACCGCTCTATATGTCTCGACAGAGGCAGACCTAGCGACCAATAGATTATCCCAGCTCCTGGATGAACACCCCCATTTCTCATCGCTTCGTACGGATACTCAACGGCCTTCTCTGGATAATGTTTTTGGAATCACCCTTTCCGATCTTGAGACGCAGGATCACATTCTTCACTATCACATTCCAGAAGCAATAGTGAGGTACAACGTTGGTCTTGTGGTAATTGATTCCGTCACGGCGAATTACCGCGTAGAGAGCTCTACAACTACTGTGAATGGCTTGCTTGAACGTGCCCAAGAGCTGAAAAAGCTTGGCCACCTGCTACGGAACCTAGCTGTCAAGCATAACATCGCAATAGTTGTGGCAAACCAGATATCTGACAGACTAAGCCAACTAGACCAGTCCCTATGGGCCGAAGGACATGATTATTCAAGTCCTCGTCCTACTGGCCCGCCCTCGTCTCAGCTCCTCGATCCCTCCCAACTGGCCCATTCTTCTTTGGGTCGCCAATCAGGTACTCCTCGCGCTGGTTCGCCTCTACTGCGAGACCAGAGAGAAAATGTTGTTTTACCAGAGCCGCTCAAACATCCAGCTGATACCGGGACATCATTGCATAACAGAATTCCACGGTTCCAACTCCGTGATATGAGTACAGTGCTCACTTTCACATACCAGCAGTCATTCTACACTGGCTGGGGCGATCCCTACGACTACTCGTCATGGAAAACACCAGCACTTGGGCATGTTTGGGCGAACCAGTTGGGGTGTCGTATTGTGCTGAAGCTACGCAATTTTCCTAGCATTTCAAACCCGGGTCTTCCCCTCAAGTTGAATATAGGCCCAAGTGCCCCGGCTTCAGGTAAGCATCAATCGGAAGAGGGGATAAAACAATTAGAAAAGCCCGGGGACAACGAGGACTCTTCAATGCCCGCAAGTAGCCTGAACTACCACCATGGCAAACACCAACCTTCAACACAAGAAAATCACTCAGAGAAACAAGAAGATATCGACTTCAAACGTGCCGCTTTCTCTGGTCACGAAAACGGCAATCAATCCGGCAAATCTGAGTCTACAGCCAAATATGAGCTCTTTCCTCTACCTCGCTCGGGCAGACAACGAACAATGCAGGTAATATTCTGTCCTTGGGCACCTGGTCAGCTTACCCCACAGTCGAAGAACGGTCAAAGTAGACCAACAGCAGAAGCACGAAGAGGTGTATATTTCACCCAACAAACAGATGGTGTGAATTTTGAAATCCTACCTAGTGGAATCCGCGGTATACCGCTATTCCGCGATGCCGAGGAAAAACGGGTGAGTGACACTGCGGAGCCGAACCGAGTGATCTAGATTCCTTTCGTCGTCCAGAAATAAAGCCCTGTATATACATACCTGCGGGGTAGTTATTTACTACAAAGGTGTCAAGACTGGCCCCTTGAATTGATACTGTAGTCTATTATAGTACTATTTGAACCGGGCCGGAGACGCGGCATGCCGATAAATCGCTATGCATAAGATAATACAGATATCCCGGCAAGTACGGAGTAGAGTGTCAACTATAGAGCTTATTGGTCACAGAAGCCAGAGTGTGCAAGGGATAAATTCAAAGGACGGCAATCCGGAGAGAAAGCGAGCCGAGTGGCCACCCATTGCATGGGGTACTGTTAGCCTTGGGTATAATAACTAATGGGGGAAAGCAAATCAGCCAACAAAGACAGCAAAGGCCAACTATCTATATACATATCTAGTGTTTCTATTCTGTGCTAGTTGACTCCATCAATCTTTTCCCCTGTTTTGGTCTGGATAACGATGCGTTTCTGCGCGTGTACTTCATGTTAGGGGCGACAAATTGACGCTGCAATACGAACACCTCACCAGACAGGCTGTACGGAGCAGGCTGATACCGCCAGGTTTTTCTAGCTGATCAGAAAGCTGTCAGTGCGAAGTTATGTCTGGAGCCGCCCGCAAGACTCATCTTAAGATGCATTCACCAGGGTTTTATTTCTCTATAAATATTGTCCTACGTTGTCTCAGTGAACTTACTATTAATCAGCCATGGCAGGCTATCCAGAACTATCATGTCTAGTAAGAAGTGCTCTGGAGTATTCAAAGGAAACCCTTATATACCAAGTCCTATTAATAAACTGCTTTTGCTCTATCTCCGGAAGCGAAGGCATCGTCTATCTAGGGCTTATACTCACTTTTTGTGTGGCCCATCTTGATGCTGGAGGAATCTAGGAATCCCAAAACCATAGGCCAGCAGAAGTGCGATTATTAGAAGACAACGCAAGTATAACACTCGACTATTCAAATGCTGTAACACGGTATCGACAGTCAATCCACCAGCGCGAACAAAAGCAAAGCAGATGGAAATTCCAAAGCGTACCCATTCCCGAATAAACACGGAGGTCTTTCGCGGATTTCCTTTAGTACCATACCGCCAGGTATGGCTATACGAAGAACAAGTGAGTGAAAAAAAATCGCATCTCATTCGATTGTGATAAGGCATACTCCCAACGCCTGGACACCGGAAGACATTTCGCGCGACTTTGTTGTATATGTTGGTAATTTGCCACCTTTTCCTCACATTCTTTTTATTACACTTATTTCTCTTCCGACCCGTTATTTGCGACGGTTATATCAATAAGCGGACTTTTTATTTGACACTTTCCTTCGGAGCTTCAAACTGAAGAGGCTTAGGACCGATACCATTGCGATTTCGGAAGAATAGGACACCCTTGCCCTCACCCTTGGCCCCCTCAGACGGCTCGACCCATTGACACATTCGAATGCTGCGCCATAGAGCCTTGAGGAAGCCGATGCTCCCTTCCTCAGTGTTTGAGCGGTAGTGTCTTCCCATTACCGTCTTAATGGCCTCGGTAGCCTCGTCTGCGTTATAGAATGGAATAGTGCTAACGTAGTGGTGTAGGACGTGGGTTTCAATGATGCCATGGAAGATCTGACGGCCAATGAAGCCAAATTCACGATCAATAGTTGCCGCTGCACCTCGAGCAAAATTCCAAACTGAAGCTTCGTAATGGGGCAAGCTGGGATCGGTATGTTGCAAATAAGTGATGGCAACTAGGACAAGTCCAGACATGTTAGACCTAAACGAAAAACCGAGTAATGGTCATTCAACACATACCAAGCCAGTGATTGACCCACAAGTAGGGGATGAAGTACCACACCAACATATTCAACCAGCCGAATTTGTTGCCGAGCGTGTACAAAACGGAGCCAACAATTATCAGCCCAATGTCGCTGAGGACAATGAGTTTTGCATCTTTAGCTTCATACAATGGGCTTGATGGATTGAAGTGGTTGACACCAGTGAACCAGCCGTTCTTCTTGCCCTTGCCTCGACCTTCGCGTTGGCCCTCATGGTTATTATGACCGGTGACGTTGGAGATGAGGTACATCGGCCAACCAAACAATTGCTGGAGCAGAAGACCCCATGCGGCCCGAAGAGGAGTCTCTTCCATGAGCTCATTTAACTCGTGAAGATAGTATCCCATGCGCGAGGCGTATTCATGTCTGGTCCGTGGAACGAAGACCATGTCACGCTCAAGATTTCCGGTCGCCTTGTGGTGCTTTCCGTGGGAAATTTTCCACGAGAAGTAAGGCACAAGTAACGAGGAGTGAAGAATCCAGCCGACAGTATCATTAAGCACCTTGGAATCGGAAAAAGACTGGTGGCCACATTCGTGTGCGAGCACCCAGACACCTGTTCCTACGAGGCCCTGAATAACGGTATACAGCGTCCACAAGGCAACCCGAGCGGGGGTGAACGGGACAGTCTCAGGAGTGACATAATTGTAGAAGATATAAAATGTCGTGCCAAGAGTCAAAATATCCCTGAAGACGTACCCCAGGCTTTTGGCGGCACTGCGCTCAAAGCAATGAGCGGGGATGGCATCGCGAATCTGCTTGATGGTGAAATCTGGGATCTCGAACTCGTTGCCGTAGGCATCCAGCAGCTTACCATAGCTGTTGGCCGCGGCTTCGGACGCCAAGGAGGAGAGGGACGTGGTGGACGGAGATTGTCGGGGGCTTTCCAGCGGTGAGACGGTAACGGAACTGGTGACCGAGGAGTTGGCGGTGACCTGGCGGTGCAATGCCTCGCGGCGAGGGATGGCAGTTGACGACATGCTGCCCAGCGTCTGGACGAGAGGGCCTGAGACAAGCGGAGGCACAGACACGGTCTGGTTCGGGTGTGGATTCTGCGTGCTGTGCTGAAGCAGCGGTCAACACTGGGGGGGAGCAATTAGCCAGCGAACATGAATTGGGCAGAGTGGGAGCGGGCACGGCACACTCACCGTCCAGCAGCAGTCACAAAAGAGGGCGTCGGGGCGTTGCCTGCTGGTCTGGGGTTGAGGGCAGGATGGCAGAGGAAACAGGCCGGAGACGCTGGCGTGCTGGTCTTTTTATTTTTCCCAGCAAACGCCGTCGCAAGCCCACCCGCGCCAAGCTTTCGGGCGCCGCGTACTGACCACGTCCGTACCGCGGTTTTTTTCAACGCCCCCGGGGTTGTGTACCAGCCCAGCACACCGTCCATCCTGGCACGGCAACGCAGCAGAGTGCCGCCTGCTGGAGGCTCCTCGAAGGTGAGGATGATCGCGGTCCTGTGCTGGGAGCCCAAAGCACGCGATTGCCTCTGCGCCGCACGTCCACACACACAGCGCCGCAGGACTGCGCCCGCGACATCGACCTGTCACAAGCGGCGTGGTATGGAAAGCACGGTTCGGTGACCGCTCAGTACGGGTGTATGTTACATCCAGGAACGCTGCAAATTGGCTTTGCTCGCAACCGGCGATGCTCTCGCAGCAACGTGGCGCGAGATAACGCTGCGACGGGCCCAGAACTGGCGGTCTGTCACTACAATGGCGCGCCGCAGCACTCGACACCGGCTTCGACAGCATCCCGCAGCGCAGTATACCCCCCGGAAAGATATGTCCAGGATCGACCCGCAGCGGTAAATACCTGGTACGGCGGGCAGCGGGCGCCTGAGAAAAGGCCGCGCTGTGATTGGCGCGCGTGGGCTGCGTGCCTCGGATCGCGCGCTGTCACGAACACACCAGCACAGCGCAGGTGGCAAGACGCCGCCCCAACATATACCGGCGGCCGTGCCCGCACAGCACAGCGCCAGACCGCACTGCAGCGGCGACGCAGCTGGCGCAGCAGCAGAACCAGCGGTGGGTGAGCTGGTGGCCTGATCGGCTTCAAGGCGTGCCAGCTCCAGCATGTGAAGCGCGGGCAAGTCAGGTGGCGTGTTGTGCTGCACCGCTTCGTTGCGCTAGCCGCTTCGAGCACGCTTGTTGGGAGCGCCAAGCCTCATCTGTTGGGGCGCTGTTTGTTGTGTTTGCTGCCTTTGCCGCCGTCGCGGCTGCCGGGGCCTTGGCTCCCGGTCCCGCTTCGTGGCGCCGATTGGCTGCCGTTATTACGGAGAAACTGACATTCCGTACTCCGTACAGGAGATCTCCCGCATGCGTAGTCTACATAGAGAATATGGATCAAACCAACCCACACCCACACACCGTCGTTTCATGGGGCCCGGGCCAGACCATCTTCCCCAGGGCAATCCCAAAGGTACAGGAGACCCATGGCTCAGTCCGCCGGGATCACACGCTTCTCCGATTCCATCACCCAAGCGCCATTATTCCCCGAGGTTCCTGCTGCATCCAGCCCAATTGTTATCTTCCTCAAGTTCGGGGTCACAAGTATGGTCGTACTGTGATTGCGGTAGTCGACTTCGCACGGCACGACCCGTCGCTGCGCCCCCGCATGAGGTTCAAGCTGGGATTCCTGTGCGATGAAGCTCTTCACCTCAACGTGCGGGAGGAGCAGGTGACCGGGTCTCTGGGGAAGCAGTATCATAGGGAACACCTTCATTTCTCCATCATCGGCACTGAAGTTGCCGCGTCGGCGACCACCAACGAGCCAAACGTCTGGATTCGCGATGATCTCGTACATGAACTCCAGTGAAGATTGCGCTTCTCTCCTTTCCTCCGGACACCACCGCCGCGTATGTCGAAGCTGCAATTCAGCATGGATTGCTTCTCCCACCGCAGCATGGGATTGGCCTACAGGAATATTATGCAACACAAGTTTCGCGGTATATACCACCTGTATCTCCGGGATGTCGACAGGTATTATGATCTGTCGAATAGCCTTTGCCGCCGGCTTATCTTGAAGCACCAAAGTTTGGTATCGCTACAGTCATGCTTTAGTTTGCAATTCTCATTCAAGACAATCTATGTTCTTACCTTATGCCACGCTTTTAGCCAAAGCACGACTTGCCGTTCTAGGTCATTGCCAAGGGTTCTGGTAATGCTTGGCCATTGTATCCGCTCATAGGGTAACACATCGATTTCTCGCAGCAATCCCGCTTGTTCTAAAATCTCTGCCGTCCATTGAAGGCTAAATGATTCTAAAAGATGTGGTAGAAGCAAGCAACGAAGTTGTGAAAAGGGACTATCATCCAAGTCCTGAGAGAACTGCCTCTCAAGCACAGTCAAACATTCTTCATTAACACAGGTAAAGTCGATCGAGAGGCGAAGCGATCGTGATCCTGGTTTTGAGGTAGATACGGTGCTTTCTTTGGGCACAATTTTATAGACCAGGGACGCCGGTTGTTTAGGGAAAATGTCAAATATCTCTCCGGCCTCCATTCCCGATTCAATATCGAATGCCTGGCCCTCAGACATTTGACAGTCAAACACCCTAAGTGGTATCATCATCGCCGGACTTATCGTGAATCTTGAAAAGAGAACCGTATCCTTGAACACGTCTTGAACATTAACGCTCACCGGCAAGGTAGTCAAAACCGACTTCGACGTCAAGAATAAGAAATCTCCCTTTTCAGTTTCATATTCGACCTCCAGACGTATTATCAAACTGGCCTTGCTTCCTTCTACCGTGTATGGTATGCTTAGAACAGCAGAGCTACTTGGACCGAGTTTGCAGAAGTGTATTTGTCCCGGGTTATCGTTTTCACCAAGTTCAATGCTACCGTTTACCACTTCAGCTTCCGCGATAAGTAGTCTAAGTCCCGCCGTTGCTGGTTTCAGACGAATTACGCCGTGAGTAATCGCGTTAGAGCCGCTGTTGAATTCAACCTCTATTGATCTGCGACCACTCAAGTCAATGAGGCATGAGTGTGAGATTTTAGCATCAAAACCACCTGCTCGTTGATAGCAAATGACAGCTGGTCGGGGATCTTCGTCAGTTGCCTCTTCAACAAGAAGCTTTTTGTACGTTGTTGGGGATGTATTTCCCCCATTTGGGTTGTATGAAAACACAATATTTTTGATATATAAATCGATACGGTCCACAAAATATTTGCCTTGCACGGTCGTCTTTGAATTCGCTAGTTAGCCACAAGTCACGCGCCAATGCATGTCTGGGCAATACTCACAAGTGATTCGAGTAGTACCGTGGTTTTTAACCCGTTGAAGACAATTGGGCCGCTTTTCAATACTAATTCACTAGTCTGGTTATCGACAGTAGTAACTAGCCGCACCGTTGCAGACTCTACTGTAATAGTCTCTGCAAGAAGGAATCTCAAGCACAGCTGAAGTTGAAACCCATCCTTGTCCTCAAAATGGAGGATCCGTGGGTCTATCGTAGGAATAGTAAAGAAATCCTGAAGGGGAACTATAAATTGTTTTGAGAGAGAATGGGATGCATCGAAGAGTTGTCGAATGTAAGCTGGGACGAGAGAGTCCATGCCCAATCCTAATACCCCTTTACCTCGTAGACTTGTGCTTGCTTGTATCGCTCGCGCATACTTGCCAAGAAGCTTCAGATATGTATGAACGAATTCCTCTTTGCGATCTAACTTCTCCAGACATCGGCCATACAGCTCTAGCATTGTTCCTTCTAGAAGCTCCCAGTCACCGGCGTTGTAGAAGTCAGCAAGCTGTTGAAAGTAAGAAGCAGCTGTTTCGTAGTCTCCCTGTCGATACTTCAGAATCGCCATATCCGCCAGGGCTGCCTCAGCAGACTTCATTCTATTTGCGGCTACGTAATGACGGAATATTTCATCAGTGAGGCTTTCATAGCAAGAAACAAAATCATCAGAAGACTGTATTGCTAATTTCAGCACTGGTGTGTCAATACCAGATAGAATCGGCAACGATGCCGGCGAAGCAATTCTATCTTTGGCCAATGTACTTTGATCATCAAGAGAAATATCCGTGAACGTCGAAGGGTCATTTCCATTAAAAAGAAGCGCTATGTTGTTCCATTGTTGCCCCCAGCCTCGCTCTCGCCCTATATTTTCAAGAATCCGCCTTGCAAAAAAATATAAGTCACCTCTCGCTGATGCTAGTTCAGCCGCACCGGTCTTCTGTACATCTGTTTGCAAAATTTTGAAGGAACCTTTCGTCGGTAGCTTAGCTAGTGATGGCGAGTGGAAGTCAAAGCCAGATGATATGGTAGGGGATGCAGCTAATGAGCTCGAGCGCTGGGGAACACCAGAGCGCATGGAATAGGAACTGACAATCGAAGCATGCAATAGATCCTTATTTGTTTTAATAGATACTCTTGGGATGCCCAAGGACTCCACAGTAGTCCGAAGAAGAACCTGGGAGACAGCTGCATAAGACCAAGAATACACTAAGTTGTTGAGGACCTTGGCTATAATCTCATCATTGCTTGTATCGAGTTTCAATACCCCATTTTGCACATCGTTGCGCAAAATACGGGATGCAAGGGAGATGAATTCACTGGCACGATCACATAGCTCTCCAACAAGGCGTAGATCGTATTCTTGAGAAGGGGCACCCTGCCGGGGTAGGGTATCCCCAGAGAAATGAGACTGAGCAGCTGCGAGGAGCAGCTGCATTTGCCTCGAGAATATGTAAGCACGGAAATCGAAAGCGGATATGTTATTCGCCACGATCATATCGCGGTAAGGCTTCTTATGGGTATCGAATGGAAAATATTTTGAATCTAGCTGAATGGGGTTTGAAAAAGCGTCTTTAGTTGATTGCTTGAGAGTTTCAAGCATCTCGGAATTTTCAGCAACTGCTCCTGTAGGGGCCATATTAATTGAAGAAAGGGCAGTCTTGACTCTAGACTTCATTTCATCGCTATATGCAAGCAGCATACCGTGCTGATCTCCCACATTAGAAGATTGCTCACGAAGAGCAGCTTCTAGACCAACCGAGAGCTCGTCATAACCAATCAGGGCATCTTCATATAGACCAACGTTCTCGAACCCCAGGGCCAAGCCCTCTTTGAGTATGAAAAATGTGCAGAAATTCCAACCAGGTAACCCTCTTTGCGAGTCCTTTTCCCGAATATCATCTTCATACTGCGCTACCCGAAGATCGAAGGAGGTCAGTATGGAAGATTTTAGTTTTGTAACCAGGTCTTCCAGCTGTGTTTGGACGTCAAGTGGCTGTTGGTTCCCGTCATGCTTTGGTATTTTCAGTTGAACAACTCGATCGACCGCACTCTTTGAAGAGCCGTTAAAATCCGCCTTAATCTTCTCGAAAACAGAAGTTGAGCCACGTCCGGGCCATTTAGCCATTGGCCCTGCTTTCTCTGGTGCTTCTGAAGTCGACGTATTTGCATCAACAACGTGTATGATAAGCCACTCGAATGCATTATGATTATCCTGGGACCCGCCTCCCGAGCTGCTGCCTAAAGATTTAACCCATTCTCTCAAAAGCTTTCTTGATGCCGTTTTGTATGTCTCATTATCATCACAACGTAGTAAATAGAGTTTGAGGTAAGGAGTCCGACACAGCCCTGGTATTTGGTGCCTTCGATGCGGAAATGCGCCGCCAGAGCTATCGCTCAGCCTCTTCTGCTCCTCCGCACTCTGGGCTGGGACAAAATCGATTTGCAGGCATCCAATGGAGCGAAGAGGCCGCGTCGGTGATTTCCAGTGAAGGTTGCGCAGCTGTCGAGCCTGCAGAAGTAAAGGCTGAATCGAAGGAAATAGGTTCGAGGGATCAGTATATTCAGCTGGAAGTTATGGTGAGCTAGGGCAGGGTAGACACTAAAGGGCGACGAGGAACAAACCGTTCACGTTGCTGGAAGTTATGTAGAGGGAGGGGTCCATGACGACCGGAGGATCAATGTATCCCAAGGTGACATAGTACAGTCACGAAGAAAGCGAAACTTCTGTAAGCTGTAGTGGCAGCGACAGGGTGCTTTTCACCTCTAGACATCCTTTGAGAATACCTAACTAGGTGGTAGGTAGGTAGTTATGTAACTTCTCCGTACTCCGTAGATAGTTAAGAGAACTTGGCCTTGGCATTTTCAGTACGGAGTACCCCAAGAAGCAAAGTGCCAGAATGAAACCTTTGTGCTGTTAGAGATAATGAATCATGAATATTACAGTTGAATTGATTAATAAGCTATCTAGGAAAAGAAGGTCCACAAAAGGAAATTTTACACTCGAACCAAGTGAATTCAGGGCATTAATATCGTCAGGCCCACAAACCCGCCAGTAATAGCAATCATAGATGTCACAATGAAAATATGCAAATAAGAGCCGGCTGAATTCCTATTACAACATGCTAAAATAGTCAGAGGCATTTATACGACAGTAGGCCTTCTCTGGCCTGGTACAAAACGGTTTTTGAAAAGCTGATATCCCTCCGAAACACCTTGCCGTACTGTGGGGGAAGCACTGTGCAACATAGCGAATACGACACAGATTAAGACAGGAATCTTGAATAAAGTTAGAATTTGTTGTTAAGCAATATCCGGTAAGGCATTTTTACTTACCCAAAAACAGAATAAATTCCAGTCACTATTTATTTTCTTCATTTTCAATGCATGAGCTTTTCGAAGCTGTTCTTGTTGATGTCTTGAGATACTCTTTCGTCCGATGCGCACATCACCGAGTTCAACTTCGTCGTTTATAGAAGCAGAAAATGACAAGGGGGGAGCAGATGATGTGGCTTTGGGCTGTTCTTCGAAATGTCGGTCTAATACAGCATCAATAGCCGCTTCAACGATCGACGACTTTTTTACTTCGTGGTCCTCCTCAGTTCTTCCACCTGGATATAGCTCTTCATATGCAGGCGGCGATGAGTTGCCAGTCAATCGGTCCCAGCTGTCCTTCATGATGTTGGTAGACCAGGATGTAGTAGGGCGATGTGGAACAAGAGAACTGATACGCTGAATCATCGGATGTGTTTGATAGTCGGGTAACGTAGGCATCGGAGGCAATGCGGGTAGGTTGGGAAATACACGGTTCACGCTCTGCTGGAAGTGGTTGATCTGGCCGGCGAGATGATTACGCCAAGCAAGAAGAGCCGCTGGCGCTGAAAATGTTCTCCCAACGTCTGCGTCTGGAACATTCTCTGTCGTTGCTACAGCTTCAGGTAAGTCAACGGCGCTTTCTCCAGCGCTTGGAATACAATAACCAGACTGGGGATGTGGGGTGCTACTCGGCTGTTTCGACAGAGAATAATACACAGGGTCCACCGCGACGTTGTCAGTGTTGTTTCCAACAGTATCATCATCTGAAGATAGAGATATTTCGCTTGTAGAATCGGTGGATTCGTTCGATAAAGACGATTCCCAGAATTCGTTCAGGGATCCAGAGCTCAAGCCCCTACGCATCGATGATGTTGAACCAACACTCCTTGACCGATAGTGTCGGGGAGGAACAAGAACGGCTTGATGGGCTTCTAACGAGGAAGCGAGATCGGCAGGCGTAAACCCACGGAAGTTACGTGCTGCAGCGCTGGCACCAGAGAGTCGTAGGCGGTGAACAATATGGGTATGACCACTGATTGCTGCAAGGTGAAGCGGTGAATTTCCATTGTTATCTTGTACATCAGGGCTAGCACCCCTCGCAAGTAATCCGGCAACAAAACGGGTAAGACCTAACGATGAAGCAAAGTGTAGAAGAGTTTGTCCAGAGGTCGACTGAAGATTAAACTTTGGTGCGCCGGGCGTATCATCTAGATCGATGAATTCGAGGTAAACAAGCATTTTCGCATCTAATTCCGACATGTTGCCGCCCTGCGAAGATGAATTACCACCTCGTTGCTGCCCATTTTGAAAGCCGCCTTGGTAATTCCACGAACGACCTGGGTCGCGCCCCATGATCCGTTGAGCGGTTTGATAGGCATCATCATTTGGATTTCCAAGTTTCTGTGCCAGGATGTTTAATGCAAGACGACATATTTGGTGTTCCTGGTCGTCAAAATACCGGAACAAAATTTGCTGTTTAGGTATCATTGACTGCGTTGACTGGACTTGACCAAAGTGTGGATGTTCATGCTTGAACACAACTGGAACAAAGCCGACCTGCACGGCGGGTGGAGTGACGCAACTCAAACACTTATCTGCCCAGAATGTAGTAGCTGTTGCCAAAGTATCACCAAAAACAACTTCTATGCCGGGAAAGAACCCGTTGCCCAATATTGTCACTTCACTGCCACCAATAATTGAGCCTTCTCCTGGAATGAGTTTATGGATCATAGGGGGGATTTGCTGGGGTGGGTTGGGCGGAATACTCCACATTTGAGGTGGCAAATTTGTGTTTTGAATAGTATGTACTGTCTGGTCTTGAGGGTCTGGACGCGAAGATCCACTGGGAGTTCCAGGGCGGCTAGGTTGGGCTGAATTCGGGGCCGAAATGAGAGATTGCTGCGAGAAAGTGTCAAGGTTCTGAGGCTGGCTTCTCGGACTAAAAAAAGCCGAATCTGTAGTGATTGGCGTCGGTGGGCCATTTCCAAATTGGGTTACCATAGAAGAAGGCATCACGAAGGGCTGTTGTTCATGTTGTACTTTTGCTGGAATTGCGTGTGGCTGCAAAGGTGTGGATGAAGAGGATCCGGGCTTTTGTGTTGTTGTCGATACAGCAGGTTCCATTTTAGTCAAGGCAACAACACCACTAGGAATTTTAGCAACAGTACTCGGCTTTCTTCGTTTTGGCGATGGTCCGTGCACATCCGCTAAGGGAGCTTGCCTTGACAAGCCACGAGAACTAGAAGTGCCAAGTGCTGAATGGGTGGCTTGAGATATTCCAAGAGGCCCAGTCACAGGAGTATAGTGCTGCTTTCGAAGAGCTTGTAGATCCGTCGCTGACTGGGATAACTTGAATGGAACCTGATGGACGAACTGTTTGCCCATATCTATAGAGCCGTTCGTGAAGAGTTTGCCGTTTGAAGCATCCGATAGCCCCGGGTTTATTGGGATTTGACTTGCAGGGGCATGAGTCTTGTGGTCATCAGTAATCATTATGGAATTGGTCATTTGCTGGGCAATCACGGCCCCCGTATAGTCCTTGATAGTAAATATGACCCTAGAACTCACGTTAGCAGGGTAAAAGCAGACTACTTAGAGATACTCACTGAAATCCCAGTTTTTCCCCTTGGTGCCGGCAATAACAAGCAATTCTCATTGGCAGTTCGACTTGCATTGATCCTAAGAGAGGTGTAGGAGAACTTGCATCTGCACCAAGGGGAGAAGTCGCCCTCGGCGGGTCAACCCAATCTTTTATCTCAGTGGTATTGAAAACAATTACTCGCTTATCTTCGTCTTTTTGAAACATTTCATCTTCCTCTGGCTTCCTTTGCTTCTTTCGAGACGCTCGTTTCCGTTCTCGCTGAATGCAACCAGGACAGATCTTGACTTCGCCACCTTTTAGAGGGCTATCTTCGTCATTCTGCAGGTCCTCGTTACTGTCCTCCTTTTTCGAAGTCTTTGGGGATAATTGCTCGCCCCGCGCTCTAGCAAAAGCTCTTTGCCTCCGTTCTTCATCTTGCATCGCACTAGTACAAACAACAGCGACGCTAAGATCAAATGTATCAGGAGAACACGATGTTGTTTCGGGTTTTGCAAAGAATTTCGGTTTTGAAATCGTGTAGCTAGGAAGGCGCAATTTCTTGACTCCACGCGGCATTGGATGCAATGTCAATTTTATTGGTATCTGTGTTTCCACGCGGGACTTTAAGGACGTAGGGTGAACCGTTAGCTGTGGGGGAATATAGCTCTCTAGCGGAAAAGCAGGGTGAAACATGGGATTTGAATCGCCCATCGGAAAAACGGCCGCTGAGTGGTAGCTTCCAGCGTCAAGTCCATTCGAATATTTAAAATTCAAGCTTGGAGATAACGTGGCATTCAATGGGGATGCACCATTCATCTTGATACCACCAAAAGGCCCTTTTAATTCACTATGAGGTGGGACGCCTGTCCAAAACCTAAACCCATTTTGCTGTTTAGAATATGCAGAATACATATCAGGCGCTTGCTTGAAAATAAAGGGAGAAGCAGTTTGCGTTGGTAACTATCCAGATGTGTCATCAGTTTTCTAAAACGGGAACAGATGATGTAGGTTAGGGCTTACAGATGTGTCCACCTTGCATATCGGCTTTCCTGTGTTCACCATTTCCCCTGAGCCTAAAGTGATGTGCTTTGCGTCCAAAGCGTGTTCAGTGGTTAATGGGCTAGGGCTACTAGCGGCACTATCAAAATCAAATGCAGAATCCATCATCTTATTGCTCCTTGCAATTTCTGCATCGGTACGGCATTCCCCTTTAGCCAACAAAGTTGCCGAGCTATCTATGCCATCGAAGGCACTATCTCCGAGAGAAAGAGCCGCGGGAGTAGGCCAGGTCGAAAACAACTTCTCCGGCTCAATAGTTATAGGGCTGAATACTTCAGATGAACTTGAAACAAAAGACGTATTTCGACCATGGCAAAAAGGCGAGCCGCTTAGCGAGCCATTACTGGAGTCTTCTGGAGATTCTGATCGAGCACCAGGAGGTGATAATTTTGAGTCTGTGGCGTCAGGCGGTACAGTCCGAGGAGCCTTCGATGTCAAATCGGAGAATGCATCAGACATTTGTGTGGTACTCGGGGGACGCAAGAAAAGGTCGTCGAGCTCAAGGCCAGTGGGCGGAGAGGCGCGCAGCACTGACGGATTGAAGTAGCGAAGGTCGCTCTCCTCGTCTAGGCTTCCCATATCACTATCAAAAATGAGCGGTTCAACGCTAGAATTGTCCTGTGGACGCATGTCCGGTCGCTAAACACGGGTGACAATGAAACGCCTGTGCCGGCCGAAGTGAGTGAGGTCGGTGAAGGGCGAAATCAATCGGACTGTGTCACGTCAGTCCAAAAACAAGAAATTCAGATCAAACCGACATCCGGCATTTATTTCCCGTTATACCGGAGTGAGACGGAATGATATCGCGAGCACGGGGTATTGAAGTCGATTTGGCGTTTACGCTGGGGAAATAGTAGATAATTCGAGCGACCGCGGTGCGGCCTCGGCCGCCGTGGTGAAAAGCGTCGCAGCAGTATCAAAGCCACAAAAAGCCTGACAAACCTTAAGCGCTGTGGAAGTCAGAAGTCAGAGTGATTACAGCATAGACGGAGTGAAGATGGTCTCGAATCGGAGAGCAAGCGTGACGTTTGGAAAGGAAAGGCCTGGGCTTGCGCTAACCCAAAGAGGAAACACTGCGAATTCCAATTCCAAGGCCTTCCAACGAAAGTATGAAATTATCCCCTCCACGTATGTAAGTTGGCTACATATTCAAGCAAAGGTCAATGGCAAAGTGATAGATGGAACGCCCTAATGCTCCACGGGCTTGATGGCGTAACTATTACATTGACGTTGCTGAAACACATCCCGGACCTGAGGAATTATGTACGGAGCATGTAGTTGCCTACAGGGTCTATTACACGCGTCTCAGCCACGGCTGAGCCCTGGTTGGGCTACCTTCTCTTCGACCCATCTCAACATCAACTTTTGAGAGCCGTCGCTAGTTCACCTGCAGTCTGGGCATGCAGCGCCATGGGATAGAAACGCCCATTTGCAAACTAGTTAACTAGTTGGTTGCTCTTCTTTGCCATCAAACTTGGAGGCGAGAGCCATGATACCTCGCGAAGCCAACGAATCGCACCGATCATATATGATAAATGAAATTCAAAACAGCTTCCGTCAAGCTTATCAACATAACCAACTAACTAGTTATTAGTCAGTCCCTGTTTTTCTGGCTTTAGCATGTTCAACTATCTGGGGTAGAAATTCGAGCTCCCATCCAATACTTCTAAAGAGTAAAAATTTCTCTTCAGTGCAGCTAAACCATTAAGCATTGGGACAGTACAGATGAAGTGGTGGTCAACCATTGTCTACCAGTTGGACATTCCATGGAGAATAAGGTCGCTCATAAGTTTTCCGCCAGCAGATACGTCGTGGTAGTCATCAGTGTCGCTGCTCTGACATCCTCCGACGCGCTCACTACAGTCTCTTTCGCCGCCGCTGCATACTCCCACGATTGTTGGCTTCCCACCAATATACCCCCACATGGGCCCTCCTGACCACCCAGCTGAGGCAAATGTCGCTGACTCCAATTCCACCCCGAGATCCGCATGATATTCAATTTCAAACAGGCTTATATTAGGAATAAACATCTGCGCTCGGCCATGGAATGAGTCTATGGGGTATCCGCTGCTGGACCACGGTCGGTTTAGGTATGGGGCTTCGTCTTTCCACCACCTCGTTCCCATCCAGCCTATGCGGTCTCCAAGGGGTTGGCAGAGCTGACACACCACATAATCGATCCCTGTCACATTGAACATGTTTTTGACCCCACGACAACGAGAAATATAGGAATTCCCATAAGGCTCGGTGTTGTTTCCAAAGCCTGGAATAAATCGCATCCATCTTCCATCGCTGTATCCCCAAGGGAAACAATGACTTGCTGTTAGGATAAGGTCTCGCCCAACCAACGTTCCTGTACACCAACCCCCTTTGTCACCCTTAAAGCGCTCAAAGAATACTCGGCCAATAGTGTTCCAGGGATACTTTGTTAAATTCACAATTTCTTCCCGTCGATATGTGCCACCATACACCCCAGAGTTCTGGATAGAGCCGCTTGGATACGTGGCTGGTGGGGACGATGAAATAGTTAAGCTCCAGCGCACCGGGCCTGGGTCACGGCCAGGCGTTCCTCCTGCACGTGGGCCGTCGCTAGAACCAAAGTTCCAGAACGTGCTTCGATATCCAGCTGGGTCGTTGACATACAGCTGCTCTTCTTCCAGTACAGGCACCGACTTTGTGCAGGATCTTCTAAAAAGTTTTGGCCTGATCAAAGGCCCGGCTTTAACAGAGAAAAAATAGGTTAAAAAACATATGGCTTTTAAGAGATGCATTCCGAACAATGGGTACTGAAGTTGCACGCGCCCTTACGAACATCATGCACAGCCAACATATGCATCCCCAGAGTAACGAAGACTTTCTTTCTAATGGGCCATGTCGGCTCCCAGATAGGAAAGATGCAATATGCCAGGGTGCTTAGCTTATTTGAAAATCACATCTGATTTCATGTCTCTTTCCTTCCTCTTGAGCTGCACAGCTGCCACTCTATGCACTCTAGAAAAAAAAGGCAGCTGCAAAGGGATCAAGGCTTGGTCTAAGCGCAGATTCAATTCTAGAGCCGCGACCCTGGCCAATGTTAGAACTAGTTTGGTGATATGTGTGCATGTATGTATACAACCCAGATTGTAGGCAAACATAGCAGGTGGAGAAACACAATAAAAATTGGATTCAACCGTAAGTATAAATGGAATATACTTATATGTATGTATATTGATATTCTTTCCCTCATGTCCGATCGATTCAGGGTATCAAAGTCCAAAGTAGAGCCTCTACTCTCGCATTTTCCATGTATATCGAGAGATAGGAGCCAGGTGCCCGATATTTTGTATTATGGCTCTTTTGGCTTTTTGATGTAATAATTATATACACGAGGTACGGACCTAATCAAGAAATTCCCTTGGGGGCGAAACACAGTACATATCTGCATTTCATACATCATTAAGAACACGGTGTATCCGTTTCTCAGTTTTCCACGGCTATTCGCTAGATACTGGGAGCTTCCGATAGTGCAAGTACACAAGCTGCTCCTCCAGGGACATGCAAATGCGGTTGTTCCAGATGTCTCTAAAACCTCTAACCCTCGAACTTGCGCAATGCTGGGGTGACGAGTCTTTGACTGGTTGTTGGTTTTGTTGCCCCACAGCTAGTTACTGTAGTTCAGTCGTTCGTTACTCCATCCCTTGTATCAATAGCAGACTGCAAACATCAACACCAGCGGCGACTTATATCCAGGGCAAGATTAGCAGATACTTGTCCGGGAGCATAGCTTATTCCTAGCCTTTAATCAGTTCTGAATATCGCCTCGCAATGTTCAAGAAAAAGCCCACAGTAAGTCGCACCAAACCCCGCCACATCCATTAAGTTGCCCCAGCCTGTGACAGTTTTCGACGCCTCAAGTCACTTTACTAACATTGTGCACTAGATCAAAACACTTGCTCCTCTTCGTTCTTCGGACCGACGAAAAATCGCTGATCAAATAATTGAGCAGTATAAAGTACCGCTTCCCCCACCATCCCCCACAGCAAATCCAAATGACGTGAAAGCAACAGACGAGGCACCTGCCCCAACTGTTGCTACTATTCGCAATGCTCTTCTTCCCGAAAATACCCAATCAGGCCGCTTTACTACAACAGTTGGCCCCGAGCTTCGGCCGGTGCAAGGGACCCTGTATGTCGGTGCTCACCCCGAGCGCGAAGAAAGAGTATTGTGGTTCAGGCTTGAGCAAGGGCCCGGAACAGACGGTCGTATATATCCCACGGTATATACACTATGGCACAACCCTGGCGTCATCCCATTGCTGCACACACAGGCGCCTGTAATGGAGAAGCTGTATGGCGGCGCGGACCTTATGATTCCTGGCTTGACTAACGGGCCTCCTTTCCCTGAGGGGTTACAAAAAGGCACAGTGGTAGCGGTAGCCAATATCGAGAGACCAAGCGTGCCTACGTTTGTTGGGGTATGCGAAATTGATATTTCGAGGCTTACCGCAGTCCATGGAGTTAAAGGGCATGCTGTTAGAGGAATGCAATGGGAGGGAGATGAATTATGGGGCTGGAGCTCCGCTGGTCAAACTGGCCAAGCCGCTCCAGAACGGCTTCACGGCTGGCTAAGCACTCCCAAAGATTTAGGAACGGCCATGAATGAGCTGAACCTAGTGAAAGATGATGACGAGGAAAGTCTTCGGGGTGAATTAGATGGCGGGATAACCCTAGACGGGGAAAAGGAGGAAGTTGAAAGCGGCGAGCCTGAGAAGGAGCCAACCACAAAAGGTAGGGAGGTGCCAATATTCCCAGGCATCTGATCAACGTCAGCTTACACTACATAGAAATTGATGAGGCTTTCGTCAAAGCATTTCTATATGCTCTTTATTGCCAAAAGGAGAAGCATCCCAACCCACCATACGGACTTTCATTCCCCATTCAGCCTTCTTTTGTCGTCTCAAACCTCATCACGCCATTCTTACCAATCTACACCTCACAACAAACCCAGTATTACCAGATCAAGAAAACTTCCTGGAAGAATGTTAAGAAATTTGTCAAGTATCTTGACAAAGAGAAGCTTATCAAATCCAAAGATCGCAGTGGAGGGGAAACAATAATACAGGATGTCGATTTTGAAGATACCAGGTTGCTTGAGTTTAAGCCCTACAAATTACCACCAAGGTCTGAGGCCGTGAGCAAGCAACCCGGCAAGGCTCCATCCACTCCCGCGGCCGGGCAAATATTCGATGTTAAAACTCTCTACCGACCCAGCGGCAAGCTTATCCCAGATCTGTTTCCGCCTCTGGCGAACACCGACGTGAATAATTACTATTCAGCAACCGACGTATCAAAGCGATTAAATGATTACCTCTCGTCGCAAGATCCTCCAATCATCTCGTCATCAAACCCTAGAATTATCCACCTTAATCCCTTCATCAGCAACAAGGTACTCTCTTCCAACTCTCAGACAGACATTGCGATACTATCCCGTGGTACGATTCCACGAGACACGCTGCTTAAAAGGCTGCTTGAAGATCCATCGCTCTGTGCACCCTTTCACGCGATTCTCAAGCCCAACCAGACTATAAAAGATGTGAAGCCAAAAGCGGGCGCTCTTCCCAAAGTTTCGCTATTGATCGAGCGCCGGACAGGTTCGAAGCTTGTGACGAGAATAACTGGGCTAGAAACCTTTGGGGTCTCACCGCAAATGCTGGCTGATGAGTTGCAAAAGAAATGTGCCAGTAGCACCAGTGTGACTCAAGCCGTTGGTGCAGCGAAGGGCTGCATGGAAGTATTGATACAAGGGGACCATCGTCGAACGGTGGAGAAATCGCTGGGAGATCGAGCTGTCAAGTCTCAATGGATTGACATTGTAGATAAATCCCAGAAGAAAGCCGCAGGTGGGAGATAGTTCTGGATCGCGATCTGCCTTCCGGTGTTCTCCGTAATACGACCTACATGGTTATGGAGTATTCCGTACGAATAAAGCTCGCGCTGGTTTGAGTTCCGCCATTGACGATGAGACTTTTTTAAGGGTCGAAGATCAGGGCTGTGGACAAGAGGAATTAGCAAATGGAAGACCATCATTCTAGTTGGCCTATGTCAAATTTGGAAGGATATTCCTATCATCATTTATTGGGCGGATAATTGGAATTAATACATCGGGGATCCGACCTTGCCTTGATGAGCCTGGTGGAGGTCTTGAAATTAGATCCAACTTCTTTTCTGTGCAGGCGCCGTTTGTGCTGCTTCTGTTACATTTCTACGTAGCCGTGGTACCTGAAAAAGTAAAAGGTCCGGCGCGCAAAGCAGGCCGAGACGCCGAAATGGCTATCCATATTTTGGGCGATCTATTCTTTTGGGCACTTATTATCCTCTTCCGTTTTCGTACAAGCCGGCTGACGGATGGTGGCATCGTTGCTATCGAATGACAAGGCTGAGAAAGCTGTCGACTGGGCTGCTTGAAATTGGCTAACTTGATACGTCCCTGCATCACTCACCTTGGACAGTTTCAGGTGCCGCAAGAGGGAAAACGGGGGACATTAGATTCGATTACGGAGTAATGGGCACACTAAATGGGGAATCGCATGAAGCTCTCTATTTGTAACTACACTGGCCAGACCCGAGTACGGAAAATAATTGCGCATCCAAGGCTGGACAGTTTGAAGGACCACGTTGACATCGGGTGAAGGGGCGAACTGGCAGCTGGGAGAACATGTGGCCCGACCGCTGGCGTTGGAAACGCAGCTACCCATACATATAGACATACAGACATGGGAGCACACCAGAGATATGGGGCGGTGAGGAAGCCTGGCTATTATTATTTTCCTCTGTCAGCCGCACTTTTACCGAGATGAAGGGAGCGTGCTCGGTCCTTCTTGGTGTCTGCGAGCTGAAATTTAAGCAATCCCAATGAAATGGGTTGGGGGTGACGGAGGCCAGGGCCAGAGACCTACGCACCAGCAATGCTATTGGAGCCCGGTGGTGTTTGGTGGCCAGGCTGGGTTGCAACGGGACCGAAAAGTTGGGAATCGCAGAAACGAGGGGGGAGTCTGCATGATAGGCACTCCTGCTCCAGACGTGCATAACTACCTACTCCGTACGCGTAAGGCCGTGGCTCGAACTGCTCCGATCGTTTCCCTTTTTCTATTTTGCGCTCACCTTAGGATTGGCATACGTAGGTGCACGCGATGCGTCCTGGACAAGAAAACGGTCGACTGCAATAATAATCGGGTTACTTGCATAGGAGCATGGGTGATGGACGTGAAATATGAGATGCGTTTTCTGGAGTAACGCCAGTGCTGGGTAGCCCAGGCGGGCAGTCTCATTTCCATGGCCGGCAGGGTTGCCAGAATCGGCTGATGGGTGCGGATCTCCTACCCGTGGAGAACCTGGATGGGCGGCCCGTCGATGCCCTTGTGGGACAAGATCCACACCAACCGACGCGAAGACGAGAACTGGACAGCGGAGCAAAAAGCGCAGAGCATGGCGAAAAAACAAAAATAAAAAAAGGGCGGGCCCGGCAGTGCGCAGAACAAGTGGCCTGGGGGCGAGTTCTGGTTCTCGGGATCTGCTGCCAGCGAGTCACCAGAGCGCAGGGGCTTGGCCCAGTTCACGCTGGTGGCATCGCTACACGAAGAATGACAATTATTATTATTATTTATTATAATAATGCACGCAACAGGACGCAGTGGGCTCGTATCCGGCGCAGAACAAAGAAAGGCGCGCGCACGAGTCAGCGGGCCAGAGTTTTGGGTGGGCTGCGGCGTCACGAAGGACGAGGAGGAGGAGTGGGCCGATGTGACGCGTTTCATTCTTCCTGCGGCGGCCGGAACGGGCAAGGTGGCATCGAGATCCTCGGCCGCTGCGTGCGCGACGAACACGGCGCTGGCCCCTGGTCCTGGGACGAGCTTGCGCCGGCCAGCGAGGGTGCTGTTCCCTGCACGTCCAGCAGGGCCCCCGGGCGCGCTGGACGGGGTCTCGGGCTTTGGGCCGCTCTGTGGCGGCTGGAGGCTGCTGCAGCGTGCTGTCACCCACAGACAACGACAAAGAATAATATGCCTCGGTGCGGCCGCCGCTGGCAGGACACGGGGAAGATGGCCCATGTGCGCGGGCGAGTCAGGCTGGCCCGCCGGTTGCGACGCGCAGCCGGGCACGGCGGTTCGCCAGCGTCTTACGGCAGCATGCCCCTCGTCCGCAACGGGACTAGCGCCGCCGCCGCCCGCGAATCACACGCCGGCGTCTGGCCGGCCCGTGGGCGGTGGGAGCCCTTGGCGGCGTGCGGGCCCAGCCTGCAGCCCGCGCATACCATACCGCGCAATAACAATACGCAGACCGCGTATCCTCGTCGGCCGCTCGCAACGACGGCCGACAGCGCGCGAGCCTGGAGTCGCAGTCCGCTGGCGCCCTCCTGAGTCCTGATGGGGCCGCAGGTATTTGTCATGGCCCCAACCTTACAGTGGGCGGTGGCTGGGCGTGGAAGTCAAGCCGCGCGCGAGTGGCGGTAACCGTTCTCGCGCCGGGTCTGATTTGGTCCCGGGCGTTGGACGCTCGCGAAACCAGGTTGCTGGATGCGGCCGCGAAGCTTTGCGAAACGTGCGCGGTACCGAAAATTACGCCCGCCCGCCGCCGTATGGACCTTTCGCCCAGGCAGGGCCGGCCAATCGCCGCGCTGCTGCGGCCCCGCGCCCGCCCGCCGCCGCCCGTCACGCCCGCGTACCGCCGCTAGCGTCGCGATACGGCGAACAGCGCCCGTACTGCAACCGTACCGCCGCGCCCATTCTTGAGTCAAGCCCGCCACCCAGCCGGCTAGCAACAATGGCCTTTTTGGCGCTGGAAGGATGAATAATTCGGGTGGGGCGTGACCGGGGGGAAGTCTTAGGCGGCGTCGTGCCCGTTCGTCGTCGCCGCTGTTGCTGCTGCTGTTCTCTCGTCCACCCAGACCAGCCCATCCCACGATGCGCTTTCTACCTCTCTGATTCTGCTCGCCTCCAGACTCGCCATCGTTGCCCAAGGGAAGTCGTCCCTTGATCTGCTGCCCAGCGGCCAATTCTTCCTCGATCCTCCAAAGTACCCCAGCCCGCCGCTAGCGCCGTCATACCGCAATTTCAACGTCGCCAGCGCACTGTCTGTTTCACAATTTACTTCTGTCAACCACTCGACCTCACATGGTTCGTTGTCCTCCCGACTCTCGTCGCTGTCGAGTGCTGGACTGACCTCCAGGCGCCCCCGCAGGACACATAAGCCACTACACTTCCACTCGTCGCCCCTGTTGAACCGCCATGGCCTCGAAGGCTTCCATCCTTAACCCTCCGAACGAGACGGAGAACTCGTTCACACGAACCACCAAAGAAGGGAAGAAACTGACGTACACTCTGAAAGTCATCCAGCAACCCGAGCGCGCGAGAGCATGCGGTGCGGGAGCCAAGGGTAAGAATACATTTTTACTTGGTCTTTTTGCCTGGCGAAGCGCCGGGCGTCCCAAGTGTCTGAGCTGACCACGCTCCAGCGTCTGCTGATCGTCGTCCCGTCGACCCGCCGCCGGTGGTTGAGCTGCGGGTTCATGAGTCCGACCAGAACGGATTGAACAAGACCGACATCACCTTCGCCTACAATGCCAATTTTTTCCTGTTCACCACCCTGGAGTGGGCTCGTCCCATTGCCCATGGACGAGTACAGGGCCAGAGCTCGGCCACGCCGCCCGTCTTGACCGGAGTGCCCGTGGCCGGCGTGGCATATTTGGACCGCCCTGTTCAGGCCGGGTACTTCATTTTCCCGGATCTCTCTGTCCGCCATGAAGGCTACTACCGCTTGAACTTTAGTCTCTACGAGGAGGTCAAAGACCCGAAGGATGAAGACAAAGATCGGGGCATCCGACGACCGGCTTTTCCTGCGACGAAGCCGTGCGATCCTCGTGAACCAGAGGAATACATTTTCTTCCGCCTCGACGTGAAAACCACTCCCTTCACCGTGTACAGCGCCAAAAAGTTCCCTGGTCTCGCTGAAAGCACAATGCTTAGCCGCACCGTGGCTGAACAAGGCTGCCGTGTGCGCATTCGGCGTGATGTCCGCATGAGACGTCGCGAAGCAAAAGGCAACAAGGATTTCCGCGGCGGTTACGATGACAGGCATATGACGCCGGATAGTTATCCCAATACTCCTGATGAGCGCCCACGGTCGGCCAGCAACGCCTCCGCTGAGGTCCCATATCCGTACTGCCCGACGCCCCCTCGAGCCCCGTCCGCTCAGGGTTTCTCCTACTCGCCTGCTCCATATCAACAGCCGGTAGCCATAGCTCCTCCACCCGGCCCGAGCCCTACCCCTCTTGCCCCGTCCCATTTGGCGTTTGGCACTTGTCAGGTTCCCTATAATGCACCTCCTGTCAACGTGCAACAACAGCCTCCACCGCCGCCACCACCACAACCGCAACAGCAACAACCTCAACCAACCAGCCAGCCTCCAGCTGCGCCTATATACCCTTCTCCCCGGCCCAACTATACTCACGGCAGACAAATCTCTTGTGATACGCAACCACAGAAATATGTTCCGTCACCGGTCCTGAAACCCGACCCACTGCCCATGGAATCGTCTAGGACAAGCCTACCACCTATCTTGACAAAGCTCTCACCAAACCAGAAGCGTGTCCTCGACTCCACAACCAATGATCGGAAACACCCTCTGACACACATGCCTCCGCCATCCAATCTGCCGAGTAAACCACAGCTCCCGATGCCGACTCCTTTCCACATCGTACCGGAGGTGCCCATTAAACGCAAGCTCGCAAGCAATCCCTTGCCTCCAATCTTCGATTCCGATCGGGGAAAGGGTTGGATTTTCTCGGAGCCACCGCCGTCTGGCAAGCGTTCTCACGGTGACTCGTTTGGGTCTGCGCACCTCAGCCGCCCTCTCTACGACGGTGCGCGCCCAGACATTCCATCCGACCCAGACCTCCGTGATCCTCGTGACCACACTGGTGGTGATGACGATTCTAATTCTCCATCTGCGCCCTTTATATATTATCGCGCCGATGGAAGAATGGTGAGAAAAACGACTAGTATGAATGCGTAAAAGAAAAAGCGAGACTTTTGTTTGCTATTTATTTAACTTTCCCTGGCGCTTTATTCGTGGAACGGCGACGTTATCCCTGGAAGGCGACCAAACCAGCATCCATTTCTTCGGAGTCTATATTTGTTGATTGTATATGTTGTACGGGGTATTTCTTTTTTTCACCTTTTCTTTTCTCTATTTTCATTTGTTCTTTTCTTTTCCCCCCTTTTGTTTGAAAATACTCCGTACCTATTGTGGCACCAGAAGTGGCCGTGTGTCGATCCTTACGATATACTCCGTATACTATCTCTTTTCGTCTATATTTCCTTGCGGTTTATTGATTTTCTTTCAGCTCCGGTTATCCTAGGCTCTTGATCTTCCAATTCCATCTATACATATCAATACTTTGTCTTCGAGTGGCCGTCCGGTCTTTGTAGAGCTCACAGCTTTTCAGACTATACGTAGTGAAAATATGCTAGAGGTAAATTCAAAGGAACGAGCGCTGTTTGAGCTTTGGGTACTAGGGGTAAACAGTGCAAGGTACTCCGTACTAAAGCCTAGGGCGTCGACAAGTGGATGATGACAACGATCATCTCTCTGTGACATAGAGCAAGCAAAAGTACTTTCTAGAGCACATTTTCTGCAAGTATTAGGTCGACAAAGATGATAGCTTCAAAATTGTATACTGCTTGTGATCCCACAAAAAGTCATAGATTTAATCAAGTCATCGTGAAACAAGGCTGTATTTCCTCCAGTATAATAGTTTAACAAAACCATTTTTATGTATCAAAGCACTAGTAGATGTCCTCACCATCAACCGAGCGTGCAAGCCCCCAAAGGAAATAATCATCATCTGAAACCTTCAAGATGGGCTCGTCTTCTGTCACCCAAGTCTCTTCAAAATCAACAAAGTAACTGAAGATTGTCAAAGCTATTAGAGAGACAAGTAAGGAGAAAATTGAGATAAAAAGCGTACCATGTGTCAGTCTTCTCATCGTAAATCAGGTTTTCAAGCTTGCAATCGCCAGGGCTCCCATGAACACTGAACAGCTCCCTATCAAAATTGTGTTAGCTTTGTCAGGGTAATATGTGGGTTGATGAACCTACTCAAGACTTCTTAGGAATGAAGCTCGGATCTTGTCTCGTTTGAGACGGCCATACTTCCAGAAACCAGTCAAAGGCACGCCAGGAAGCTCCTCCATGACCAAAAATATCAAGTAGCCATTTGGTACAGGTGTATATGAATGATTTTGTAATGTTGCAACCAGGTTCAACAGCTTAGGTACTGTGGTGCATTTTTTTGCATTGAAATGTCTTAGAGCATGCACCTCAAACTGTGTCCAGAATGCTGGTTGTTTCTGAGCTATTTCTGCCCTAGCCTGAAGACTGAGATTGGACATATTGATGGGAGGGACCCTATCCCAAATATTGGTTGTGTAAACTAAATTGTCCACATGTATTACTACATACTGCATTCGAACTTTCATGATAGCTCTCTGCTGAGTAACTGCACCCTGAACAACTTGGATGCAGTGATAGACAGCTTGAGCTTCTGCTTCTGCTGGGCATTTTCCACCACTGAGATCAGTAGTATAGAGAGATTTCTCACTGATCTTCTTACCAACCTGCCACACTGTTCCATCAGGGCAGCGGAGCTTGTAATTGTTCCACATGTTACCGATCCAGTTATCGTAGACCTTTGGACCACGCATTTGAGCAAAATAAAGAGGATAAAAAAACGGAATGGTGTAAAGGGCTCTAGGGGAGATTGTCACAACATGCAAGATAAGGAGAGAACTTGAGGGAGCTGGCCCTCTTTATACAGGCTGGTGAACTATAACCGCACACAGCCGGCGCGTACAGGGAGTACAAGGTACAGTAGTAGTTATCCATATTTGTGGTTTGTCGGGTTAGAGTTGAATGGCCAAAACGCATTCCGGACGGCGCCAATATGTAACTATGTAACTACGGCAGCCGATATAACTAACTAACTAGGATGCCGTACGCGCATCAACTTTCGCCTCCTCATCAACTCGACGCGTGTTTTCTGGACACCAGCACATCGATGGTCGTCTGTTTCGGCGTGCATTTGCTGTCGCCTGTGCAGAAGACGGTCTTTGATCTCTCTTTTTCTTGCACTTCTGCTTCTCTGTTCTTTTTGACAAACTAAAAAACACCGACCTCGCGCCTCAAAATAAACACAGGCCCAACGCACTCTTATTGCTTGACCCGCAAATTTTGTTCTCACAGCTATTCTGATCTTTTTAATTTACCGCATTCTGCAGTATGTGACTTGCTTTTGCTGATTTGCTCGTAGCGGTCGCATGTTTTGTTTGACACCATTGCCTCAGTCCAGGTTCCTAGCAGTCGGCCAAAACAAAGGCTTTTCCCTCCACCAGGTTCGAGATCTAGACTCGTGGTTTCTGGTGGTCTAGAATGGCACGAGAACATCAAACTAGTGTAAGTTGATCTCAGTGTCTGTTCGTCTGGTGTGAGCATCGATTTAATGGCAGGTGGCAACTACTGTCAAAGCCTTATGTTCTACCACTACAGTCTTCGCCTGCATCGTTTTAACTTCAATCTTTGATGTAGGGTATGGAAGCTGCCGATGATAGCATGCAAGCCGCTCGGCAGTTAAAGTCTTCGCTTCGACAATCGATCGGGGAAGACAATCAATGCTCCCTCCCGAGAAGCTCATCAAAACGGAAGCTGTCCGTGGTAATTGTCGGGAACCTCGATACTCCATCTGCCGCGCTCTCTGAAACATCCCGCGATGATATTCTGCATGGAGACTCCGAACTCAGTCCAATCTACGACCAAGCTACACCCCCCAAGCGATTTAGATCGAACGATTGGCCACTTACAAACAATACTCCCATTTTAACAGAGAGTCATGCAGTGCGAAATAGCAACCAACCTTCACTGAGTTCAAGAAGAGGTCGAAATGGACCAGATGCCCGTTACTCATCTGCCATATCACCAGGCCGTAGGTCGCGATTTAAAGAAGGCAGTATGCGGGATCGCATTAGCGTCAAACCACCTCCTGAATTTACCGGAGAGCTTGAAAACTCCCCGCCCTACTGCGGCGAAGAGGAATACAACCGAGGAGGGCCAAGGTCCCCATACAAAAGCCCATTCTCCCACTTAGCTACCAAGACAATCCCTCAATCCCCCCTGCCTGCTGTGACCAGGGATGACTCTAATACAAAGGAGCCTGGAATAGTTCGCTTTGGAAAGAAGTTCGCTTCAGCTTTCAGGTTCTCTGGCGTGTTCCATAACGTCTCTGAGATTTGGAAAGGCCCGCAAGACGAGAACAAACCGCCGTCAGGTCCTGAGATTTGTTTGGATAGAAAGGCTCGTGCTGAGAAGGCATATGCTGACCTCAAGGCCTCGGGATATCCAGGTACCAGGAAGGAAACTTACTCAAGTATGAATAACCGAGCAAGAACTGCAAGCCCCGTGAAAGTTAGCAATAGTGGATCTTTCACAAAATCCCCCAAAAACCCACTTAGGGAAAATTTGAGAATCGCTTCTGATGTTAATAAGGACCTTCCCCCGCCTCCCCTGGGATTTGAACGTCCTATAGAGCCCATTATTCGATCCACGAGGTCGTTCAATTCTGTCTCTCCGAGAGGACGCGCCTCAACCGCAAACGGGCATAGAACTCTCCCAAAACAATCTTCCATGAGAGATTTACTAAAGAAGGAAAAATTGAAAGAGAGGTTAACTAGAAAGGTCAGTAAACTAGAGGAGGAGTGGGAAAAAGCCCAAAAGGAACTTCGAGCTTTGTCATCAGATGGAGAATTTAGCTTCTCTTTATCATCCCTTTCTCCAGGCCGTGGACGAAGAAAGTTTGTTCCAGGGAGGCTACCATCGTTGCCATCTGAGCGGTTGCTTCAGACACAGGTAAAGGAAGATGAAAAGAAGGATCAAGTAGAGAATGCAAAAAGGACAATCAAAACGGACGTGCCATCCGGCCCAAGCCCCTTGCGAAGATCATCCGTCCGAATCAACCGAAAAGCACCGATCATAGGAAAACGAAAGAGTTCAATTGCCAGTTCTTCTTCACATGAATACTACTATAGCCAGGATACAGATACCACGGATGACAAAGAAAATATAGTACCTATGAAGAAGCTAAAAGAATATGGCGATTCATGCAACCCGCCAACGCGGGTCCAACCCCCTAGAAAGGCGAAAACTGAGACAAATAGTTCAATTCAAGAACAGACTCGCATCCAGAACTCTTACAAGATGCCGATTTCAAATTCAAATACCAGAAATAGCCCACCGAGTACTCGCCTCAGATCCAAGAATTCGCAAAATTATGCATTCACCGCGACACCGGGACTAAATGGTGTCCCTCCTGTACCTCCATTGCCAGAACAGCTAGCAAATGATCTCAACCGGGCAAATTTTCAATGGCCCGATGAATGTTTTTAACCGACTATGAAAGACATGTTCAACGACTTCTATGACTATTTATGGCCAATTCTTTTTTTCCTTCTTGATCTGTATTGGTAATTGCTGTACATTGCTTGCTCTATGTCTAGCACAACTTGAGATAACCATGATTTGAGCATATTCCCCAACCCTTTACGATCTGATTTTTGTTGATCTCTGTTTCCTATGAATGTTTCTCAATTGTATGATTATTGGTTTGCTTCTTCCTTGATGAAAAAACAACCACAAACAATACTGTTTTGGTTTCCCTAATGATGCCTCATGATGTTATGAATTTTCATGTTATTAAGATTCTGCAAAGAACCAAAGGTTATTTTCTCAGCAGATTGTTCAAATATGCAGATACCGCAACAGGCAAATTGCCTATTTCTAGATATTGTCAATGCAAAATGCCAAGGAACAACTTGATCAGGTAGCTTCCTTAATTGAAACAATATTGATTTAAGTACTGATCATATTCCACTTGAAATACTCATGTATAATCTTGGTGATTCAACTAGCTCACTCATGTTTCGAGAAAACGTCACCTTAAAGGGCTGAAACACTGAACATGTAGGAGGGAATTTCCAGCAGGCAAAGTGCGAGTCACATTCTAATATCATAAAAACCACCTAAACTCTGGGGTATTTGGCCCATCTCTCATTCTTTTGGTGGGAATATCGCAAGCACGAGTTTTCCTGCCTTGTTTGTCATTTCTTCGGTGATTATCCCATACCATATAAAGACCAAGTAGCCCTGAAAGAATAGCACCAACAGCCCCAAACGCTCCAGTAGTAATCAGCGCAGGCTTGTATTTTGGCATATCTGCCTCACGGAACACGTTGCTGCTGACAAGGCCCATAAGGTTGGCGACTGGGACGCCAGTGGATGTCAGTAATATGCGCTGGCCCTCGTGGGCAATGTTATTATTATACCAGGTGCTTAAAAGCACAGAAGGTGCTGAGGTACCCCACGTCATCATAAAGCAAGCAAAGTAGGCGAGCTTGATCTGGGCTTTCACATCTTCAATAGTAGCATAAATCATAAAACCAGTGAAACTGAGGAGAAAGCCTAGAACAATAAAAGGGGATCTCAGATAATAAGCATCAGAAGAAAAAGCAAGAAGTAAAAGCATCACGGCGCCAGTGCAATTCGGTGCTACGGTGTATAGATTGGTTTTAACAGTGTCATACCCGAGGCGTTGGATAATTTGGGGGAGAAACAGGGCTACTGACTGGATAGGAACACCAAGGCAAATTTCAATTGCCAGGAATGCATAGGAAGTGGGCTGTTTAAAGATTTTCAAAGCTTCACGAAGGTCAGATTTTTCAAAACTTGAGTCAACGTGGATCCGGTGAAAAGCAAGATCCTTTTCTGGTTGATTTAGAAAGGTTGCATCAGCTGGACAATGTGGCAGATACCAAAAAGTAAAACAGGCGAAAATTACGGTGCAAGCGCCCTCGATGAGGAAAAGATACCGCCATCCTTTGAGCTTACTAGACCTGATCTGAAATATGCCGAAAGCGAGCAGTCCAAAGAAAGCATTTGCAATATTGGAGGCCGCGTAGAAAATAGCCAATCGCCGTGCCAATTCACCCCGACGGTAAAGAGTGGTGAGGTAGTAAATAACAAGGGGGAAGAACGCGGCTTCAGCCATTCCCAGAAACCAGCGAAGTGCAAAAAGGCTGCCGAAGTTGTGAGCTGACGCCGAAATGAGAGTCATAGAGCCAAAAATAAACATAAGGATGGGTAAGACGCGGGCGGGTCCAAATCGCTTGCCAATCATGGCAATTGGGGGGGCGAAAATGACATAGGGAACGAAGAATATCGACAAGAGAAGATTATATTGGCCGGGTTTGAAATCAAGATCTAGCAAGTATCTATGAGAATCCCGCTGTTCATATTTGGTGAAAGACATATATATGTGTTTACCTTTGCTGAGACCGTCTGTTTGAGCGTTGCCTATGTTTCCCTTATCAAGTGCATTAAAAAGATCTATCAAGAACGCATGATTAGCCCTCAGAACTTTGTGGAATGATGGGACCAACTGACACATGACAGCAAGGACAGGAAGCAAGCGAATATCGAATTTGAAGCAAAGAATACGCTCTGCTTTGTAATCTGTTACCCGAGCGGTATCTTCTTTCAACAAATTCTCAACGGCAGGCGTCTCATTTACTTCCGGAACACAGTCGTTCTTAGCATTCACCAAAGCCATAAGGATCGTGAGGAACTGGAAGGTCTACCCAGATCACTGCACAATGACAAACTGGCTCTGTTGCATTTGATTGCTTGGAAGGTTCATTGGGTGTTTCATTTCTAAATAGAGAGCCAGAAGCAGAAAAAAAATATGGAGACCTTTCTTGCTTTGCTGGTAACAATGTTATTGGACTATCATGGATAACTGAGGTGTCCTGGGCCATTATCAAGGTTTGATAACGCCTCTAGTCAAACATTACTCCGTAAACATTGGCCAAAGTGTCTAGACTAGTCAAGGTGCAACTTATAGAGCTTAATTATATTCCAGGGTTCTTGGTAACCGTGTCTACCAAGCTAGAATCTTACTTTCGGGCCCCAAGTGTCGGCCATGTTAGAGATAGAGGCGCTTCATGTCCAGCACCTGCTCAGCGATGATCCTGTTAAAACCGCTAGTTACAGTTAGGTAGTTATTCAATTTAATGTAAAAACAATTAAACGCCCAAGACCGTCACCAGGACAGGATTGTTTGGATTGCAGGGTTCTATGAAAGGACTTCAAAAGATAGGCGTTTTTTGTGAAGTGGCACGGGTTTCCTATTGATTACTGGAATATAATAATTGTCAAGTCCTAGAGATTTGGAGGATGCCACTGGGCTACTATTCCATGCCAAGTACGGAAGGCGAAATTCTGCCCACAGAAGACCGAGCATATTCTATATGGCTGGGTTATCGTATAGTACATTGGTTTGGAGATTACTGGGAAAAGGCAAGCTTGCATCCTTCCACCATGAATGTGATGGCCTGCCGGCCCGCCTGCAAGACGCCATCCATTGCAAGAAAAGGATGCGGCTGGCGTCGCATAACATGCAGTTCAACAGTGGAACCGTGTTTCTTGAGTTTTGCAGCATATTGTTCTCCCTCTTCACGCAGCACATCTAACTCGCCCACCACAACGATCGCATGCGGTTGTTGATGCCAGGTGGGAGCATCGTCTGAATACAACAGTGGGCTTGCCTGGGGCTGATACCCGTCTATGGGGCTTGGGAGATAATGATTCCGGAACCATAGCATCTTCGCTGCGGGAAGGGCGGGCGTGTGCTGGTAGGCGGCATATGAGCGATTGCTGGAAACATCAGCAGTATTATCCATCACAGGGACATTGAGTAATTGGAGTTTGAGTGGTGGGAAGCTCCGCGCAATGCTGCGATGAGCCATGACAGCTGCGAGGTTGCCGCCAGCTGAAGAGCCGCCTACAGCGACACGATTAGTGTCCAGGTTCAGAAGCCGGGAGCCTTCGCAGTGAACCCAAAGAAATGTTTCCCAAGAATCTTCCACTGCGGCTGGAAACGGGTGCTCAGGTGCTAATCTTTCAGGAGTCTGTCACCAGAGAGATCTCCTGAGAAGATGGGGGTCCGGACAAACCTGTAATCCGTTGTAATCACTACGCAATTTGCCCTCGCACAGATATTGGTGCATACAACATTTTCGGTATCAATGTTGCCCAAAACCCATCCGCCACCATGGTAGTACAACAGGACGGGCCATCCGCCATCAGGAGGCTCGTCGGCAGCAGGCGTAAAGGACCGCACCAGGATATCGGGGCCTGTCGATTCCCGGCGTGTTATGGTTATATCCCGTGTCTCGCCAACAGGGAGGAGAGGCCCCGCGCCGGGGATCAGAACTCCAGAAGCCCGCGACACATGAAGCGGCTGGAAGTGTACTTGTTGTTTATTAATGAGATGTTCGTTGTAGAAAGCGGCGTATTCGGGGTCAAGCAGGTCGCGGATCGATTCATGGAGAGGATAAGGGGGCTCAGACATGATTATGAGTAGGATGGTAATCTTTCAGCTGAGGGATTATCGAACGCGAGAGTCTTGGCCGTCTATCACGCGTCGCAACCTGCAATCGTCAGCAGCGCCGCAGTTCACGCGGCGTGATGCCCAGCAGGCGGGTGTGAGCAGCGCCAGGCTGCCGGATTCGAGCCGCGCCACATTATCATTTGGCCGGCCCGCCGGGTCCTTTCCGGAAATCGACTAACGGGCGGGGGGGATTGCGCTAACGAACTAACTAAGCCGTAAATGAACAAGGCCCGGACGCCGCGTCACAACACCCGCGGCGCGCGCGGCAGCCACCCCCACGTCGGGAATGTAAACCAACCATGCCCCTGGCCAGACTCGAATACTCCGTACGGAGGACAGCCATATGCGGGGCCAAAGGGAGACGATACGGTGTGGCAAGGCTCCAAGTCCACTCTCATAAAAGTTCAGTCTCGCTTAGTTTAGCCCGACACACTGACGCTCACAAGAGTTCTACGAATTATTGATCCTTTCATACGAGGAGGTGAGCATCTAAAAATATGACCGGCTGTTTCAGAGGCTGCAACAAACAAGAGGGTGGAAGTTCGCAGGGGCTTACTACGTGGGGAGCCGGCCAAGCGGTGGGTGGAAGGATTATGCCCCGCTGTGCTTGTTCGGAGATGCAGCCCTCAGACAAGCCATAATAATAATAACAATAATAATAATAATAATAATAATAATAATAATAATAATAATAATTGGCCCAGCTCACGTAACTGGTTAGTTAGAGTTTCGGAGATTTAAACTTATCCGATACGACGGGCGGGTCTGGCGAGCCCCTTTCACGGAGCCATCGCAGCACCTCCGCTACTACCACCAGGTAGCAGTACTTTACAGCTTGCGTGTTGATAGCTCTACTAATATGGACTCTTTATATACATACATATAATCATATATTGATGTATTATTAAATTAGATTCTAGAACCCCAAAATGTCACTAGGTATATCTCGTTGAGCAGGCTTCGGTATATCTATATTCAAGCCGCAGCTTGCATCTCACAAGGAATTCTCAAAATCCACAAGCTCCTGAAACTGGACCGCATAGGTGTTTTGATCCGCCTTGCTTGGCCGCGGAAGAGGTTTTCTCCCATAACCACCATATCCACAATGTGCCATTATGGCACTCTTAATCCCAACCACTCCGCTTTGGATAGCCACCCAGTCGCCTCGGGCCAGGATTTCCTGGGCCTTCTGTGCATCCATCATATTCCCCTGGCGATACAACTCTTGAATCCGAACACACGTCTTAGGGGCAAGGTTTCCAATGCCACCGATAATTCCTGCACCGCCGCCAATCAGCGTCTGAAGTGTGAAATCCCCGGATCCCCCGAAGCATAGGAATTCAGGCGCAGAGGGCTTTCCGGACGAGCTTGAAGCTCTTTGTCGCTGGGCAGCCACGACGCGATTAAGCTTTCCGGTATTTCCACAAGTGAATTTGCATCCAATGATATTAGGGTGATTGCTCAGAGTGATTAAGGTGTCCGAGTCCAAGTCGAGACCACCAACAACAGGCGGGTAGTTGTAGATGACGAGTGGAAGAGGTGACTCATTCGCTACGTCGTAGAAATATTCGACTACCGAATCAGGCGCAAAAAGGGTCTGATAATATGAAGCTGTCAGCACCAAGGCACAGTCTGCCCCTGCTTTATAAGCCTCTTGACATTGCTTGATGGTCTCTCTGGTTGAGTGTGCACTGCATCCCGCCATCAATGGCATAGCTCCGAACCCAGCACTGTTCAATGCGTCCCGTGTCGTCCGAATTACCATCGCTCGTTCTTCAGTAGAGAGATGAACAGCCTCTCCGTTTGATCCATGGACGGTAAGACCGGTAACTCCTGCCTGAGCAAGCCTAACGGCATGTTTTGCAATTGTTGAGAGATCGAGATCCTCGGTCTTCGGGTCGAAGAAACACAACGTGGGAACGTATATTCCTGGCACGAGGCGCCGCACTTTTCCTTCTGAAAAGCCGCTTTCTTTTGATCCCGACATAATATGTATTGGATTACACAGGCGCGTACTTGGAGGAGCACAAGGAGGATGGAAACGGCTAGGTCCAGGGCTTTGCAGTACCAGCCTGAAAAAAGTAGGGAGCCGGAACGCTTTATATAACACCAGGCAAAGCAATGCTTTTCAATGATTTGATGTACCAGCGATGACGACAAAAGGGTGTTAATGGGGTAGGTGGTTGAAGCCACCAATGTGACAAGTACGAGAACAACCGAGCGACAACACAAAAATAGGGCCGGCGCGAAGACTTATCGGATCGCAAGGGATTGGAAGATGGGGGGCGCGGAGAGCCATCGCATATTATTAACGGCGGGGGCAATGTTAAATAAATTTAGGGATATGGGCTTCTCCACGGCAGACGCTGGAACGTCAGTGCACTGGATCCCATGGGCTCCGTGGCGTCGGAGAGAAAGTGTGGGGAGCCAGCACGGGCCCACTCGGCGGATCCCACGCTTGCTAGTCTGGTGGGGCCACCGGCACCGCAACCTTGGCGATGGGATCTCGGAGATACTTCCTTCCGGCGTCCGCAGAAGGCTAGGTAGTTACCTGGTAGATGGTATTATGTACGGAGTACAGAGTATGTACTCCATAGTCCCTAACCAGCCTCAAGGGCCGCGGCGTAGCGCAGTGCGGCCAGGTGGTGCGCCAAACAGAGAAATCGGCCACAACGCCTAGAAGGGAAGCTCTTCGCGCTTGCCGGTCTCTCTTGCAGATACGGAGATGCGAAGCTTTGCAGACGTCCGAGCCTGGCGCTGCAGTCACTTGCCTCCAGTCTTTGTTGGGCTTCCTCACCCATGCCAATCCGGGCCGAGCCCATATACGGCAAAAGAGCGAATGATCTTACCCGACAAATATAGATGGTGCCACATGAGCCGTTTCACGAGCATGGAGAGGCAAAAATATTAATGGTTTCCAGACTCGAACGCCCAAAGATAGATCTCTTCACAGCCTGCAGCGGTACTTTTATCAGCCATGGAGCGAACTCAGCGCCGCTCAGGCCCATGGTGACCGGAGCACCGCTCAGCACCCGGCTGGCCTGTGGATCTCGGGGCCGGCTGTTCGCACCCGAGCAGGCCGCTGTTATGTAACGAGCTAAATCGTCCACGTGCGGCACCTCCCAGGGACCAAAGCCTGTTAGTCATTAATTACGTGGGGGCGTGGGGGCATCAGAGCGCGGCTCAGTCTCGTTAGAGGCGCCAAGCGGCGCTATTGAGGGGAAACAACGCTGGCGGCGAGCAACCGGCGTCCGCTGGAACGCTCATGGCACATTTCAATCATGTCGGGCGTCAAGAACTACCCCAATGCCCTGCCTGCCGACCTCAAGGCGCAATTTGTCGGCCGTCTTTTACAGGATGTCGACGCCCCGGCAGCCGTTATCGACGTTGCGGTCGCCCGGAAGAATTGCGAACTCATGCTTGAGGCTGCGGAGAAGCTTGGTGTTATGTTCCGCTCGCACGTCAAAACACACAAGGTGGGCTCCGAATATACCTTCTCGTCTGCCTTCGCAGTCATCTTGCGCTTGTCGGTCCTGGTATCGCTGACGCCGACAGCTAGACAACCGAGCTTACTCGGCTCCAAGTTGGCGAGAAGGCTCGCACCGTCCGGCTTGTCGTCTCCACGCTGGCAGAAGCGGAACAGCTGCAGCCTTACCTTCAGGAGTGCAAAGAAAATGGGAAAGCTGTCGATGTTAGCGTTCCTAAGTAACAGTTATCATCATGATTGGATATCGATGCTAAAAATCCATATATAGGTCATCTACGGTCTGCCAGTTCAACCATCATGCATGAAGCGGCTGGCTACACTGGGCCGAGCGTTCGGGGAAATGAGCGTCACGGTACTGGTAGACACATCCGATGCTCTTTCCTTTCTCTCTAGCTACCGACAACTGACAGGCTATACATTGGGGGTGTTTTTTAAACTGGATACTGGATACAACCGGGCAGGTATCTCGCCATCGATCCCGGAGTTTACGGATTTGCTGCTTAACATTCGCAAGATGGAGCAATATCACCCCGGCACTATTTACTTTCGTGGATTTTATAGCCATATGGGTCACAGCTATGGCTCGGATACCACTAGTGAGGCATTAAGCTATTTAGAAATAGAGATTGAGCGTTGTTTAATGGCAGCCATGCATGCTTCGAAGATGTGGGAAGAAGACAGAAGACGGTTTATCATTGCCGTCGGCGCGACTCCCACTACAACGTCAGCACAAAATTTAATCGGCACTGAATCCGCGTCACCGACCGAGAAAAGAGTCAAGTCCTTGATTGAGAAGGTCCAAGAAACATATGACATTGAACTTCATGCCGGTGCATACGTAACATTAGATATGCAGCAGCTCGCCGCACATGGACGCCCAGTCACAAACAATCTTTCCTTTGATAACTTGGCCTTGACAGTTCTTGCGGAAGTCTCCAGCACTTATTATCATCGGGAGTCGCCAGAAGCGCTGATCGCATGTGGTCAACTTTGCATGGGGCGTGAGCCTTGTAGAAGCTACCCTGGCTGGGGAGTTGTGACTCCGTGGCTGCATACCACCAACGCTCCAGAACTACATGAGGAACAACTAGGATGGTATGACCCGGAAGGAGATAAAACGGGATGGGTTATCAATCGCTTAAGCCAGGAGCATGGTGTTCTACGCTGGGAAGGTCCGCCAAGTAAAATGCGCAAGCTGCGTGTTGGCCAGAAAATCAGGATCTGGCCAAATCACTGTTGTATCTGTGCCGCAGGTTTCAGCTACTTCCTTGTTGTAGATTCAGCCGGGGAGGGGCACGAGAAGGACAGGATCATCGATGTGTGGCTGTCTTGGAGGGGATGGTAGATAACTAACTACTTCGTATGGTCGAAGCTCCAGCTGAGCTGGAATGAGGACTACAGCACGATACAAATATCCCATCAGAGAAATTCACCAGTTGCCCCGGGCACCTATACGCCTTGCGTTTACGGAGTAGCGTTTTGCTAGCTATCTGGGTCGCTTCCCCGCAGCAAAGCCGAACATAAATTTCCTTCTTGACCGCCGAGGACCGTCACTCTACCTTGGCTAACTAACTACGCCACGGGCGGGCTGTTCGGCTAAGCAGACCGCGGCCCATATTGAGTTGGAAAATACCGGGTCAATCAACTGCCATAGCTATCTACAATATGCAGCAATGAATCCCAGCATTGAGTAGAATCTATTCCCCTTGGGAGACATCAACAGATGGCCCGTCCACTACCACTTACACTAGAAAGATGAACTTTGACCTTCCACGGGACCTCCAGGAGTATCTCGCCTCTCTGGACCAATTCATTCAGAATGCCATTCTCCCCCTCCAGCATACGAATGATAATAACCGCTTCTTTGACCACCGGCGAGAGTACTCGCGAACCGACTGGGAAAATGGCGGCGTGCCTCGGAAAGAATGGGATGCCCTACTTGGTATAACTACACACCCGACATTATCCAACCGCGATCTTAAGTTTGCAATTTCTTACCATGTTGCCGCACTGCAGAACAAGCTCGAGCTCTCGCCGATAGTGCAGGCTACTACCGTTTTGCTCTCCCCAAAAGGTACGGAGGCCACGCTAATGCAAGCACAAATCTGTGGATGTGTGCCATTCGCCTGCATCTGGCCTCCCATCCCGTCTACGGTGGCGGTCTCTCACTAGCTAACGACTTGCAAAACGAGCATAGCGTGGTTGGAAATTTCCCCGACGTGCTCATGCTTCATCACTTTGGAAACGATAAACAGCGCAGGGATCTAATTCCTGCAAGACTACAGGGCCGCTTTCGCACAACATTTGGTTTGTCGGAACCTAAGCACGGAAGCGACGCTACATTTCTGGAGACGAAAGCCCGACCAGCTTGGAGAGTATATCCACCCGGCTCTGGAAAAATTGTGAGCGGTTTTATCCTGGATGGGGTAAAAAAATGGCAGAGCGGTGCATATCATTGTACCCATATGATTATCTTTGCACGAACTTCAGGCATGCCAGGCTCGGCATATGGTATCACTGCATTCCTAGTTCGGAAAGAGACCCCAGGGGTAAAGATCATCGGCTATGAATGGACTTTTAATATGCCCACGGATCATGCCACCATCGAACTTGACTCAGTATTTGTTCCGTTTTCATCTATCCTTGGAACAATGGATGCTGGCCTTGACGTTGCACAGACATTTGTCCATGAGAATCGAATTCGCCAAGCAGCATCATCCTGCGGCGCAGCCAAGTTTTGCCTCGACCGTTCGATTGAATATGCCCGATCTAGAAACGTGTTTGGGAAAGCATTGGCAGATAACCAGGCAATTCAGTTCCAAGTGGTCGAACTGACGACACAAGTTGAGATGCTAAGGCTTCTCATTCTCCGAACAGGCTGGGAAATGGACAAGGTAGTTGCGGAATGTGGCGCGCATTCCGAGAATCCCGCCACCACCAAAACTCCCTGGGTTGAGATTGAGAAGCGCCTGAGTGATAAAATTGCGATGTGCAATTATTGGGCAAATCGGCTTTGCTGTCAAGCTGCTGACCGAGCCATGCAGGTGAGTTCCTCAGTTTTCTACATGATCACATTAAACATTCCTAACGCTTTACACAGATTCATGGTGGTAATGGGTATTCTCGTCACCAGCCCTTTGAGCATATCTACCGACACTTTCGCCGATACCGTATCACTGAAGGTTCTGAGGAGATCCAAATGCGAAAGATCGCAGCCTACATTTTTAGGTTCTCTGGCCCACAGAGCGCTTCTGCTAAAGAACCAGGTGATCAACTGAGCCAGAATAAACCTTCAAAGCTGTAGGTGGGAGGAATTTGGCTGTATGCTATTAAAGACTGCTGGTCATCATTTGTTACATATTACATTTCGAGTAATATATCCTCTGGCTAATAAACAAGGGTCTTAGAAGATCGCAGTTGCATTGGCATGAGAACTCACACCCGCTGGGAAAATAGAATTAGTAGAGTGATCCTCAAGGGAATAAAAGAAAATTTACCTGGGACATTAGCTGGGGCGCTTGTCATGAAGAAGAACCAGCGATTAGTTTCGCGGCACTTGACAGCGAGTTTTTCAAGATCCCACATTTCGCCCAGCGGCATTCCCCATAGAGCTAAAATGTATTCATGGAGATAGTACTCCTTTGGGGTTGGCCATCTCTCGAAAGCAGGGGCATCTCCAATAACACCGGCAAAGTAGGAATCATGAAGCCAATCGAGGATAGCATCTTCTTGAGCAAGTCCAGCATATTTCTGCTCTTCTCCCTCGCCGATGGCATGGGGGCGCAGTGCAAGCTGGGTGCGCTCTTCAGGACTCCGTGAATAGTAGCTATCAACGAAGCCAGAGCGCACCATTAGGATGTCTCCAACTTTGATGTCTCCACCCTGTGCTTCTGGGCGAATATCGATGCCCTGAGCCCTCCCACACTTGTAAAGATCATCAAACGTAATTGCATGGGAGGTATAAGGGTCATATTTAATGCCATTAGCATTAGCATAGGTCCAGTAGTCGATAAGAACACCACGACCGGCTATGCCGTGATTGGCCCAGTGGTGAATACTACAGTTATGATTTGCTTCCGGGCCGACAATGTCCTTTCCCTTGGTCTACAAACGCGTTAACGGGCTAGATATAATAAATGATGACGAATAGCGTTCCTTACCCCATTGTAGAAGGACTGAGTAGCGAGATGCGCAAACTACATTGCCGATTTCAGTTCGTTGTTGACCTAAGTCAAGAGGTTGTCTTACATGTCTAAAGCCATCCCACTGTGTTCCGCTCTGAGTATTCAGCTCATATTTATCATCATATGCGATATTTTCGTAGAGCGTCTTGATTGTATGCACGAACTTCTCTCTGCCAAACCCTGGGGTTTCAGGCACATTGAGAGGCAAGCTGCTATTGTTTAGCACTCAGACGTAGTAATGACTGTAAAAAACCAACTTAAGAGGGACCAGCTCTCCCGTCCGAATTTCCTGAGCAGCGGCCTTAACCCGAGCAGGAGTGAGAAGGTTAAGCCTTCCAAGCTGTAGGATTGTCAGCACCGTTGCTTGGGAAGAAAACAGCAGAGTTGACGCACGTTGTCATCCTTTCCCCACACCCAACAAGCACCTTCTGGAGCTCCTGGGATATGGGGGACGTGGTGGCGAGTTGGAAGCTTGGTATTTTCGGGGTGCCAGGGCAGCTCATCGGCAGATTGGGAGGGAGACATGATGCGTGTTATTTGAGCCAGTCTGTTTTTAATGGACATATCCTGGAGCCGGAGAATTAACCATGCAGAGCGGAAGCTGGGCAGAAGCAGATAATATAGACAGGAGCTGGCAGCTGGTTAGGGATCCCCGCATTTCTGCGCGCTTTGAACACCAAGGCGGGTCATCCCGGCTATCGACTGCTGAATCGGTGCGACGCGGACCTGATATCCGTCCTCCACACGGCGGGGCGAGCATGGCCACACGCACCACGTATGCACTATGTATGGCCTAACATCCTCGCCTTAAATCGCGCAGGAGGCTCATGAGAGGCGCGACCCCAAAACTGCGGATAGTAGTTACCCCTCTGCTTGGTGAAGCCACATACAACGCAATGGACTTGAAGCCCCGGATGTGGAAAGTCAAAGAGTACCCGAGGTTAAAACATCACAGTTGTGTTTTATTTTCCATACGAAGTACTTCCAGCGTATCCAATTAGCCTCAAACGCAACGAAAGCGTAGAGCGGGGTCTAGGTAGGCCCTGTGTTTGATCCACGTTGTCCCCCGGAAACCAGCTTAAATATATGTATCTACATGCATACTGACTGGTACATACTGCATACTTCTCCCACCGCCGTGTTGTGTTCAAATTCAGGAGAAGGAGGGGTCGACACGGGCATCGAAAAGCCTCGAATCGGAGCGTTTGACTAACTAGTTAACTACATATTTACCAGCACAATTTCGGTCCAGACATTGACGGCCGTCTATGAGTTTCAACGGACTGTTGTCCTTGGGTAAGGTGCTGTCTCTCATTCTAGCAATGGTATCAGGCGTAAATGAAATATAATGGTTCCATAATCTCCTGTTATCCGTCGCTGAAGCTGTCCTTCCCTGTCCTATATCGTACAATATATAATATATATACCACCCCACCATTGCCGATCACACATATTCCATTAGCTCCCAGATTTATTGAATTTTCGTGTCTAAGGACCGTTTATCCGGAGTTCCGCTTTCGATGTGCGTTGTGCCTTTCAAGGAATGAACGCCGACATCGCTATTTGTGCCGTCTAACACGACAGGCGGACCCTTAAATACTTTTCGAGCACGCACGAGATACCAAATCACACTAATGGTAGCAAACCCCGCGAACACGACACTGGCATAATTCATTGATGAAGGCGTAACAGGAAGTGAAACCGGCATGCAAAACAGTGCAATGGCTAGACAGATCCAGAGAATAGTTGCCACGTTGATGGCATATCCAAACCTACCAAGGGAGAACGGAGCATCTTTGAGCATTTTTCGTCGGCGGATGATAGATATCAAAATCGGGAGCCCATAGGAGGTGGAGAGACAAATAGTCGCTACGCCTGTGAAAGAATTGAAGGCAGCTGAAGACCCAAAATAAATAAGACCCAGAAGACAATCGACCAATGTTGATAGAACAATTCCCATCATGGGCACGTCAAGTTTGTGGTTCACTTGTCGCCAAATTCTCGATGCAGGAATGGCACCATCACGCGCAAAGGCATATGTGCATCGACTGGCAGCAGTAAGGGCCCCAATTCCAGCAAAAAGTTGAATTCCAAGAATTAAGAAAAGCATGCCGAACCCCCCTGCAGCGGATCCCGTCACGGTCTTAAACAGCAACCCAATTGGCTGGCCATTAGCAACAGCCAAAAGAATGTTCACTGGCGGAAGCACAAAAAGAATGGTTAGGAGATAGACAAAGCCTGTTACCCCTGCGGCCACAACCGAGAGTACGATTGCCTTGGGAACTTCGCGGTGAGGATTTTGGGTTTCTTCACACATGGCTGCTACCATCCCATATCCAGTCAAGGTATACGCTGGCTGAAGTAAGCCAACAAAAAAGGCCCACCCGGATGGCCTATGAAACAAATTAGCAAGGCTATGTTTTGATAATCAGACAAAATATGAACATACCAACCACTGGCAGAAGCATCATAGTGTGTGAAAACAAATTTCGCACTTCTTCGTGTATCGGCCATGGAAAGCAAAGTGGCCATCAGGATAATAACACTAGTTGCTGTCCAGTAGATGCAGACTTTGTTGATCAGATCCAAATAACGGGAACCAAATGCATTGATCAATGCACATATAAGCATCAAGGCCCAAAATGTCAGAACAGTTTGCCATGCATTCGGTACATAATCCTCATTCCACAGTGTAATAGCACTGAGAATCAATTGGGCACCACCAAAATTAATGCTTAGTGTCACAGTCCAGTTTCCAACAAGAGTCAACCAGCCATCGATGAAGGACATCATTGGTGCCCACTCTTTTGTTGACAGCATCGCACTCCAGTAGTAAACTCCGCCAGCGGTTGGGTATACAGAGCAGATTTCGGCCAATGACGCAGCAATGCAGATTGAAATCAAAGTTACAAAGATCCATCCCCATATAATCGTCACGGATTGACCATCGATCAACGTGATGGACAAGGTCGTACTTAATCCATAAGGAGCAGCGATGATTGCGAACGATCTGCCCATAGCGAAAGCCGGAATCAGTTAGACAAATTGTCAAGAAAGGGGAAGATGGAGTTCGCATACAGTCCTAAAACGCTGAACATACTCAGATTCCGAGGTAGTTCACTTTTGTACCCCATCTTCGCGAGCGCTTCGTTCGCATTGTTGTCCGCAGATGGGCTTCCGCCATTTCCATCGCCATCCGCTGCAGAACCTCGTCGCATCGTGAGAAGCGCGCCGATATTGAGATTTTACCGATGAAAATATATCAACTCGATGCTATTATTTAAGTAATTAAGGACGCCGTGCGAAGAATTGCCCAGATTCTCCTTTGAACACTGTCAGAACGCGAATAATTAACTGGGGCCGGAGTCGCCCTTAATAATCGAATAGGGAGCCGGACTTGAAAACTCGGGGAATACTCTGCACGGGAAACTATTGACAAACGAGGAAGAAGGTCGTTAGGGAGAGGGCGGAGAAGGAAGACGCGGGTTCGTGTTCCCAGCAATAACGGCCGGGGCGTCGTCTCAACCCGACTCTCGTTGATTTGGTACATGGTCTCGTCGGCCGCCATATCGGAGCGCGGAGAGGAAGACCAAGTCGCTCAGTAGTGGATCTGGACCAGAGGCAAGAAATGTTAAAAAAATCCGGTGTGGCAAGGAGCGCCAAATCTTAAATGGGTTAAAGCGGAGGCGAAGGTCGAAATCGGCCACCGTGAAAGCTCAGGGCGCTTCCTGTGTAGTTACCTAGTTAGTTAGTTAGACCAGCGCCTCCTAGCAAAAACTGAAGTCTAGATTTTCTTTCTTTGGCAAAAAGGACCAAAAGAGAATCTGCGCTGGCAACCTGAACTACGGTCATCATCTCCAAACCGCCGCCAAGAGATAGATATAGTTAGTTAGTAACGAGCCTTCAGGCTCCTCTTGGAATCTTCCCAATAATTAGTTATTGTTCGTCACTGGTGACTAACTAGCTGGCTAGCCGATCGAGGGCAGGGCTGACGCTTACCAGTTGTTGAGCGTAGATGAACGGACAGTAAACAGATTTGCCGCGGCATTTCATGGGCAAGAGCCAGCCCCGTCAACCCTCCAGGACATGCTGGAATCTCTCCCCGCAGCTCGTGAGTCTGGGGTAATCATGAGTAGCGTGGCGAGCTAAAAGCGATCTCGTCTAAAGAGGCGCCAAATAAAGAGATAAGGGCGGCTCGACGCTTGATTGGGCGTAACAAGCCGCAGCAGGATCCACCAGCCGCGAATGTCCGACGCCAGCAGATCCTCCACATCAACGCAAACTGATGACCGCCGTGTTCATTTCAACTGAAGGCTGCAAGAGGTATCTGGAACGCGGAAAGCTAGACAGTTTTCCTGGGGATCTGATGTAGTTTTCCGGGTATCGCGTAGGGATACTTTTGGACTCGCCCGCGCATTACCGTGCAGTAGCTGTTAACTACGCACGGGCTATAGAGCATGTAGTGGATATATACATATCGACGGAGTACTCCGTATACAAGTGTTGAACCCGACAACATGACCAAGCCTTGTGATAGCAAGTCATTCACCCTTTTAGTCGAGAGGCTAGCTGCTGATGTTACAGTGCCATGTCAAAAGTGTTGGCACCCTTTTTTTCAAGTGACACTTTTCAAACTCCAATTACTCCACAAAATTGTATGCTAGTATATTGAATAATATAATCAATATGGAGATAAATGCTTGAACTATTTCTTGTGTCTTTAATAATTTAATTCTGACTTATTTTCATGATGTATAGAGGAGTCTATGTGATGATAGCTTTCAGTCATATTTAATGAGATTTACAGAGACAATAATTAATAATTATTTAATAAAATTATTCTTAAAGTATTCTTCTATCAATTCTCTACATATTAATGTGTATTAATTGATATGTTACAATACAATTTTGTTGAGCAACTTGGTTGTGAAAAGAGTGGGTTTTGGTGTAAAAGTAGGGGGGGTGCCAACACTTTTGACCTAGTACTGTATACTGCTATGTTTGCGAAATATCTACATATAAAGCACAAGCCACCTATTTATGGCCTCGCTGAGAGAAAAGTCAATGCTCCAGCTACCAAGGCATGCGTTCCAATTTGAAGCGTGGGCTGGACAACAGGGGCGAAGAAGGCAGAATGGTTAACTGGAATATCTTCCATTAACCTCCCTTGCTTCTCTGCTTCATCCCATTTCTGAGGATCAGTACATCCAACGAACCAAAAGCAGCACGGTTTACCAATCGAGGAACCAAGGTCGGTAAAATCTTCACTGGCGTTTGAGGTTGGCCATGCTGGGTCAAAATTAGACGAAAATAGGGTTCCAAATGTGCTCTGTAGCTTCTCAGTCACCGCTTGATCGTTAATTGTCGGAGGAAACTGGAGTGTAGTCTCAATCTTCGGGCTTTGGGGGGCACCACTAGCTTGACACTCGGCGTTGATAATGCGACGAACCGAGGAGAGAACCTTTTCCCTCGTCGTGGTATCCGTGGTTCTCACATTCAATTCCATTTCAGCTTGTTCGGGGATGATATTCGCGACGTGACCGGCCTTCAAACTGCCAACTGTGACAACGGCGAATTCACTAGCAGTATCAACTTCTCGGCTGACGATAGTTTGTAAACGCATCACGGTGCTTGATGCCATTACAATAGGGTCAATTGTTCTATTTGGCATAGAAGCATGTCCACCTCGGCCCGTGAATGTTACCTTCAGACAATCTGACGCTGCCATCATGGTACCAGCCCTCATCCCAATGGCGCCAGCTCTACTGGGTAGGATATGCTGTCCAAGTAAAACGTCAGGCATCGGAACTTTGTCGTAAAGGCCACCAGAAACCATGCCACTGGCACCGTTTCCCACTTCTTCAGCAGGCTGGTAGACAATGACCAGTGTCCCCGACCAATGCTGTTTTAAGGTTACCAAAAGTTGGACTGCTGCAAGTAGACATGTCATGTGCATATCATGCCCACAGGCATGCATAGTTGGCATTTCAATTCCGCGGTCACCATGCTTGACAGTTTCTCTACTCGCGTAGGGAAGGGCGGTTTGTTCCTTGACTGGTAGCCCATCCAGCTCGGACCTCAAGAGAACTGTTTTACCATCACCGTTGCGGAAAACAGCGGCAATGCCCGTGCCGCCTATATTCTCGTGCACTTCGATGCCATTAATAGCAGAAAGTTTGGTCGCAATCGTTCTGGCTGTGTTATATTCCTGGTGCGAGAGTTCCGGGTGAGCATGGAGGTGTTTATATAGATCCTCGTACGGCAAGAAATCCACCGGGTACTGGCGGATAAGCTGTTGAATTTGATCCGGCGATAAATTGGACATTGTAAGATTCAGGGGGTAAAATTCTTGGGTGTTCAAAAGCAAGGAAGAATGAGCAAAGTGCGGAAAGGAGATTGCAATGCTCGGGCTTTTATGTCCAGGACCGTGCAAACAGTCGATTTCAACTCTTAGTTAACCACTGACGACCCCGGATGAACGCATTGACGGGCCGATAGGCTTGGCTTGGCGAGTAGTTCCGTATGAAGTGGTAAATACTCCGTACCTGTTAGTTCACTATGGCTTTTCCGTGTCCACTCTGTACTTTGTTATCCGACATATTCGTATGATGTCCCATTGATGCTGTAGTTATGTCACCATATCAGACGGATCTGCCATACTTTTTGTCTCTCCAGTTACCTAATTAACTACGTAATTGTAAAGTTAGTTAATTAGTGAACTAACTTAGGTAACTAACTAACTGCCTGTCTTCCTGGCTGGCCAAAACGCCGCCTCATTCAGCAACAAACCCGAGAGGTTGCATCTTGCAAGGACTCGGTTGACGCCAGTCAAAAAGGGAAACCCCTCTATATCTGTTCGAATGCTTGATCAAAGGATTACTGTGCGCCCGCTTCTCAATATTGACCATGGTTTTGCCCGCATTTGCCCGGAAATGCCGCCTTAAGCATCTCTCGCTAGATCCCATGGATATTTCGCGGCTGCTCAAGCCAGGCTAGCATGCCGTACTCAATAGCCACTGGCTGAACTATCTGAATCACCATATGTGCTTCTCTATCCTTCGCCCAACCTGTCAGAATTTTATGGCTCATTTCAAAAAGGATCCTCCGTGAAAGTTATCGCTCGGATGCTGATGAGCATGGAGAGCATTGTTGATCTTGAACACTGTCATTGTTCCATGTGCCAAGCAGTGAGAGACGAACTAGCTTTCAGTCAAGAAACTTCAAACAACAAAAAATGAAGCAAGGGGCTGGCCCACAGCCAAGGCAAGTATATACGAACTTCGCAATTGGGGCAAGCCGCAGCACACAGGTAGGCTGTTTTTGCGGGGTTGCCTTTTCAAATTCTGCGACCACCATCGAACACAATATTGTACTGAGAATGATTTTACCAAATTTAAACCACAGAAACGGCATACTTTTGCCATGCGCGCAGCAATGAATTGTGGAATATTCTGGAGAGCGTCTTTTAATACCCAGTGGGTATTCCATACTTTGATGGGGTCGGTCGACACGTTCGCCTTCTCCGTGGTGCCTTCTGGTCTCTCACCACGATGGAATGACATCCAGTCGAATTTTGTTGTGTACTATTTGCTAAAACCTTGATAGGTTCGCTAAATTATTAGAAGAAGCTCATTGATATATTTTAGTTAAAGAGAAGTGAGAAACAAAGGAGCTACTCCATCCATATAAATTTGTACATACATATACAAATACTCCTTTAGATACCCTGGCTGTGTGATAGAGATAAGTGTCTATGTGAATGGAATTAACAATGCATATTAACCTAATGCCCGAAAATATATTTTGCAGGTCCCCAGGCGTCCTAACTGGTACTTACTGGTTCCAAATATGGTTGTTACCAGTGTGCAACTGGGTTGATGTGGGTTGAACTGTCCCCAGATGTTGCAAAGTGGCTCAGTAGGTCTTGATCTTGTATAATCAGACTAAGTTACTGAATATAATCAGTGAATCTAGCACTACTGGAGAAGCATAGTAATTGCCAGTTAGACCGCCTGTGGACCACCCGCCTAGGGACCCTATAATTCCCGAGAAGATAAACTAATTTTTTTGAATAGTGTTGACTATTACAATCAGCCTACTAAGTTAGCTGGTTTACTGCAATTCACCCAACTTGAGCACTCTTCAAAGTTTATGATACTTTGAGTAAAGGATAACCAGTTCATGAACCAGTTTCAAAATGCTCTGGGGGATTTGAGATTCCTCATGAAACGGATAAATAGAGCCTTCATTGATACACTCTAGAGAAGGACAAGAAATAGGTTGATGTGTCGGAAATAAAAATAATCCATCCACTGTGCCTTTAAGAAACAGGCGCTTATCTTCCCGGGCCAGTTCCTCTTATCTCCTTGCCTATACTCTAAAAAAATCCTCTAGAGCTAGTGACAACAGAAGAAGAAAAGCTGAGAAAAAGCAATAAAAAAAACCACTAGTGGTCCAATGTAGATAGGGCAAATATGTCTTTTTAGATATGGCAGGAGGGAAGGGGAAGGGGAGAAATAACCATGACCAGTATAACGAAACACAGGTAAGGAGCAGAAGAGCAAGGTATGTTTTCGTATAAAGAGGAGTGGAGGTACGAGAGAAGGGAGATTAAAGAAAAATGCCACCTAGGATGCGTGAAGAGAGGCCTGGTACAACCAAAGGTATTGAGAAGCCATATGCACATAAAAAAAAACCGCTTCAGCCATTCAATCGACGCATGTCAGGATGTGTTTTGAATGGGAAAATTGCTCCAGGAGTAACAGAAGTGCACAAGTCCAATTGCCGGAGGATTATGATCAAAAATAGTTTAATGTCAATTGGCAAAGCTTGGATGAACATCAGCTTAGGATGTAGTTAGTTAGGAGTTTCGCGATAGGCAAAGAATGTACTCCGTATCCATTGTTGAATCCGATTGGCTCTTTCAACCCTAGGTGCAAAAAAAAAAAAGACAAAAAAAGGAATCGCTTTTAGTTGATATGTATCATCGAGTCATCAAGGACGGTTCTTCAGATCATTAACGGGTCATCAGGAGTACAATCGAAATTTCGTTTACTCAGGTCGCTACGAAGTCAGAAAGGCGCCGGTATTTCTATTGGCCACGCACTGGCAAGGGCGCGAAGTAATCTCTGAGATAAATAAACGAACAAATGTTGTTTTGCCGTTGAATAAGGAGGGAATCGTGAGAAATCGCGCAATTGGAACTTCGTTGACGTGGTTGAACACATCGACCTTCATTTCTCCAGCGGAGACCAAGAGGAATTTAAGGGCTAGGATCCGGATAAAAATCATCGGTGGTATCGAAACCGAATCCAGCCATATCCATGGAGTGTAGTGATCCGGGTCCACGTTCAAAGTCCATATCAGATGAAGGGTAGTCGTGTCCTGCAGGCGGTAGATGGGGACCAAAAAAAGGTCGATGCTCGTCATTATGAGATTGAGTATCCCCGTCATTCCAAGGGGTACTACGTTGCCAAAACCGCTGGTTTGTCTGCTGATCGCCAAAAAGGTCATGGTGATCCGGCAAGTGTCTCGGAAGTAAACAAGACTCCTGTTCGACAGTTGATGAAAAATCTTGTGGGGATTGGTATTGGATTGCCGTCCTGCTAAAACTCGAGGCTGGTGAGTCTGCATGCAATGTCATATCGAGAACTGATAGATGATGCGGATCGATATTCATGGAATATATGCTTGTAGTGGTGGCTGAGGTTCCAAGCCCCGATACTTGGCTCATTCCTAGACCCGGTGCAATAGGTATATCTACAGGAGCCTTTCTAGCAGAAGATGAGTTACCACATGCCCTCATAATTTTTTCCTTGTCCTCAGGCGATAGCCTTGCAAAGAACTCAGAAGCCGAGTGTTCCTTTGGTGGAGGTCGACGAGGGCCTAGGCCATATTCCCTTATTGCATATTCCGAGAAGCCAAAACCTGGGGCGTAGGGCGAATTATAAACAGGGGCAGTGTGGCATTGGAGGTTGTCGAAGGCATTCCAGGTGGTTCCAGAACCAGAAAACGTAGCAGAGGTCTCTTTCACGGTTGTTCGTCCAGAATGGGCCCCAGGCCACGAATCTTTCGTAATGATTTTGTTTGCTAGGTCAACAATAGCAAATCGAAGCATTCGTAGTAACTGATCAACTTCCTCAGCCTGCATATTCAAGGGTTGCAATGGGAGCAATCCGTTGTTTGATTTGGGTCTAACCATAGATTCAGTCATGACATTGGCAAGCTTTTGGATTCCGCCCTTGGGAATCACCGAGTCGCTGTCGCCTAAAAGAACCTGAACAACAAAATCAGGGTCAACAATTATGTACCCAGCACTAGCATTAGCATGCTCAGTGATTGAAGCGATAAGACGACGAGCTGTTGCGAATTGAATCGTGTTGATACCTGCAGAGGCAGGGTGGATATCAAATTTTGATTGTGAAGGTGGCCGTAACGATGATAGACGTGAATGGGATGCCTGAGCCTTGACGAAAAAGGAAGGGGTAGACACGACGGGTGCAGCAAAACATTGCCCAACGACCTGATAGTTGTGCTCATCTGCATGGATGGAAGGTTGAGAGACCAGGAGAGTTGTTCGTGATAATTTAATACTTTCAAGAAAATTCGACCTCGGATTGTGCACAGGGTTCGCAGGATCATCAGTGTACTGGGCACGACACTCTGTAGACGTTTTGCCGAGAAAATACCATATTTGCTCGGGTTTGGATATGTCCACTTTCACCGCATGGGGGTTAAATGGAGGTTTAATGCAAGAGAATTCGGCCCACTGGTAAGGTAGCCATGGGTCTCCGAAAGGCGTACCAGGCGAAGGCACCGTGGAAGATAAATCCTTTCGAGCTTCTGGTTTTCGAGCCAAATGTGCAGGGAGAGGTCTTATCCCAGCTGGAAGTGGGAGGAAATTAGATTTCTTCACAATGAGCATCCAACGATAGGGTAATTCGATAACGTCACTAAGCAGCTGTTAGTATCAGATAATTCAAGCGAGACAAATGAGTGGCTTACCCTCTTGGGAGCACTTTGAGGAGCAGGGCGCGCTCCTCCAGTCGGTTTTCAAGTACGACCGCGCCATTTATTTCCTTATCTGCCTGGAACTGTATCAAATCCCCGGTGCAGAGTTTCTTAGCAGTTTCTGTGATCCTAAAATCCAAATCTATGGTCTCGGGGGATTGGGATCCATATCTTTTTGGTCGGTGATACTTGCATTTGAGGTCAACTGCTGGAACAGTATATTCGCACCCGTCATCGGCTGTAACAGATATTTCACCAAACTCAACCTGTACTCCGGCTAAAAGAGCGCATGTCGGGTGGTAAGCCCTAGCGCATTTGCCGTACATGCACTGAAAACACGCCCCCTTAATTTCCCGGCAAAACAAACATTTTAAACCCATTCTTGCTTTTGGTATTTTGTCGATATCACATACGACTTCTTTGCCGGATTCATCTTTGAGAATCGAGGTTTCATCAATGTAGAGAGCACATCTTCTATGGGCATGATACATCCCATCTTCAGTTGGTAATAACTCTTCGTAGTCCATGTTATTGGGACATAAAATACAAGGAATTTTCCTTGGGCCTTCAAGATGCAATTTGACCCGCTTAGTCTTAGGTTCGTTGAGATCTTGCCTCCGTTTCCTACGGGCAAAGGATTTTTCAGGGACACTGCGAGGAGGAGTAAGCAGATCAGAAGCTCCTTCAAATTGATCGTCCACCTCATCGTAGTACTCTGGAGTGGCTTCCCCACGCAATTTCCTCTCGATTTCTCGAGTATCAATCCAAACACTATCAGTTTCACAATTGCATTTCTTCGCAATCCGAGCGTAGTCTAGCCATTTTTCCGTGGCAAAATTAACGGATTCAGCACAATTATATCCCAAATTAAAACCCGAATGATACCCATATGGATATGTGATAACAAACTCGCGCTCATAATGAACCATTTTGTTAACAGTAATACCATATTGCGATTTTAGCAGAGACGGAGAGATTAGATATGTTTTATGGCGCAGGAATTGATCACAATTCTTTGAATCGGTGGGCCAGGTGCCTAAACTCATTAGTACTCGTTTGTTTCCGCTGTGTGTATACGTACTTTTCATGGCAGCTTCAAATCGGGGTAGGTCCTCTTGGGAAATGCTATACCACTGTTTGGGGGCACCAAAATGGATAAAATTTATGCTATAGAGGTCCACGTCTTCCAAATGCCAAGCGAAGGTAGCTTTCCACATCCCAAGGTAAAGATAAGCGGTGTTTACTCCTGGAACCTTCTGGCCAAGGACGTCCAACAAGTTGGGTAGTTTGGCAACATTCCAGGATGTCACAGAATCATCAAAAAGGGAGCCGGGCATATCTGCACCATACATAGGGTTGTTATACATAAGAGATTTCCAATAGGCCGTTTCGAGTTCTTCGCAACGTTCCGTGACGTACTCCTCACTCCCGGATAGATGGTAGTCAAACCTCATGAAGGTTTCTTCATCGATGTGGTCAGTAGCGTCACCACGGTTATATTTGCGTCGAGCGGTAACAGATTTGGGCTGCCTTCCCTTGTTGGGTTTCGGGGCTGGCAAAGATTCTCCATCACTAAGTTCCTCGGATTTCGGCTCCACTGGGTTGGATTGTGGGGATACAGGGGTTGGCGGCCCTTCCAGTTTCTTCTCAACGGAGTTATCATCGTGCTTCTCCGGCTCAGCAGAATTGGCTTTGAGTAGTCCAGGCTTACGTTTAACTGAGTCGGATCTTCCAGGCTGGCCTTTTCCACCGCCACGAGTAAATTTTTCTTGAGCCCGCCGTCGCTCACCGCGTCTAGCGGGAGGTTGGTGACTCGTTTCTTCACAAAGAGCCTTCCATTGTGGCAGATTATACGACCGTTGTTTCTCAATGTTGGCTTGTGTATAGATCCCATGAGAACCATGGAATTCTTGCATTATGGGGTTTTTCACGCGAATAGTTTTAACAGCTTCATCTAAGGGTGGGAGGGCATCCAACCTGTATGGTCATTAGGGGGTTGTACTTTGAAAGTTACTGAAAAAGGAAAATGATAAGGGTCTTATTAAGAGAAAGGTACGGGGACAAGGAATGCTCAACGAGCACATCGAGTCGTAACTAGTCTTCAAGCGGACTTAATGGGAAATTTGGGGCGAAGCAAGTCTAAATAGACGGCGGCGACATGTTTGGATGTCCAGCAATGGGGAGGTAAGATACTCACCATTCTTGAGGGGGAATTACTTTGACGACGCCAGACTGCATGCCATATCTATCGATTTTGCGAATAAAAGACTGAAAGTCACGGAACTGGTCCATTGTCTGTTTTAGTCCCCAAGGAGAAAGTAAATCGTTAGTGGACAAGTTTTGGGAGCAGAATAAAAAGTCAAATTCCAGACATATTGCTGGGACATCTGTTCAGCCTTCAAATTGGCTGTCAAGAGTTCAAAGAATTTCTCCGACTTGCGCGAATCAAAATCACGAAATCACTAACCGGCTTGAAAACCGGAATCCTCCCTCCACCGTAATAGTGATCAGGTTGGATCTCGGTTTCATCGACGGGACCACCAGAATCGACATCCATGTCAGACGCTTGAGGCGATTGCTTTTCACCATCGGCGCTTGCAGGGGGCGTCATAGACGCAGTGTCGCCCACAGCGACAGTGTCCATTTCCATTATGAAAACTAGTGTCTTTTATCTTGCTGCCGTTTTCCCCCAGCGACCGCTGACCAACGGCGAATTCGAAGGCCCCAGCGGTCGAGGGATGGAAGGGGGCCAAATGGGGTTGGGGTGATGGATAAAAGCGGGTAGTTCGAGAAAACAGAAGACGAGAGAGGGGAGTCTGCTTCAGCAGTTTTTAAGTAGAGACAGGAGTTCGATCAACAAGAGACGGGTGCTATCTGTCGATGAGAGAACCGTCTCCCACGACAGAGAGCGAGGAGAGTCGCTGGAGGGGAATTCACGGAGTGGATAAATGGCGTTCATTCCCAACCGCATGCCCTGACTGGCGAAAAGGAACCAGAAGCGGATCGAGCTCAACGCTAAACCCAAAGCAGTAAGCCCAATTGCTCGAGACGAAGGGCTGCAGGATCAGATATTCACAAGGAATGACCAACAACAAGCATGCCGCAAGGGTGCTGCAAAGGGAATTGATCGCAGGCACGCTCGGAATGAGAGTTACAGCGTAGGTCACAAGCAACTTCCCATACAAATTTCAACGGGTCACTTTGTGTGGCCAATGTAGGGCCTCTGACCTGAAAGTTACGCCAGTATAGTCACGTGAAGAGTTGCTTGACTGGCTATTTGTTCCCGTGGCCCAGAGTGACCTGATTTTTGTCACCAGTATCGAACCGAAAGGCAAATCGAAACAGGGTCATCTCCGGATATTTTTCTTACTTTCTATGGAGTGAGTACCTGCAAACCTCGCTCTGGGAAATACAAGAATCCAGAATATGCCATATTCTTAGATCTCCATATTAGCTATGGATTATGATATAACTAAATCCAACCGCCATACGAAAGTAGTACGGAGTACTATGACTATCGGAGTACACTCCCTCTTCTCGTCTGCCCTCATTTCTGCCCAATCCAAACAATTCGCTGATAACTACTGCATCATGACGTCATGGCCTGAAGCCCAGCCCATGATTGTTACTAATGCACCCCATGCCTTGACAAAGATGCAAACTTGGTCTACTCCGTATGGAGTACAGAATATAAAGATACCGACAATTCATCTTCACCTGACCTAACATTCATTGGGTTTCAGCTTTTTCCCAGCAAACCTTTTCTTTGATGCTTTGTTTCTTCTTTTCAACCCCTTCTTGCGGCACTTGTAGGGCATGGCGGAGCATGCCCGCGTCAAAAAACCCATCTAATAGCCAATAAATAGTCAGCAATCAATCATCTAAGCTATCAAAAGCTATAAAACGCTGAGTTGTTAAGGAATTAAGATTCTTACAGCCACCCAAACCATCGTTATCTAAATGTTCCCTCTGGGTTGCGGGCGTATCGATAGCCGACTCTGTGTAATCTGTTCGGATGACTCGACCCCTGAGGGGGGTGCGTGTGCCTGTTCCAGAATTTTCCTGCGCTGTACTTGAAGTTGGTCCGCTTTTAGGGTCAAGTGGGGCTTGGAGGAGCCTGCGGATTTCAAGGAGGTACGATTCCAAAGCCTGCATGAATCTACTCGTTTGTCTATGTTTTGACGACGTACAGATGGATATTGAATCGTCTTTTATGATATAGCCGATCCCAAATCCACCTCCTGAGGTCGGACCAAACCCGAAATGGCGGAGTGACGGGTTTCCACAGTTCGATGTAGAAAGTATAGTGTTATTAATCTTATCCCAGCCGGGATCGTTGAAAATTGCAGGAATCTTAATAAACTGGCTATGCCCACTAGCCGACGAACAATTATCTTTGGCGATGTTCGTGTCTTGGGTATAGTCGCCTTGCAGGCTAGGACCTCCACTTCCTGCATCAGTCTGTATCTCACCCACTGAACGTTGCCAGAGACAGTAGAGCGCATAGAGATGACGGTCATGGCCTTGGCCCTGCAGACACTCTTTGGTGATTACAGAATGTTTCTGCGTGGCTATTCTCAATGCCGCCACTTTTTCTGTGGTGGGATTATTCCCCCAAAAGGTTGTCACAAAGTTTACCGACTCTGATGAAACAGTACGGATGGCTTCAGTGCGACCATGTAAAAAGGTTTTCGTCATTGCGGGCTCATATGTGTTCTCTACTCGACCGTACAATCCATAATATGCAGCTTGAAAGGCCATCTGGAGAAAGGCATCAGGGGAAATGCCCACCGAGGTAATGAAGCTTTTTCCATAGGCGCAAAAATCCAAGGTCTCAAATTCGTGTTGGTGAAGTAAGTCAGCGAGATGAGACTCGGCGAATCTCACAGCCGTGCTGAGCTCTACGCTCATATCCCATTCCAGTTTACGCGGCGTGGTACTAGAATGGTGATACGCGTCCAGTTTACGCCTTGAGGGTGTTGGACTCGTAGATGCCCACATGCTCGGTGCCTGGCCGTTGATCGTCTTCGCGAACCGAAGAATTGTGTCGGTAAACACATCGCTTGCGAAACGAAGGACCGTATGCCCGTCAACACTGGTGTGCTCAAAGTTGATACCAGCACTGCCATTCCGACAAACAATAATTTGCAGTTTGTCATACCATCGGTTGGTACAGGTACCAATCTGAACGCCTTTAACCACTTCGCTCGTACCGCAAAGCATGTTACCGCAAATTTCGGCGATGTTGGAAGGCTCAGTGTAATCTAGACATAACACAAACAGTGCAGTATCGATAATCTTCAGACAGTCTGCGTTATTTGATCCTGATTGACAATTCAAAATTTCCCTTAATCTAAACCAAATCTTCCTGTTTTCTGTACTTAAAACACCGATTGCGCCTTTCGCGGCGTCTTCAATAGGGGTCTGCTCAGCATCTTCGATGATAGCGCGAAGATTCACAGAGATATCCTTTTCAGTCATTATCAAGTCATGGGTCTTGTCAAGAACATCAAACCAATAACACTGTCCACGGCACAAAACGACCAAATGTTTTGATACTAAATCCTGATTTATGACACAGCCATGCTCGTTGGGTACCCTAGCAGTACCGAATAGCCTGGAAAATTGAAACATGCAGAGAGGGTTCCCACGTACGACATCAGGGGCTAATTCTTCTCTTCGCACTGCTCGCACGAAGGATAAAGCAGACACAACTAGTGAAGCCGCTCTCGTTACCTGGTGGTTTCGAGCTGGAGTGGGATCATCTTCTAACAGGAAAAACGGGTTTAAGTTCAAAACGACAGCTAGTTTAGTTAGTTATAGATGATTATCTATTGAACCACAAGCAAATGAAAATACTAACGATTATCATAATTTAAGTACGAATCATACCCTTAATCATCGTCTCAGATATTAGTTCACGTATGATACACATAAAGACGAGAGTACCAGCAAGCTTACAGAATTGCTCTATATAACTTGTTTTTGAGGAGGCATAAAGCTGCAGTTTCTTCTGTAATGTAGGGCCCTCATCTCTCAAAAACTTTCGAACTGCTGATTTGGTCTCCTTGTGCTCTCTTGGGCTTTGTAGCGGAGCCAAACTATCAAGATATTTGCGGCATGTAGACTCCAGACTTGGAATTGGAAGTTTTGGTAACAAGTCCTGCTTTTCAAAAGTAATTCCATGGCGACTTGCCCCAGAGTTAGCATTCCCTGAAATACAGATATTAAACCATCGCGAGTGTTCAATTTCCGCTTCTGCTAGTCCATGAATTTGTGATAGAGGAGGGTAGTGATACATTAATTTGTCCCCCATCTGCTCTGAGGGAGTGAGCGAAATAGAAGAAAGAGTAATCTGTACTCCGTATAGTATGTAAAATTGCAAAGGCCCATCGAACGTATTTGGCGGCGCGGAATTTGGGTATCGAAAAAGCAGCAATTTAATCCTTCGAACAGTCGAACTGCGCCCGGCTCAAGGGGGCGGGAACTCAGCGTTAGATTAGGTCTAACGGAATCAGTCCCCGGAGAGATTCTTTTCAATGTTGAAAGAGGTGTGGTAGCACAGATGCATTTGACCACAGGTGGCAGATGACCTCATTCGAACCAGACATGTGATGACACCCAAGGACCTCACTAGTCTTTACTAACTAGTTACAAAGTTAACCACTCCGTAGTTCGGAGAACATATACACCTATCAACCAAAGTGCCTTGTTGTCATTGGATGGAATCGTTCGCATAAACATATCGAGTGCCACTCCAAATATGTATATTATGAATCGGACATATTCTAAGTAGTTATCAAGGCATGCAGAGGAGTACTTAACTATATGGGGAGCTCGGCACATACTACTCTGTGCGGAGTACATAGTGGATAAAACACTCTTTACAAAATTCCCTGGGGGCGCGGATAGCATACAGATCTACTCCGTACATATTCAACGTCCGATGGACTTTTAGCAGGATGGGATGTACAACCCGATTACTTAGTCCTGAACACCCGAAATGTGAAAGCCCTATACGGAGTACTCCTTCACTGAGCATAAGGGAGGTATTAAGAGAAATGGAAGTGCATTCGTGACAAGGTGTATTCCGGAGGAAGTATCATGGATGCCAGCTAGCCAAAATTTGGGGTTCAAATTAAATCATGCCAAGCTACCCAGTCTCATATTTCTTGTCTGGTAACGCCGAAGCAAAAAGCGGCAACAAGCCGGGAAGTGAAAAAGTCGAAAAAAGACACATATCCTTCAAGTGCCCATGTGAATGTTAGAAAAGAAGAACAGGTTGCAGATCTCTAAGCCTCCGTGCTTATTCCGTTGTTAATATCACCTGCCCCAATAAACAATCCTTCATGGCATAAGATGTTGACGGAAGGGCATTAGCAGGTATAGATCGCATAAGAAATGAAAATAATATAGGTTGATTGTCACAAAATATGGAGATTTATGATCAAAATATAGGCACAGAACTAGGTGACAGAGAACCTTTTTTTTTTTGCCTGAGCCCGTCCAAAAAGGAACCAAGCTAATTAACCAGTGACAATTGGTTGACCTAGTGGTCTCCCAACATTCCGATCGTATTCACCAGCGTAGTTTCCTAAAACTGATATTAGTATGGATTGGTATATTTGGTTATTGGTGGAGGGTATTACCTGGAGGGCCATAGTTGCAAACCATGTAATTTGCGTTATTCACAGTTGAGCCAGACCTTCCAACCCTCAGAGTGGCGCAGCGATGGGTGTAACAGGCGACGTGTTTGGTGCCTTTCCAAACAATCTGTGTGAAGTGACCCCAACCGTAGAAATTACCTCCAGGATTGGCTTGGCCATACAGACCGTCGAACAATGGAGCCTCACCGTTGTACATACTATCAGTGATCATTTGGGCAAGGCTGTTGAAACCTGATTGGTATCCAATGTTTTGGCCGTATCCGCCGCCGCCAATTTTACTGCCAGGGAATGTTAAATATGTTTGAAGATCAGATTCCAGGGACTTACGTGTCGTGTTCATACACACATGTCTCAGCAAGCTGGCGGGCGGTGCTTTCCAGTCGATCATTCCAGGTAAGCGCTTCAGCAGAGTGGTTGGTACGGTGAATATTATGATGGTATAGGGCGGTAGCTCGATAGTCATTTTTAGGAGGCGGAGAACCTGGACCTTCCGGTGACTGAGGAGGGGCAGGGGTTTCAGGCGGAGGAGATGGTCGTGGCGGGGGTTGTGGCTGGGGTTCAGGCTGGGGTTGAGGTTGAGGTTCAGGCTGGGGTTGAGGTTGAGGTTCAGGCTGGGGTTGAGGTTGAGGTTGAGGTTGAGGTTGAGGCTGAGCTGGGGGTTGTGGTTTAGGCGGCGGCGGTGTAGGTCGAGGCGGAAGCCCGGGTTGCCCGGGTTGGGGCCACGGAAACCAGCCTGGCCAACCACCCGGCCAACCTGGGTACAATTTTTGCGGTCGTTGAACAGGAGGGGTGGGTTTTATTCCTCCAGGGTAGTGATAGACAGTGGTTGTGACGACTGTGAGTTCTGTCACATAGTCACGCCTTTCAATTGGGGAAGCTAGGGCATGGCCGCCCAGGCAAAGTGCCAAAGCCAAGGATGAGCAACGCATCGCGAATGGTTGTAGAAATCAAGATTCGAAACTGGAGAGATCTGGTGTAGTAGTTTCGGCTACAGGTCAACTGCGATATCAACCAAGCTTTCACGGAAAATGGTTGCGGGAAACAATCCAATTGAATATTTGATCTGACTCGGTCGGACCCAAGCTGAAAGATAGGCGGTTTGGGAACGGTGTAAAAAGGAATGTGGGTGGCTCAACACGGTTGGCAATTGAAAGGCGTAAATATCACCCGTCTGGCCAAGGCAGAACGGTCTCTGAAAGTAAGGTGTCCAAAGGAATGACTTGCTACTTGGGCACTTTGAAGGAGTGGAAAGTGCACACAAGAAGCAGAATAGAGACAAAGAGAAGGCGAGAAAAGAGAAGCGGAGAGAAGGGGAAGAGAACATATACAAGTAGCCAGGTAATCTTAAATGAAGGGGAGACAAGGTGAGCTAGAACACTAGCCGCCCACATCCCTGGAGGTGGAGCCCTGGCTGAGTGGAGAACACCGTAGGAGAACAGCCAGCTACTCCGTAATTTGACATGAAACGCACTATATCCGATCCTGACTCGATGGCGAGCACGCTGACGGGGACTTTGGTATATGTACGGAGTACTCCGTACTCCGTAGGTGACGTGGGCGCTTCGGCATGTCGGACAAATAATGCTTCTTGGGACCGGCTAGCGTTGTCCACGCTGAGTGCATGGCTAATAATAATAGGAAGAGGTATACATTCCAGTAGTAGTGTACGAGTACAAAAAAACGGGATATGGGCAGAGTTGTTCCTGAGCCAGGCGATGACGTGAAACTAGGGGTTCCGCTGACCGGAAACGCCTCGGGCGCTTGCCGACGTGGAACACCAGGAAGAAACTGCGGGCTGCTCCGAAACAAGGCCCGAGCAGAAAACAAAAAACAGCGCGAGGTGATGAACCCATCGTTCCTGGCAACGCAGATCCAGCCTATCAATCAGAAATGCGCGATGCCAGCAAAAGGATTGTGTGGGCTGTGACCGACTTTTGCGTTGCCCACTGCTGCACTCTGCTTGGCGTCATTTTTCTGGCTTGGTCGGACCCGCCAACTAAGAGGTGACTACCTGTTAATTACGACTACTAGGATTGCGGGTTGAAGTCCAGAGGGCCGCGGGGCCAACAGGACAACAAGAGTACTCCATAATTTTATTATTATTTGATATGTACGGAGTACCCGGTACAGAGTAACTACTATAAAATACAGAATATAATACGACAGGGCCAGACCAGCCCACACGTACGGAGGATTGAGCGAACACTACTACGGAGTAGAGGGGTCGTTCTCCGCACATCGTGCAACGTGTCTCCATACCCTAGGTACTCCGTAACAGTTAAGTAATTCAATGATAGGTGTTAACCAAAGTGCCAGTTGCAGACTACTATTTGGCCAGTTACGTAGCTAGTTATCAACTAGACTAGAGTACGGAGTAGGGAGTAGGCTTCTAGAGTCGAACCTGTTATTCTCTTTCTCCTTTCTCCCTATCATCACGGAGTAATTACGGCCCTCAAAAGTTGAGAAAGCACCCTGTAAATTACTGATTAATATTATGTTCCTACACCGCCCCGGAGATTTGATGAAATCCTTCAAAAGCTTAGTTACGTTGCTTCACCCTCCATAAATATAATAATAACGCGGAAACTACGGAGTACGGAGTAGAACTAGCCTTAACCATTATTGATTTGCCGTCTTGGGCCTGCTTGTCAAATAAACCCCCCGGGACTACCTCTAGTAGTACTCCGTACCACGGGCAATATCATAAATAGAGATCGACCGAAAGAGCCTTAAAGCAGTTATTAACGAATAACAAATATTTCAGTGGTTGTCCTCACTTGGGAGTTGGTGCCAAGATTAGTTAAGTAACTACCTAACTACTCTGTACCTAAGGTAGTTAGTTACCTACAGGGCCGTGCTGGGGAAAACTCTTGTATGGAGTAGTTAGGCTGGAGGCTTCAAGGTTAGGAACAGAGAACCAAATGTATTCTGTACTCCGTACGGAGTACTTGAATTCATCCTCCATGGTATTTTATGTTAGGAAAAAATAGAGCTTAAAGTGTATATGGAGTCTGCTTAGCCCATGCCTGTTATTTAGGTCCCGGTGGAGCCAACATCAGACACCTTCCTGTTCATTTTAGTAAATATTATAAACACAGTTGCGACTGGGGAAACCCACAGGCCTCGAAATTAGACACTTATCTACGGAGTATGAGACAATTTGGTCTGAGGCTCCTGAGATCATTGGTAGCATATTACCTGGAAATTCTAGGCTCTCAACCCTAATAAGATACGGAGTAAAGCTTGCCCCAACGTCGCTTTTTGTATGACTATTGCGAGTAGCACTTACGTTTAAGGGATTATTATTGTGTAGTTAACTAACTACTCCGTACTGCCGCGTCTCTATCATTAATACGCCCTACCCCTGAACCCCTGGAGACCAAACCGGCGTCGCTCTCTCGCCAATAATAATTTCACGAACATATCAATAGCCATGTCCCCTGTTGCACCCTTACCCACGTCGGAAGCAAACCGTGGTGTCCGACCAACAACAGCAGAGTTAAGCATGTTCTCCGTACTACAGGGTATGTAGTTAGTTAACTAGTCATCCAACTACTCCGTAGTCCCATACAGAGCAGAGGTGCCTTTTCCCAAGCAACGACATATTTGGACTGATTTCATTTCAAGTACGCCCTATGGAGCATGTATAGGAATTCCTTTGCGCACCGTGCACCGTGCGTAAATACAGAGTGTACCGAGTAGACTACCTGCATACATAGTACGGAGTAGGAAGTAAGGTGCACAACCTGAGACGACGACTGAAGCCCAATTGAATTTCCAGATTCATGGGCCCACGAAGTACACATAACAGAGTGCACAGAATACAAAAGCAGTAAGGGAGATGTTCATGCTCTTTGATATGATCAAAAATCACCCCTCAAGAAAGGGAAGCCCCATCGGCACAAGATTGCATCATATACTTAACTATACAGAGCATACACTACTACAGTATATACACAATACACAATAAATGATAAATATGATCAAAGCACTGTTGATATATCAACTGTTCGGCATGCACCCGAATCACATACCAGCAAAAAATTCCTCCCAATAGGAATATCTTTAAGTAAAGAATTTCGCTGTCTGAGCCAAGTTGAGTTGGCCACCCTAGCCTCACCATCCCGTAGATCAACCAGCGCAACAACCGTCGTACTGGTAGCGGTACCGAAGCTTGCTTCATTGCGCATTCTTCGAAGCAGAGCTACCTCGTTCGGGCCATCGGATAGCGGTATTTCCATTCCTGTCCCCTGGTGATTCTCAGGTGGTTCATCGTCCTGCCCAATTACCCCAACCACGATTTTCTCGGCTACCTCCAGGCCAACAATTGCATCCAATAGACCTACAAAAAGAAAAGGGTGCTGCATAATCTCCGCAACAAAAGCACTGCAGGTTTGCTTAGCAAGGAGTCGATACGAATTATCTCCGAGCAGCGAGGAGAGCCGGAGGAGGTTTTGTGCAATCACTCCGTTAATAGACGGGGTCGCAGCGTCAGTGCCAGGTTTGAGACGAAAAAGCGGACCTGGAACATCCCCAGGCATACGTTCTAGACTCATATAGTAGCCAGCCGGTGTCGTTCCATCAGAACCTAAAGCAAGGAAATATTTGTTCAAATATTCTTGAGTTAACGAATCAGAACAGTTTCAAGGTCCAGCGTTCGAAGAAACCCCAAAAAAGAACACTTACGTTGGAGATGCTCGGCTAGCTGCAGATGGATGTCGTCAAAGGTAGCTTCGTATAGTTTGATCAGCCCAGCCGTAAGATAAGCATAGTCGTCTGCAAAACCTGGAATTTCACCCCTTACTCCAGCGCGAGAAACGCGCCAGAGTTGCCCTGTCCCTGTGTCTAATAAATTTTCTCTTATAAACTTCACAGCTTTCTCCGCTGAATAACGGCAATGTCTTGACTTCTCTGGATTAATAGAATGTAGTAAGATGCTACATTTTGAAAGAGCACTAATGGCGAGCCCATTCCATGCGACGATGATCTTATCATCTAGGTCAGGCCTAACTCTATGTGCTTCTCTGAAATCTTTGAGTTTTTTTTTTGATGACTTGATCATGTTAAGGACGTCACATTCGTTCAACCCAAATTCTTTGGCAATTTTGCCAGGCGTTTCTTTAATGCTCAATACATTTTGATTGATGAATTCATCATGCGGATCGTTTCCACGAGCAACGTTTCCATCCGGAAGAATACCCCAATAGCGCGCACAAACATCTGCCTCCTGTTGACCTAAAATTTGCTGTATTTCCTTAAAAGTCCAGACATAAAAAGCACCTTCACGCTTGTCTGAGTCGTTCAAGGTAGGGAAACTGTCCGCGTCCTCCGAGGAAAAGAAAGCACCTTCAGGAGAAATAATTGGCGGGCTTGTTATATAAGCAACAATATCGTAGATAGCCTCCAAAAGTTCTGGCTCTCGATTAACTTCAAAACAATCAACGTAGACATCCAGCAATTGGGCCTGGTCATAAAGCATCTTTTCGAAATGGGGTAAACTCCAGTTCTCTGTAACACTATATCGAGCGAAGCCATGGCCGATGTGATCACGAATGCCCCCACGAACCATTTGAATCAGTGTATTTGATACCATTTCTGTTGCGTGCGCACATTCTTCGCGACCAACAATATCCCATACTGCTTCCGGATATCGTCCTAGACGAAGCAGGAAGCTCAGGTTTGCCGGCGTTGGAAACTTCGGAGTTCTTGAAAAGCCACCATTAGCCGAGTCGTATCGAGAGAGAAAATGCTTATAAGCGTCTTCTAAGAGTTCTACTTCAAGATCTTCCTCATTTTCAGCGCCTGGCTGCCTGAGATGGGTACCTTCTTCGGAAAATTCTCGAAGCTGTCTTGTAATATCCTTGGCACTTTCTTTACATCTCAGCTCTTGGCTACTCCAGACATCCCGAAGCTTTTCTAAAATTTCAAGGAATGTAATGGGTTCCTCGCCGCCTCCCTTTGGCACTGAGGTACCACATGGACCCGGCCAGTATGTTCCTCCAAAAACAGGTTCAAGATCTGGAGTTAAAAAAACATTCAAGGGCCATCCACCAGAGCCCGTTGTGGCCTGAATATAGTTCATATAGACTTCATCAATATCCGGCCGCTCTTCCCGATCGAGCTTGATAGGAATGAAAGAACAGTTGAGAACGGAAGCAACTTCCGGGGACAGGAACGACTCCTTTTCCATGACATGACACCCTACCTAGACGTTATTCGTGAGACTACGCAGATTAATTCAGGTTTCACAAACAGTGACAGGCTGAGTAGCCGATACTCAAAAAAATAAGTCGATTTAATTTTCGTGCAAGGCGTATTGCGCACGAATCCCATAGTTGCCAGGCGACGGGATTATTCATATGTCCGCGGACCTATGGTAAATTGCAAACATTAGTAAAGGTAAAAGGATTTTATGTCGAGGATCCATTGAGGTAAAAGAGGTCTTTTTCCCGGGAGGGGCAATTAGGGGAGAATACATATGGAGACTGGCTCTCAGAGAGCCTGTTTACAAGCTCAGACGGCTGGGTCATTTTACTAGTCTCAATAGAAGGTAACTGTTTTGCTAACGGAAATATTGTGAAACATATACCGTATCTTTCCCAAAAAATCTGGTTTCAGCAGGCTGGGGCTAGGGTGTAGAATGCCATCTGGAGAAGCCCGGCAAAGCCTTCTTGAATGTTATGTAGCAGGGACTTTATACTGCGATATCAATATTGTATGGATCAAAGCGAATGATAAATTTCCTCCCTTCTCTCAGAAGCACAGTGGGCTGACATCTTGTTATTGCCATATCAGGATGAGGATGCATGTCATTGACATCATTATTCACGTGATGACCGCACCTCCCCATACCGGAATTCCAGATCTGTGGAATACCGTAATGTTATGGTAGTGGCAACGTAGCCATGGGTAACCACTATGTAGTAACTCAGCACAACGTTGAAACTACAATTGCGTAATATTACCTTTGTTTGGTTGCCACAACTTCAGTCAGTATTCGCAACGTTGTCTTGCATAGAGTTAATTGGAGTTAACTTGGTTAAGTGTATTTAACTTTAGTAATGTTTTGTATTGGAGTACAGCTAGCTATTTCTACCACAAGTACAATTACACCTACATACAAAGAACCTTCCAGAAAATTTCTAAGTCCACAAAAACTATGAAAACAGTAGTAAAAATCGCCTACTAGCTAGGCTAGTAGGAATTGTAGAGAATCACCTACTAGCCTAGCTAGTAGGATAGTAGAAATCGCCTGCTAGCCTAACTAGTAGGATTGTAGAGAATCACCTACTAGCCTAGCTAGTAGGATAGTAGAAATCGCCTGCTAGCCTAGCTAGTAGGATAGTAGAAATCGCCTACTAGCCTAGCTAGTAGAATTGTAGAGAATCACCTACTAGCCTAGCTAGTAGGATAGTAGAAATCGCCTGCTAGCCTAGCTAGTAGGATAGTAGAAATCGCCTACTAGCCTAGCTAGTAGAATTGTAGAGAATCGCCTACTAGCCTAGCTAGTAGAATTGTAGAGAATCACTTACTAGCCTAGCTAGTAGAATTGTAGAGTAGAAAATCGCGTAGGCTTCTACTGTAGAAGAGAGTTAGTGAGTGACTTAGAAATTTGAAAAAGATGAATGAAAATTTTTCACCTGCTGATCATTTCCTTATTAGATTTAAAAATGTTGTTATTACCATATAGTAGATTCAATGTAGTGAGCTCTTACTATGTAGTAGTCAAAATACGTAGTAGTTACTGTAGCCAACGTTGAAACTTTGCCTCATACCCTCAGACCTTCCACTTTGGATGAGTCAGAAATGGGCTAGGCCCAATGTAGTGTAGTGTAATTATAAGCTTTGGAGCTAGACCCTTACAGATAATTTCTGCCACATTCTGTGAAAGATCTGAGCTGATTTTTTGCATTTTGTTAGAGTTCTCTGATCAGATGTTGAACTTAGTGAAATTTTGAATCTCTGAAACAGTCTGTTCAATGTCTTTAACTGTTCACTCTTCATGCAGCTCACATTTTATTGTCAGAATATTTTCATAGTTATTTTTATTAAGTCTTGAGTCAGTTATTTATTTTTAATGTTTTGTTCTTTCATTCATGATCATCTGACAAAATGACCACACATCATCTTTCATCACTCTGGTTTTCAGACATTCTTGAATCTGACTGTCAGCAAATGGCTTCTCACTCAGTTAGCAGTCAGAGTTCAGCATGCTCTGACATCAGAGATCTCTTACTCTGTTGTCTGAGAAAATAGATGATGTTGGAACAACATGCTCTCATCTGTTACATCTGCACATCTAAAACTGTCTGTTGATATGATTATTTCCTCTGACAGTGACTTGACTGAGTGTGAAGAATCTGATGAGACTAGTGAAGCTGGACAGACAGCTAATCAGTCAGCTTTAAATCTCTGATAAGTTCAGAATTTTGTTGAGAATCTGCTTATGTGCAGTAAGAGCAGTGGCTCTAATAGTCTGAACTCAGATATCATTATGTCTAAGTTAAAGAAGAAGAACAAGAACTTAAATCTGCTCAGCATGCAGATCAGTTTCAATAATTTTGTGAATAGTTCATTTAATAAAAATTTCTTTCAGACAGAGTTGCAATTCTTAAAAAATGCTCTTTAGCATCTGCTGAAGTTAAGTAAGCATTTATCTGAGCATAAAAAGATTGACATTGTATTTTAACTGCTCTGATGTTTTTAAGTATCTGTTTCTTCACTGATTCAGTAATAAATTCAGAGTGATGAATTGAAGTCATTCTATATATTTAAATGAAGAGTCAATAATCTGATCAGTGTGCTAGAAAAAAATGACTTCTTCTGAATTGTAGTGATTTATAGTCAGAATCTTCAGCACACAATATTAAACTGAATAGTGCATCTTATCTGTTAGAAGTTGACAGTTCTTCAGAGTCAGAGTCTCTTTTTCTGTCACTTTCATATGATCTATTTAACTGACAACATTAGCATTGATAATCTTGCTTTTATGATTGAGCAGATAATGTCTGTGTTGACATATGTAATTAAAAATTTTGCTCATTTAAGTCATCATCAGCATACTCATAAATGTTGTCTGCATTGAGATCAGCTGACTCTGATTATTTTTATTCTGCAGTTAAGCTGCATCTGAAACTTTACTAACACTTTTGTCTAACTATTAGATCTTTATTTCATGAGCATGAAAGTTAAATGAAGAATTCTCACTATTCTGCACAGTCTAGAGATCATTAATAGTTACACAACTCTTTGTAATGAGTGATTAAACATGATCACTATTGTCAAGATCAGTGAATGATTATTTAATCAGTGTTGTGAGTGACAACTGATTAGTTATCACAATATCAGCTTCCAGAAGACTTCAGATCAATTAGCATTGTCATAATTAATAATTTTAAATTTCAAGAGAATATTTAACATCAGATCATTGATGATAAGAGTTCATTTCACTCTTATATCACTGATCTTTATATTTATGATCAGATTTTATTGAGTGAACTTTGTTGAAGCATGTTGAATCTGACTTCTTTGAATCAACTTAACTATATTCATTCTCTGCAGCAAAATCAGAATCAGATTGAGATTGAATTATGTTGCTATTTCATTTCTAAAACTCTCTTTGCAGTCTATCTGAATGAACTGATCAATGTATTTGAAACAGAAAGTGATTTGTATAGTTGTTTTATTCTACTAAAGATCAATAAACTGCATCTGTCAAAGCTAATGTGTACATTGCTCTTGAAATCTATATTGATGTCTGAGAGCATCTATGATGATCTTTATGAGATCTTCTGTACAGTATTCACTGAGCAGTTTAAGATGAATGAGAATAAGAATTTTCATGAGTCACTGTATTTAGTTTATAATGATCAGAAAACATTAGTGTTCATTTAAGACTGTCAGTGCTGATGATATGAAATTCAGAGAATATATGATACTCACTATTGAGCATTGTTAGTGTCAGCAATGTGACATCTTCAGCTCAACTTCTTATATATGATAATGAAGATCTTCTATAGAGAAGTTGAGTTTTCTCAGCAGACAACTTCATTGTTTAATTACATTAATCATCTTCATCAGTAGCATCTGCTCAGTGAGAAGACATCATTTCATCATCTTGAAGAATTTATTCTTCATAGTTTTAATGCTCATATAACAGCAATGTTTTTGTAGTTGATCAGAGATACACACACTGTGCTGAATATTGCAGATTTCAATGCAGTATAAGTGATAGTTTCAGATCTGCAGATTAATGAGTTTGATAAACTGATCAGTTGTTTATATTTCATGATGTTTGCACTGAAGTCAGTATGTTGATCTGATGAGTTAATGGAGAGAATGAAGAACTGTGATGTGCATCATTTCAAGATCAGCTCAAAGACTCAATCTGATGCTCAGAACTTTAATGTGTCATGACTATCTGATGAGAATTGTGTGAGTGTTATGATGACAGTTCATGTGCAGTTTCTTCATCTTGTCAAGATCTATAAGGTGATTAAGACTGGCACTAAACATGAAGATGTTGAGTTGCTGTCTTGGAAAGTTGAGCAGTCTATTTTGCATTTTGTCTGACAGTATCACTTTAATTATGTAGTTAAGATGTTGTATTTCTGATGACTCACAAACTTCTCTATTTATGATCAGCTGCTCTGAGATGCTGTTCTGACTAACAGTCTCATCACTGTGCACAGAAGTACTGATCATTTCATGAAGACTAATAAACTTAATGAACTACTTAATCTGAAGCTGAAGAAATTGCTGCAATCTTAGAGAACATCAACATTTAAGATTCAGAAGCTTTTTCAGAAGTTCATCTATACTTTAAAATATACACATCAGCTTTGTCAGACAGTTGAGCATGCTTTTGAAGAGTATATTGATGCAAAACATATTAAAAAGTCTGTCAGTAGGGATATCTGCAGTCTTGCTTCTCTAATATTGAAGCAGTTATGTGTTAATATAGAGAGTAGTTCTGAGTTCTTATCTGATATGAAGCTGTTCAATGTCTTTCAGAATCTATCATTCCATGTAGTCAATGTCAACACATATATCACAAAGATTTTGGAGGCTGGTGGAGTGGGTGCTAGTGAAGAGAATGAGAAAGATTTGAATGAAGTTGATCTATGTAGAGAAGATGCTGTTGAGATTGATTATCTGATTACTTATCTTCTGTGATTAAAAATCTAACAA